GGACAAAGAATCCTCATGAAGAATTGAACCTAAGAAGACATCTTTTTTATTCTATTACAATATTATTATTATTATAATAAAAAATAAATTTTTGCCCAAAAAGTGATGGAAATGTAGTTTATATAATTTTTAAGTTATTCCCCAGTTACAAAAACATTTAAAATAGTTTAAACAAAAACTTGTGTTATACCTCCAAACACATCTGATAGATGACCAGACAAGGTAAGCGGTGAAAAAGTCTGCCTCTACAAGGATTTCAAAAATTGTAACAATAAATATTTTGTATAATTAAGCAATTCATCAAAACATGGATGCTAAAACTCAGCCAAAACCCTCACAAAGTTAATCATGGAAATTAAAAAAAAATTAAGTTCCATGGTACCTCTTCCAGCTGAAATCTACTTTTGTTTCTTCCATCTCATGAGAAACTAATTAAAAGGAAAAAAAGGTCAAATTTTTTGGCTTAACAAAATTTATTTATCTGAAAATCTTAGTTGTAAATTTCACCACCCCTTTTTTTTCAAAAACATTTCAAGCACAATTATATATCAATACATAAAATAACTTCATACCTTTAATTTTGTAAAATACTTCAGGAACAAATTGCTGGACTTGTTTATACTGATTGGCAATGACAAAAAAATTATAGATTTAAAACTAATGAAATAGAAATAACAATACTTGACTAGACTTTCAAAAAAGCAACAAACCAAAGCTGGAAAAATTCTGAAAGGAGATTAATTGCAGATCCATTTTAGCTAGGGTTTTTGAGAATGGAAAGTTTGTACAGTATGCTCTCTACTTCTGTTTACAAAGTTTAGATATCAACATTTACTTACTCTTTCAACAACAAATCCTAATGTTGGAAACTGGCAACTTCCTATGGGAAATGAAATCAAATACAGCAAACTTTCATTTCAGGAAAATCCAACTACTTCATGTTGAAAAATCAAAACATCATCTCTAACTATGATGACAACTAATCAAATTTTCTTTTCCTGAATATTCCTTTGCTGCTAACTGAAAAATTTCTCCTTTAATCTTTAATTAGCATTTCCATCAGTGCACAAATACATCCCATAGCTCAGTGATAGAGCATGAGGCCATACAGTCATGTAAATTCAATTTCTGTTAAAAAAAACATTAATTTCTTTGCCAGTGTGCCTGTGTCACAAATATATTGTTTCATCCAATGCACTGAATGAATTACTTTATACCATAAAAAAGCAAAGGCTTTAATGACAAAATGTGGTTGTAAGGTTACTAGTAATATTTTAAAATTGATGCTTACCATAACTGATAAGGTTATCCTTCAAAACATCTGGAAAAACCTTTTGCAGTCTCAATGTCTGGAACCGAGTAAAGGCAGCTCCTAAGGCAACACAAATAAACAAAAATCAATTGTTCTCACAAAATAAGTAACACCACATTAAACTGCCCAATTATTGTTACATGTATCATGTTTCTTCAAAAAAAAAAGTTTGTCATCACTTCATTCTGTATCAAAACTGTTAATGAAGGATTGACTGCAGAAGTAGGACCAGAGTACATAAAAAAGACAAATTGTTGAGGTTGAAAGAGATCTGGCAAAAAATGCACACTGGACCTTGCTACACTCAGCTCTTAAATTAAATGGACCCTTTCTAACAAATAAAAGCCTGTTCAAGATTATAATAATAACCCAAGTCTAAGACTAGTCCTAATGCAGTCAACAAGATTTGTTACAACACATCTCATTTAACATCATCCTCTGCTGTACATGTACAGTATAACACTGGACTTACTGTAGGTAACATTACCACAAGTGACAAAGAAAAAAATTACCTATCCTTAGGTCAAGTTCCATCCTAACATCCACTGCTTGAGACTGTAATAAATCAGGTTCAACAAGGTTCTGGACGGCTCTTGAAACTGAGCTACAGTTTTTGAAGCAATGTAATTAAAAGTAAATAATAGTGTTCTCTACAATGTAGGTTGGTACCCAAAGAGAACATTTGAAACTTTTAGAAATTCATCAAAAATACACTGCAAATTTCCCATTATGTGTTACAAACTTTCAATTTAAGTAATAATAACCACATCACTAAGGGTGATAAAACTGCTTTTACTCTCCTCAAAATGGGCCTGGAAGTGAAAAAAAAAACTGCTACACAGATGTAGTATCAAAATAAGTCTAAGAAAAGTTTAAAATTCCCACTGTTTGTATATTTTTACAAATTTTGCTAGGAAGAATTCATCTAAAACAAAGGTGTCTCCAGCTACTTACCCAGGAGTAATTTCTGAAAACTTTGCACGATAAATTTGGATATTAGGACAGACTGCAAAAAATTAATTGAAAGGAAATGATGACATGACAAAGGTTGACTTCATTTGCATAATATACACAGGCCTTTTCAAAATAGCATGATGTATTACTAGCATATAAACAAACAATACAAGAAAGATCTCTCAATACTCTAAACACTTTAGTCTCTGCTAGGGTTTTGGTTCTCTCTTGTTTTCCCCTGACTTACCCTACCTCCCACTCCCCCAGTATTGTTTGTACCCATTAGCTGAGTGCCTAGTACAGTCACCCACAGGGGAATGACTAGGTGACTTCTTAATACAAGTTCACCGCTTGATACAGGTTCCAGAGTGAAGGGTTCCATTAGAAACGACAACAATAACATCATTTCCTGACATAATATACCACTTAATGTGAAAAAAAAAAAACAAAAAAACACTCAAAAACACCACTAGCATTGATTTTGAGATATAAACATGGGCTAAATATACTTGAAAGATTACAGTTAGTTTTATCTGAGTGGTTCCATTTTACGTGACTGTTCAATATAGGTGAAAGACAATAAAAAACAGACTGTTGGGACCCAGTAAAGAGTGACCATGACCACTTGATAGAGGTGAAAATTACAGTGCTTGCTCAATATTTACAATTTCAAAAAACTCACTGCAATAAAAATGAAATTGCTTATTGTTCAAGTTTGGAATAAGTAACTTACCATTTTGACAAACAGTTATAACTTCAAAGCCAATGTTTTCGCCCTCTCTGTCACAATCAGTCCATATGATCAACACCTGACAGCCTCTCACCTCTCTTTCTAAAGTCCTCTGTGATTATCATAATTGTACAATTGCATAAGACATTAAAACATATTAAATAATGTAATTTTTTGCATGAAAAGACTAGGGAGTCTTTTTACAGAAGGAATGGACAAAGGTAGTTGTGGGATCAGTCTCTCACCTTAATAGGCAGATAACTTTCTCCAACATATTTTGTAACTGGAGCACTAAACAGGGCTACAGGAGCACAACTATACCTAAAGAAAGAAAACATTAGGTCCACAATTTTAAAAATTATTTTAGTTATCAGAATAACATAATATATTCTTACCATTTTTGATGACTAGCTGTGAAATCTAAAGTCATCATATGTCCTGACAGAGATGTCATCACCATTTTAGCATTCTGTTTGAAAATGAAAATAAAAACAATTAAGAATGCCATCCCTTGAATGGGGATGTGTGGATCGAATAAAGTATTTTTATAAGTAACTTTCCACAGAGCATCAAATTCTCCTTGCGTTTAACAGAGGAAAACTAGATCATCTGGAAGGAGAATCTACCTGCCCATTGTGACCCATTTAATTTAAGGCTTTTTTTTTTCATGAGCACTGTTCTCATGAGGACTTTTTTCTTTCAGTACGGTAAAGGTGGACTTCAGGTTTAGTATTTCATGAGGCTAAATATTAATACTTACACTTCCCAAAATGTTGTAGTCGAATTCATAAATCTTGTTGAACTTTGAGAGACCTTCTCTCTGCGAATGATAAAGAGAAAAAAGCTTGGTAAAGGTACAGTTAGGTTGTGCACTCTCAAGTAATGTCAAAATATTGTGGAACCAAACTTGAAGTCATTACAACTACCAATCAGATAAGAGAGACACAACACAACAAGCCAATGAGAACTGGCCTCAAGCACAAGAAACCATAAGTGGCCAAGTCACAACTGTCTTTATTTTTTGTGAATCTGATTGGTTTGAAGACACTGGCAAAGCTTTTAAGAACTAATAACATTACCAGTTTTAAGAAGGGTGCATTAATTTTTAATTCTTTTTTCATACACTGTATCTCAGTTTGATGATTGTCATTTATTTCTAATTTGACGTTTTTGTGGAATATATCATATTCTCCTTTTTTTTTTTTCCTTTTCCTTTAGGTGGTCTGCCTTTGTATGGGGCCTATGACTCTTTTGTAGACTACTCTAATAATGATGTTGTTTATTGTCACTGAATTGTAATAAATAAATAAATAAATAAATAACAAAGCAGAATAAAGTAAAAGCAATGAAATCCTAAAGCTATAGAGGGTTTTGCTTAACCAGGATGTACTGACGAAAATATTTACTACAGTGGCAATGTCCCGACAGAAGCTTACAGGATCGACCCCCTTATTTTTGTTTTTTTTTTTTCTGTTTTGTTTTGTTCAGTTTGAAACAAGCTAATAATTGCTAACAGTGTTACATAATTATAAAAATCTGACACTTTACCCTCAAACTGTGTCCTCGGGACATTATCCTAGACAGCTCTTTAGCCGCATCATTTTTCTCGGCAACATTCAAGATGCGCAATGGCCTCATGACTAATCCTCTGTACCAAAACCCTCTCGTAACGTCCAAGACTCTGAGGAATTGATCTCCGTGTTCAGCACTAATGAACGACGGGGGACGCAAAAGTTTCTGAAACTGAACTGCGCGTTGCAATGTCATTTGATCTTGAAACGAAGAACGGTGCCATAGCTTGCAAGTATGTTATTTCTCCAGATATATCTTAAAAGTACCAGCAAGCTTTACATAGTCACATGAAAAGCATCTGTTGACCAAAGACTGCATTTCTCTCTCGAGCAAATCGTCCGCCATATTTAAATCAGGGCGCTAAAATGGCGCCATCTGCAATGCTTCTTGGGAATGATTAAAACGTTCCCAGTGTCGTATGGGATTTATTATCCAAGATGGCGGCTAAATTTAACGATACTAAGTGGAAAATAATATTTCTCTTGACAAATTCTTCCACGCAAGGACTCTGTTTGAGTACAAATGTGTGTTATAGAACCTCCTTTATTCTGGAATAATAAGAAAGTTGAGATACAGGGATAGGTGCGGGTAGATCTCAAGAATCCAGTCTTGATGTTTTCTACGTCGAGATCGCAGAGGCAGACTTTTGCTGATGGTGTGGCAAAATTAAAATCAAAGTCTGCATCACCTGTGCAAACAAAATCTACGAAGAAACAACCAGAGGAGAAACGAGTCCAATCTTCAACGAGTGAGAGGGAACTGGGAAAGCTAAGCGTGCGGGAGATTGTAAGTAACTGATGTTACTAATAGTTGGCAAAACATAATATACACTAATGTACTCTGCTGCATGCCAAAGTACAAATTTATAAATCTTTCAATTTCAGATGTACAGGTTTATAACTGAGATTTAAACTGAAAGTGTATTTGAACATATAATAACAATGATTGGTTTGAGAAAGAGTTGTAACTGTTGAGTACTTTGTCACTATAATAAGAGCTTATCTAGCTTGATAAGATCTGATGAACTCCTCCTTCCAAAATCTCCTCATCATCCGAATGTTTATTAAAGCATCAGTACCATAATGGAGGTAATTTTTTCCTGTAACAACCAACCTTCAAGTGATTCTAGCATTTTGCACAACTCTCAAGTCCGTGATCACTGCCAGGTTTATGTATGACTGACCTTGGAATTTTCCTGTAATGTTCGCTTGTACTAAATTTGACTCATGAATGTCAAAAATGTTGCTGTTGTTAAACAATCGTGTATACTATACTCAGCTTGAAAGATGTCAAGAAGTTGACAGTGGAAGGGTTTTTGAGATCAATCTAAACAGACAATCTCTGGAACAAGTGCCAAGCCTAAAGGAGGTAAGTAGATTATCTCATATATAATTAAACAAGATACACGTAAACACATCCCTTTATTGGCAGTTGAAATATGCATCAATTTTGTTAGTCATCATTGTATTATGGGACTTTCCCTGTTCTGTCATAAAACCCAGTTAGAAATACACAACAGTACAGTTGTTTATAATTGTGAGCTGATACGTAAACTAAGAGCTTTTAGATTTTGTTTTAACTTTATTAGATTAATAAATTAACTCGATAGAAGGATACGACAAAAACTTCAGACCTGTCTTTAGATGTTTTTAACAATATCACCCTGTTTAATTGCTAATTTTGTTCATTTGCTTTATTCAGTTTCTAAAACTTAAAATCCTGGATTTGGGATGCAACAAAATAAAGCATGTTTTGCCTGGTGACCTGGAGAAAAATTGTGTAAGTTGATTAACCATGTCGTTATAAAAGTGCATACAATTCTTTAAAAGAAAAGCAGATTAATTATCACAAATAACTTCCAAGATATAACAATGAGGAAACATTAAGCAACGATTATTTTTGATTAAGATGTCAATATAATAATGCTATAATTGCTTGTCTGTATTCAATATAGAACACTACCTTTGCTGGAAGCAGAATGTACACATGCACAACTTAATTCTCTTTGGAGTTAACGATTTTGTGTGCCTTGGTCTAGTAGCCAAGGCCAAGCTTTGACCAGTCAGAAATGTTGTCATGCCACCTTTTTTGCTGGCTGCCCCTGCTTCTTTCTAGGTTTTTTAGAAAATCTATTTCTTATATTTTAGGATCTTAGAGAACTAAAGCTTTATGCCAATGAGATTATGGAAATAAGTGGTTTAGACAAGTAAGTCTGTAGGTTTTTGGGGCTAACTCATGTATTTCATGCCACAGGATTGTGACACATCAGTGTTTTATTCTAGAAGTTACATTAAAATATCGTACACACTAATTTAAGAGTTTCATTTACAAGTTGTCCAATATTACTAGTAATTTTAAATGATATCACATTTTGAATGTTTTTTATTTTATTTTATTTTTTTAATTTCATTTAACATCCAATTCATTGATATACCTCTATAATTGGTTCATTTTGAGCCCCATACTGAATTTTTCCTGACAGATTTATCATGGAATTTTGGCGTAAGCTGAATGTCTCATTGTAGCAGATGAAACAGAATTTTCAATTTATGACTGTCTACTTTCTCTTTGTCTAGTTGTAAAGAACTGAACAATCTTCTTCTACAACATAACAAGATTAAAAGCATAGGTAAGCTCTCACACTTCAAGCTACAAAATTTGAAATGTTTTTTAGAATGTGAGCAAGTAACCTTTATTGGTTTGCTAACCTTTTAATTCCCAAGATCTGATTGTTCGTTTTCCCCTCCAGTTGCTATACATCTCCTTATTAATTTGTTGATATTGCATCAAGATAACTTCTGCCTGATAAGTTTGAGAATTCTCATTACCTGTTTGCTTGATAATGTATGAATATTACAAGGAGAAGTTATATGTAAATCACTTTTGGGAGTTGAAGGGACCCCCTAACTCTGTTACAATACAGTTTGTAGGTATTATCATCAGCTTTCTTAGACCTCTCAAAAATGACAGCTTAAACTGAAATTTTATTGATCGACATTTCATGGTGATCTGTTTTTCTTGATTATTTTTAAGGCAAAGGTTTACAGCATGTGAGAAAACTCAAAGTTCTGAGGCTTGATAACAATCGTCTCTCCAAGATTGACTTCAGGGAGATTGGTTGCTGCTCACAAATAACTACACTGGACATTAGCTGCAATAATATCACAGATATTTCTGTAAGTTTATTCAATGAGTGACTTGTCACTTCTTTAAAAATATTTGGTCTTTTATATAATTATGTGGATCCTTAAATAATTCTGTGAAATTTTATTTCTGCTTTTATCATATATATTTAGTTACCACTCAGCACATCATGTCTAAAATTAATTTGGCATGAAACACTTTTTTATGCTTAAGTCGATCAGATATTTCCAGCATTTAACATACTGGGGCTTAGAAGTCAGGAAGGAGGGGGATGGGTGGGAGGCTGGATGGCTTGAAATGTTTTGGCAAGGCTCTATAACTTTGACCATAGCATCTTTCTCCATCACTGACCACCTACTTGGAGGTATGCAAAGTGGTTCTGCTAAATGCTGTTAAGGCATCTTGTTCACAACAAAGCAGTCTGCCAATCCCAGTTTATGTCAGATACCAGTAAATATATTGGTAACTGATAAGACCATACTAATACATTGATAGTTATGTCATTTGCTTTTGGCAGGCCATCAATGCCCTTCCAGCACTTGAAGAGCTGGATGTCTCAAACAACAAAGTCAGCAAAATTCCTGATTTAGGAAGATGTAAAAAGGTAAGAAGTTAAAAAATGTGGTTTGACTCTCTTTTTACATGGAAGTGCACTGTTATTAAAAGATAATTAGATTTACATTGTTGTTCAAAGTCACTCACCAATTTCTTTTAGATTCAAGAACTTGATGTCTCAAAAAATCAAATCTCAGATTTATCTGGATTGAGGAACATCTCTAGTTTAACTGTAAGTATTTGGGAAACTGTTACAGTATATTAAGGAGCAGCTCAATCATATGATTTTGTAACAAGTTTTCTTTTTATCATTAATAGATTTTAAGAGTGGAAAATAATAAAATAGTTTCTATGGATTCTCTGGGCAAGTTGAGGTAAAGTTTGTTTTTTCTTGTTGTCTCATGTTGACTAACAGAAGAGTTGTGATCTTTTAGTTCTCCAAAAGCTCACTTAATTTTCATCATTCTCATTGAAATATAATTTTATGTAATTTGCAACACCAGCAATTGACATTTACTTGTAGTATTAGATGTATAAGATGTCTTTTGATTTCAGCAATAATGAGACTTTTATTATATTGGCAGGGCTCTACAAGAATTGTATCTATCAAACAACAGAATATCAGAAGTGAAGGTTAGGTTTATCTAGTGGCTTTGTGGAAGGTTTTTTTTTGGTGTATTTCTTGAGCACTAAATGCCGCAGTAGTACTGCTAGACAAATTTTATATTTTTTTAATTATATATATTTATATTGAACACAACACTGTACATTTTTCTTGAATCAATGCTTGTAAGGGGTGGAGAACCAAGCGAGTAAATGGTCATAGAATTAACCCTTTAAATCCCATGAGTGACCGAGACAGAATTTCTCCTTACAATATCAATACAATATCAACCAGATAAGTGATGAGAATAAAGAAAAATATCAATTTGGGGATAATTAGTTGATCCAATACTAAATTCTCTGAACTAATATTATAAGAATTGTATGGTTGGTAATGAGGAGAATTAAGAATTTGATCTGGGAGTTAGAGGGTTAAAGATAATTCCTCTATCTGCAGTAAAGTCCTCCCAGGATTGGTTTACTCCACCTTGCTGTATTTCCATTGCAGTCGTTTGCCAGTCAGTTTTCATCTTTGGAAATCTTGGATGTGTCTAACAATGCCATTACAACTGTAGAAGAACTGGTGATTATCAAAAAACTTTGTTTGATCCTCATATTGTTGTTTATTCATTCACTCACCAGACGATCTGGCTGATGAATAATTCTCAAAGCAATAGTATCCTTTGTTTCATTACAGTTCACATTGTCAAGCATTTCTACCCTTGTAGAACTAACTGTGGCAGGTAACATTTAGCTAGTTTTTTTTTTTTTTGTTCCCTCAAATAGTGATACTAACTTAGGTTAGTCTCCCATGACAATTCAAGGAATTCATGTTTCAGGTTACTAACTTAGTAAACAACAAAACAGCTTTAAAAAAATGGTTGATTTGTTCTTTCAAAATAAAAGTTTTTACAACATATTCTTTTTTTTTTCAGGAAATCCATGTGAATCTGCTGACTCATTTAGGTAAGCTATTATGTTTTCCTGATACAAGATAAAGCAGCCATGTTTTGCTGAAGTGATGACAGAATATATCATAAAATTAATACAACATAAATTGTTTATAATGTAATATAAGTGTTACTTCAGATCATATGTCAGACTAAAATATGTTTGACAAACAGTTAACAAATGATTTGATTGAGCCATTTTTGTCATCCCAGTGGAAGGTTTTTTTCCTTAAACTTAGTTTTTCATATTGAAAAAGCAGGGAAAATGATAAACAAAGTATAATGCTTTGAGCTAATTTCAGATCTTTTTATTAATTTGCTCTAACTTATAATTTTGTTGCAAAGTTGTCATCGTCAGATATTTCAAAACCTTCCTTCATTGGAAATCCTTGATAAGGTAAGTCTGGTTTATTGAACTTTGATGTCATTGTTTAGTTTCTCTTTCTCCTATTTTGGGCCTTGTACTTATTCTATTTAAAAGCTATTTCCCTTCTTTTCATGATAATTTTTGTCACGCAGGTGTCACGCAAGAGACCAAGTACAGGTCAGTCACGCGCGCCTCCCCCAATGAGGCCCATGTCTGCATCACAAGGTATGGAAGCTTTCGATTTGAGGAGGGTTGTGTGTATTTTTTTTTTTTTTTACAAAATTTTGGATTGAATCCCACAATAACCATTATCGATGTTTTCTTCCTTTTTTTTTTTTTTAAGTCTTAAGTGCGAAACAAGTCGAGGAGCAGATTAAAGCAACAGAACTTGAACAAACGTCTTTTGAATCGTCAATCGCTTCAAGGTGAGAAAGTTTCGCATGGTACTTTTATTTCTTCGCTTGAGATCTAGAAGCGATTATTGATAAGTTATCTAGCACGCGCTTGGAAATGTTCATGTTGTAATGTGTTGTAATGTGTAGCTGCCTTGCTTTTTTTTTATTTCCTGCAGGTTCGATATGGTAAAAGATCTGTTTGAATCTCTGCCTTTAAAAACGAACTTAACCATACGCGACCATCCTGTATCAGGTAGAGGGACGCATTAATTACATTGAGAAAAAACTGTCTTATTTATCTATTCAACGCCCAAAATGTTTCCTTTCCACGCGACCTGGATCGAGAAAAACCTCTTAGAGATTTGTCTCTTTGACTGAGAGGGGTTTTGAAGCGATAAGGAAGGCTGCGTTTCCAAATACATGTGGTTACTTTGAACAGAAAGATTTCATGGTTTACTGTTTAATAAGAAAATGAGACGTTCGTTTCCAACAAATGACGTTTTTTTGAAGGATTTGAGTCAAGATCAGGCTAAACTCAATTTTTTTTCCGAACGATGAAAACTTTTAAAAAACGAGTCTTTTTCGAATGCCTTGAATCGAAATTCGACATAGAAGAGCTCTACAATTAACTTCATTAATCATTTTGTTACTCTTGTTTCAGTGGCGTCTGCGTTGGACCGAGAATCAAGTAACTTTTCCCGACCCGGGACGGCTGGGGAGGGAAGACCTGGCAGTCGATGCAGCAGGTCAGTGTAACCCGAGAAACGAGAGTTTTCTTGAGACAGAAAAATGTTTCTGATAGGAAAATTCCCATTTACCGAGGCGCCAATTCTGAGCCACTTGGGAGACCTTTCACTGTGAAAAAGGAAAACACCTCGCTTTATTTTTAAGAGATGTTATAGAGATGTGAAGCTATCGAGGTATATTTTTAAGTTAATGAAATTCCTCCCATAGATGAGTTGTTGGTTTCACTTTCATTACAAACGATCAGAAAATGTAAGGTTTGGAAGTAATTTTTCTTCACTTTACAAGAACCATATTGCTTTCTGATGTTATGTTTAGCCGCTCAAGAATCGCTGAAGCCAGAGCATTCGCCGCCGAACACTTTCATCCAAAGGACAGCTGACATTTCATAGAATTTACCACAATCTGTCGACTGGTATTTATTGTACTCATTGTGCAACAAGGAATTATTTTACGAGATGTCGAAGAGGCCAAGATCTACTATCTAGTCTAATTCAGGACTGGTGAATTATACTGAATCTGCCTTTGTTGTAAAATCCGATAGAAGTCCCTTGCAACAAGAAAGACAATATTAATGGCTGGCAATGGACGATGTTTAAGGAAAACTTTTGTACAGAATGTTTGAAGTTGTAAATATAAAGTTCCCTTTGTTATTAAAGGACGCGAGAACACGTTTCGTCATCAGTTTGGAATCCCTATGTCAATTTTTGAGATGTGAACTGTGTGAGTCGAGAAGGGGGATTTTAGTCGGTAAATGGGGAGACGTTAGGCAGTCGAACGCCTTTCCGTCAGTTCAGTGCTTCACTTGCTTTTTACGGAAGAAAACACAATACTCAAGTTTATTTCAAACTTGAAAAGTGATGTTATTTACAAGTATTTACAACATCAATTTATAACAAAATTTAGAAACTTGAAAATAGAATTAAATGACCCCGGCTGATCAAAGGAAATGCCTAGACTAGATTAGAGGACTAATGTAAAAGAAAAAAGAAGGTTCCCAAGGAACATATTGAAAACTGTTACTGATTATAATACTTTCAAATCGTAGAGGAAAATGTATATCAATAGCAACCCCCTAACTCGATAATACGATCACTCTTTAACGTGTCTCCCCTTTATTCCAGCAATAGACTTAAGGGGGCCTTCGAACTGAACGTTATAAGAGAGCCTGGGACTGCGATTAAAACCTGATAAATTTTCCGATGTAGGTGTTTAGGTGCCAAGTAAACTAGTTTGCACCGTAACGTTACTGCTTGGATCTACAATAGAAGCACTTTACCCTCCATAGACCGCTTTTCGATCGAGTGTCATGTAACCAAAACCAAAGTAAGAAGAAAGGCCATTCAGAAGAATAGGAAATCCTTTAAGAGCCGATGAGAACTTATAGTAGAAACAACCAAACTGCTTAAAGCGCGGGAAAACGCGGGCGATCAAGCCGTCGTTGGCTTTAGTTTTGCATCTAATCGGTTGAGAGAGTCGCGCGAATTTTCTGGCCCAATCACAAAGAAAATAGGAAAAAAAACCAATGCTATCTCGGATTACTTTCGACGCCACTGAAATGTTCTTTAATCGAGAAGCAAAACGACTTCACACTACCCAAACGTGGTTATTTCTGTTCAAACGTTTACATTAGCTTTCCATGATGTGGGTTGATAAAATGTTGGATCAGAATCTCAACACTCGCGAATATCGTCTGTGGAATGGACGGCGAGTTCGTTCTCTTACGACCTGTTATCACTTTACCAGTTTATCTTGGTAAAAAACTGTAGTTTCAGTCCACCAAAAAGAAATTATTCAAGGGTTTAACGGTTTTTCTCAATTGTAAATTGATAGAAAGTTACTCTAAAAGAGCTTGTCACAAAATTCCAATATCCTTAGACTAGCAATGATCAGCCAATCCAAACGGCGATTTCGAAACAACTCTATCACCATCCTTGTTAAAAGAAGTTCCTCTTTCACATTATCCATTGTAGGTGGTGGTTCATCAGGAGGCCCCACTGTTCATTCATTCCTGTGGTGTAGGTCCACGGCAGACATTTAGGTCTTCTGTGGAACTTTGGTTCAAAAAAACTCCAAATCCATAGAAAAATCCCAATTTTTTTCCACGGCTTGTTACTCACTGCCATACCTGACACAAAAAAGGAAAACACAAGAGAGAGAACAAAGATGTTAAGAATCGTTAACTGTGCGGTTACGCCATAGAATAAGAGATAAGATGCTCCTCTATAACAGTTTGGCTGTGCTATCGTAATCATTGCGCAATCTTCAACAAGAATTGAAAAAACGAGCTGAACTTCCAAACGTAAAGTCTGCTACGCAACCATAATTGACGCTGCTACGCAAAGCATTCCTCAATATGCGTGGCAAGACTATCCAACGGCTGCGACGAAGTGTAACAAACGCACAATGTTGCGTGAAAACTGCTGACACGTACTTTTTAACAAAACTGATCTTTACATAGAGCCCATGGCGGCGCTCGAAAGTACGAGCTGTGCAAAGTTCACACCATTTAAATATGACCAACCTTTACAGTACTGTCTACTGCGCCGGAAAATATTCTTCCTTTTGTTACAGCCAGAGCAGCCACGCTTCCTTGGTGGCGGAGAAGAGTCTGGACACAAGTAAAGCTCTCCAAATTCCAGACCTAAAAAGGAAATTACCAGAAAAATTATGTGAAGATCATCTTCAATTTTGGTATCAGTGTATATGAAGTTCCCTTTAAAGTATATTTTACACTAAACTCTTCCAAACGCGTCTCTAAAAAGCGCAATTGTTTTCAGTATTAGTTTCAACCTCTTTTGAGAATATACTCCTCTCCAAAATGATGATAATAATAAAAATCTGTAGTGAAGAAAATGACTCCCTTTACAAGAAGGGGAATGATCCTTATAATAACTACTGAAACTTTTCAGTTAATCCAACCTATGTGCGCCAAAACTGAAATAACAGTATGGAGTTGGTCATTTCTATCTACACCTTGAACAAACCAACACTACATCGTGCGATGGTTTGGAGGGAGTTGTGAAATAGATACCACAAAGCGATGCTACATACGTTCTGATTGGTGATAAAGCTATCCTTCATTTTAACACCGGTAAAGCTTTAAAAATCTTCAAAAATTATTGCCTTAAGCTTGTGATTATTAATCATTGTCGAGTTCTCCCAACATCTCGCATGGGTTATTTCGTAAGCAACATCATAGAAAGCGCCGTCTACCGATGAAGTAGACGACATGGGAGAGATGTTAGGATTTACCTATTCAAAGAGAGAAAAAATAATCAAATTACCCTAAGCGATCTGTCGTAAGAAGCACTGAACAAACGCGTTTGGCCTGGAGCACTCAACACGGCTAGGCCGTACACTGTGCCAACATGACCTGCAAACGAAAAAAAGAAATAAAAAGAACTTCGTGGTGCCATTTACTCTGAGATTTTCTTTTCTAGTTTATTTTTGTATCAGTGTGCATAAGATCATCATTTTCTCTATCTCTTTAACTTCAGGCCGAGCAAAAGAAGACGTATTCCTTGTTATTCACAGATTCCATGATCACAGTTGCACACTGTCCACCTGAAATATTACATAGGCGAGAATCGTACTGGGTGGCCTACGTGACGAAAACATGCTGTAAGCGTTCGCGGAAAAAGAAAACAATAGTAATAAAATAGAACAACATTTTTACAACTCCTTCACTGCTTTGTTCAATAAAACCCCTGTTTTTTGGTGTTGCTGCCTTTTTTTCAGTTTCTTTCTGTTTTGGTTTGGTTTTTTTTTCCGGTTAAGCATTCCCTGACGTCAAGCACGTAGCATAGAGAACGTCAATTGTCCTCTCCCAGTTTGAGAAGCAAGACACTCCCTTCACTTGATAAAACGATTCTAATAAACGCTGATTGGTGAGCTGGTGTAACGTAAGAGGAGACCACGTGACACTCCACAAACATATAAGTCGCAGCGCAAAACATAACGGTCATCATTTCATCTTGACACTGCTCTGTGATAGAACTAGGTCAGTGGAAAAGAGAGAGAAGAAGACGCGATATGGCCGATTGGAACTCAGACGAAACATTGACAGATACATTGGACACTCCAGTGTTTAAAAAGCAACGACCCCGCGCAAGCAGTACATGCTCTCCGGAGACATACGCACAAGTAGAAATGCAAAGACTTGGCAGGCGACAGTCGAGTGAACCAACTCTATCGGTTGAACAGAACGAAGAAATATACAGTTGGATAGTTCCGAACGGAAGGAAACGAAGCTCGTCACATAGTGTAGTGCCCACTGATGAGGTCGATGATTACTTTATCAAGAGGAACAGCAAAGCGCTGACTGAAAATGCCAAGAAGTTGTCACAGGATGAACTTCACTCGCTGGTGCTCGACATTTTCAAGCCACTGGATTTTTATGAAATATTGTTCGATAGAATGAAAAAGAACGACGGTCAAAAGGAGAAAACAGATAAACAATATTGAGTAGCCGTAAATACTCAAACATTGCGGCATAATTTTCTTTGATCGTAATTTCAATTCTCTTATTTTAAAGACAACTACAGTGAAGAAAATTCATTAAAATATTTTCCCCGTCAAAGATAGACGGGGTTAATCTTAAGTCTTAAGTTATGTGAGGCAATTTAATCATTTCAACACTGTTTTCATAAAAGCTGAGCAAATCTCAAGTGTATGATGAAAAAAAGGGTCGGTCCGAAATTAAATAAATGTTGTTGCAAAATACTCAACGACTGGTGATGACTTCTCGCAAAACAAATTCATTCAATGTAATTCCACTCTTTGCTTGGTAAAATGTTTTTAATTCTTTTACACTGCGGACGTAAGTTAAAAGGTTTATCATGATCGCTGCCCAAAAGTTGTTTATGGTTTGGTTACGTTAACTGAACATTAATAACGCAAATTTCATTTGTAGTGGTCGACCAAACGATTCGTTCATGTCAGAGTTCGATAGCGAAAAGAAAAGGCATGGAATCACGCGAAAATAGCCAGGGTGAGTATCAGGAAAGACCCTTTCATCAAAGAACATAACACACACACACACACACACACACACACACACACACACAGACAGAATGCTTTGGTAAAAGGAATCTTCAAGACCAATTTTTCTCGCACAAATCACAAATAAAAATTGCAAGTACTCTGTCGCTAATCCAGCGTAGGTTATAAAAATCCTCCACTCCTTTAAATATTAAAATAACAAGATTCCGTGATACGCCTCTTCGACTTAAGATTTACGTTTGGAGCCGATACTGAGACGCCTTCCTCGGCATGCCGAATTCGAAAAGCATTATTACGAAACGAAAAAAAAATCGTACAATGTTTATTATATAATCATGGAAAGGTGCATGAATTTCATTTATTAATGAATTCTTCAACTTCTCGTGACATAAAAGAAAACAAGCGCCCTACCAAGGGAAGATAATTTGAACGTCGATAGCTCCAAAAGCTTCTCGACCTCCCTGGGTTAATTTATCGCAACGTTCAATCGTTTTTCCGTTCAAATTAATTTTGCGGACTGTACGGTCCTGATCTTCTTTTATCAGGGAGACCAATCAGGGATTACTCGTAAGTTATGTTGTCATAATACGAATAGTGGGCTAGAGCAGTCATACAGCTAAACGCAAACGTTTCTCGAATTTACGTGATTGGGATTATAGCTTATTAAACACACATAACACTTAGTGGTTAATAAAAGGGACTGGAGAATTTGAGCGAGAGCGGAGTACAACCGACCAGTTAAATTTGCGAGAGTTTAGCGAAAGGATGAAGGAGTGAAAAGAACTGGCTCACTCAAAGCAAATAGCACGGCGCAATAGGAAATGATATTTTAAAATTTCTTTCTAGCATGTGAACGTAAGAGAATAGATATTTTTTCCCTGTGCGGTAAAGAGGCACATGTTCAACACCTTATTGAAATTCTAATTTAGCATTTTGATGCGTCATAGTGAACGCCTGTGTACTCGGCAGACTTTTGAGCTGAAATCACGAAATTATTAGTAGAATGAACGGCTCTTGGAATGAAAATAATTTGATAAGACAGAGAATATTCGTCGAATATTTTCCGCCCCCAAATCTAGACAGCGCCGATTTTAAAGATCATAAAAACACTAAAAATGAATCGTTCACTCACCGTTCAAAGTTTCCAAGTGTTTGTGAGTGTTGACATCGTAAACCTGAATCAACAAAATTATAATCAGCACCGTGATCATGACTACAAATAAATGAAAACAGGGCTCGCAAAGGACCAATTTTTCTTTTTTTTTTTAATGGCGACCATTTTACAATTGAAGGTCGCTAAAAGGCGACTTTTTGAAAAATTGAACTTTGAGCCCTGAACTAAGAGGACAACTGGCCTGGACATAGCCAGTTGTCCGATAAACAGAGCAGCAAACTAACGCGATTTAGCATGACTGGTTGAACTGCATCTTACCTGTATCTGGTTCTCATATGTTCCACATACGATGTACTCCTTAGTGACTGCTAGGGAATACACACTGCCTCCTGAAGTCTGAAGGACTCGCACACATTCCAACGAGTCCAGATCCCACAACTGAAAGAGAAACCAGACACAGAGTCAGCTTGAAATGCAGGCTTGCATCGGGAGGTGCATGGAATCAACCCAAACAAGCTGCATCAGTTGGTTTAAGGCTCTGCCTCGGCAGCTATTAAAGTAATAAGTCCCTCGACCTTCAGCTCTCATTCTAAAGCCATCCTAAAAATAACGTCCCGAGAAATCAGCGTCTATTCACAAGCGATAATAAATCAATTCCCCGCAAGATAAGCTTTAACTGTCAGATTTTCTTGCTACTGCTTAAAAAAAAAGGAACATTACATCCAAAACGAGAAGAAATTTATTTTCACAGATTATTATATTTGTCGAGTTGTTACTGGGCAAACTAAATCCTCATAGGGTACCTTGATAGTCTGATAGGAGCCACTGAAGAGGTGCCTTTCTGAGGCTACTAACGCGCGCACCCAGTGATTGAGACCCGTAAGTTCTTGAATGAGTTCCATGGTCTGCAGGTTCCACACCTTCGGGGAAAAAAAAACGTGTAAACTTGAAAAACCTTGAGTCTTATTTTCTTTTTCTTCTTTGTTTGTTTGTTTTTAACTTTTTATCCCACCACTCAAAGAACGATTGTTCAAGCTGACTGTAAAATACCTTGATTTTCTTGAGGGATCCACTGAATAACATCTTCCTCTTTGTCACCAGAGTACAAACCGGATTTTCGTGACCACGAATTGAATCAAGCAGTTCAAGCTCCTCCAGGCACCAAACCTAACAACAAAACAGTAAGGTCAACAAACAGCTCGAATCAGACGAATTTTTTCAATTTAAATACTTAATGGCTAACAAGAAATCTTACATTAATGGTACAGTCGGCTGACCCACTGTACAACTTCTTCCTATTAAGAACAGAAAGAAAAAACAATGTGAGTTGTTGAGGTTGTTTGAGGATGGATTATTGCAGTAAAAATTCTCAAACTTGCACGGCGGAAAAAAGCGGATAAAATCAATTAAGATTTCAATGGTATCAATATTGAGTAAGACGGAGACGATAAAAAGCTGTGGAAGAAAAAGAATTCATTTAAATGAAAGGAGGGTATGTTGCCTATGAAAATCGTGAGTGTTTAAATTGCCAAGGCAATCAAATACACGAGAAACACCCACCACATCAGAAAGAAAGATGTGACCGATAGAAAGTACAAAAACTTTGCGCTAAAATATTGTAGATAAAGGAGATAGGAGCAAAATTGTTTTTTAAAATCCTCAGTAAATTTCTTGCTGCAACCTACTCGTGAGTACACAAGGCCAGGACAATGCCGCTGTGTCCTTCAAGGGTCTTCACACATTTGTATGTAGTTAAAGTGTCCCACACCTTAAAAAAACAAGAACAAGAAACTCCCTCAGAGGAAAAGATAAATCTAAAACACTTTAATCAGGTTTTAACTGACGTGAGAAATTGTTATTTTTAGAGGTTAAAGCCAAAACAAAGGAAGTTTCTCGAGTTAGAATTTGATATTTTTCATGATGCAGGATACATAAATAACGTTTTGAACACTTTCAGAATAACGGGTATGAATCCCACATGTGGCTATCACACACGACCTTAACTGGGTCTAGCTTTACTCTGGTCAAAAAAAAAAGAGGCCTTCTCCACATCCACATGTGCTTCGCAGCTAAGCAGACGAAACTCATGTTGGCTAAACTTCAGAATACCCCGCAACTTTGGTCCGCCTCACTTACATGTGTCGGGAGGCTTTGAAGATCGAGGCATAACACAATAGACGCTATTCTTATTCAATGACATGCAAATGAGTTGCGGGGTATTCTGAAGTTGCTCCCTCATGTTATAATCTCACTTTGTACAAAATTTAGAAATTTGCTAGAAAATGTAGAAAGCAGGTCATCATTTTGCCAAATGAAACAAAAATTTTGGAGTATTTTGGCATAACTAAGTGCTCCTTAGAGCAGTATTTCCACTATTAACAGAGACTACAGCCATACAATGTTTTGTTTATAACATGTCGTGAATCTCTTTATTAAATCTTCATCTCCTTGATGATCTGTACCTTACCTTAATTGTCTTGTCAGATGACCCACTAAAGAGCCATTCACCATGTGTACATAAAGTCCAAACAGGACCCTGAAAAAGAATACAAAGTGCTCACAGTGAAAGCTTCATTCACAGTTTAAAATATGATCATGTTGGTAAATTATCATTTTATGACCAAACCCCCTTATAAGGAACAAAGAAAGGACCCAATAACCTTCACCATCCCCAAAATCCCAGTTTGCAGTTCTCTTGTTACCTGTGAGAACCAGTTCATTAAAAAATAACTAATTTCGTTGAGTGATTTTTTCATGAACTGGTTCTGGTGGGAGGGGCAGGGGGTGAGGGGGGGAGGGGGGAAAAGTGGGTTAAAAATCCACTAATAGTTGCATCACTTGCAATATACTGCTTCACACCTCAGTTCCTAGTAGCTTAGATTTCTAACACATTCCACTCTAAGGCAAGTTTTCAAGAGCATGCAAGCTTTACCTGATGGCCAACAAAAGTTCCTTTACACTTAAACAATGGTTGGATATCAAATGCTGAAAGAAAACAAATACATCTAAATCAGTAATCTTGGTATTATCCTTTTCAAGTTCCTGGAAAAAAAATAAAAGTCTATCAAAAAGAGACCTTCAGTCTAAAGTTTATTTCAACAAACCAGACATGACTACTTACTTCCCACACCCCAGAGCCTTGCCTCTACGTTGGCCAAATCAGTCTGTATTATACAATAATAATAAGAAAAACAATTCATCAAAATAGAGAAATGCAAAGAAAACTTTTGATATGTCAGTAATGATAATTATTTGTACATGGTTAAAATATATCATGAGTACAGTAAATTCTAGCAATTGACAATAAAGATAAAGGACCAAATAGTGGCATAATTTTCACCAGCCATCATCTACATGTATGTACCTGTATCTGGGAAACACTTTGTCTTGAATCCAGTAGGTCTGACGACAACTTCGTTTGGCTCTCATCTAGAAGATCTAGAGTAATAACAGTAACAACACCACAAGGATAAATTAAACAAAGTCATCTCCCCAACCTAAACACAAAGCTAGGATTTTTCATGTACCTATTCTGATGTCTACAGTTTTTTCCATCCTGTCAACTCGCTCTGTCAGCTTCAGTATCATTGCCTTCAGAAAAACAATTTCCTGAAAAAAATTACACCAAATAGAAATAATTTAATGGTCACCCAAAGCACAGATATTGCTTGTGTGGGACCTGAATGAACATGAAGTACATGCTAAATTTATGATAATTTTACTTTAAAAAGATCTGAAATGAAAAAGTCCTATTCATATTTGCCTTTGTTCCAGATGTGTTGTCATCAACCATAATGTTAAAATAATATGAAATACAATTCACTAAACTAAACTAGAAAGTCTAACAAAGTAAGCAAGAAATACAAGTGACAATAAATCAAATTTCATTATACCTGGTCTTTATCTTTCAACATTGTTTTAAGTTCTTCCATTCTCTTGTCAGTATGTTGCAGGAATTCCTGACATAATTGTTAAAAATAAAAAAATGTCATTCACCATACAAAGGTTTTCAAAAACTAAAACCTATGGTGCACCACAAAAAAATAGAGTCAGTACCTTGACAGCTTCAAACTTGCACGTCTCAAGATGAAGTCTGACTTCTTTGTGATTGCCTTCCATGTGGCAGCTAAAAACAGGTGGTTGAAAATAATAAGACTAAAATTAAAAAGAAAATATCTCAAATTGCTAAATTGAAGGCAAACTTAAATATAAACTAAAGCTAAAAAACCCTCTCAAAGGATCTCATTTATCTAATAATTCTCCTTACTGTCTGCCATACAATTCTGGTGATTTTAGTTCTGAGAATTTGGTATTGGATCAACTAATAATCACCTAATGGCTATTTATCTTTATTCTCATCACTTGTCTACTTGTGCACTATTTGAATATTACACATTGTGGATTGCATAGCATATTGATTAATATGATATTATTTACCCATATTTTTGGTGTGGACATTTCATGTGTTCACAGACTTGTAAATGATCCTCAAGATCCTGATGAAAGTTCAAAAAATGGCACCATTCAGTGGTTTTCATTCAAAAACTAAGTAGCACAATACCCTTATGCAAGTGATTTAATGTACCAGGCTGGGAAAGTCATTTATGAAATTTATAGAGCCCCTTCAAACAAAATAAATGCCAGTTACCAGCAGTCAATTGCTGCCTGTAAGACTTCTAATCATTGTCTGTTAAGCCTGAGTTCAGGCCTTGTGTTGGTGTTTGGCCTTATGGCACAGCTGGCTATCCCACCATTGGCAGCCACATACGGAAAAAGTTATTAACACCCGTCCCCAAGTGTAAAATATGGAATGATCTGATTCACTTTATTTTCAGATTTTTGTCACTTACCATCTTTAGTAGAGTAGGACAATGCAAACTGTTTGGACACTGAGTGGGAGCATACTGACAATTTCTCTCATGCTCACTGCAACACAAAATGTATTCAGCATCATTTTTATTGTGTTAATGCTCAAATCCCTGAAAGTGATTGCATCTTATCTCTCTTTTCAATATCACCCCTGAATCAAACAATAAGGTCATGAGAATAAAGGAAATGATAATCAACTGAAGAACCTCTTAATTGTTAACCTTTAACTCCCAGAAGTGATTAACATAAAACTTCTCCCTACAATATCCATACATTCTTCAGCAAACAGGTAATGAGAATATTCAAACTTATCAGGTAGAAGCTGCTATCTTGATCTAGCACCAAGTTCTCATAACTAATTTACAAGGAAATATGTAGCAGCTACAGGGGAGAATTAACAATCAGATCTTGGGAGTTTAAAAGGGTTAAACAAATTCTCCTTGCCAATACAGTAGGAAATGTATAGAGAACAGTATGGAGAATATGCATACTGATGTTATGGTGTAAAGGGTTAAAGAAAAAGTTGTGCAAGCAGGAAAAGAGTCCCTCATGCCTTACCATCACAAATAAACTATTTACTTCTTCCTTGCTACTACAACTTTGTTGATCATAACACAACCATGACTTACTGCCTATTAGAGAGCTTGAAAGTCACAGGGCACCCACTTGGATTCACTTCATAATCAGTCAGGGATCCTGTGGAACTTAGTTTACAGCCATATTTACAATGGATGTATAGTTCACCAATCTGTTCTGACACCTGAAATATAATTTTAGAAATCAAACGTCGGTCAATGAATTCTCAATACACAATGAGAAAAACAGTACCACATTATTAGTACTAAAAAGTGGTGAGAAAAGTATTGAATAATAGCTGCATAGTGGCTTTACTGAAGGAAGGGAATACTTCTTTCTAAAAGAGTCTGAAACTGAGGGTCCTGAAGAGATTACTAACTTGTTTATGAGCAAATATTTCCAATATAGGGATACATGTTGTTTTGAAACACTGAGAACATGTTGGTTTCACATTAACCGTTTGAATCCTTGGAGTGACTAATATCTCATTTCTCCTCACAATATCTCCCCTGCGTCAAACATTACAGTCACAAGAATAAAGGAAGCGATCACCAACAAAAGAAGCTCTTGCTTGTTGAACAAATTCTCCTTGTTAGCATATTAGGAAATTTATAGAGAACAGTATGGTGAATATTCATACTGATGTTATGGTGTAAAGGGTTAATAATTTAATAAAGTGGTAAAAAAAATAAAAAAATTTAAACAAGCAAAATATTCTCTGGTGATATAAGTGATGATAATAATCAAAACTTTCATTTGATATACAGTATACATGATAATAGTTCTATACTTAAATATCACAAATATTTTATCTTTTATACTCACTGCAAGGTTGACGACTACTATTGAAAGTTTGTTGTCATCAACAGGGCATTTTTCACATGATCGTGAAAGAACACAAGTTCGACAAAATGTGTGCTGAAAAAAAGAAAAGGACAGAATAAAGATACAACTTAAAAGAAACCTCGAAATCAATAACCTTGACAACCAAAATATTTTATTCTGATACATTATTAGCTATGATTCTTGTGAAGCTTGAACTGTGAATTTGACAACCAGCTTATGTTCATTATGTAAATTAGTTCATGTGCTTGAGATAAGAATGAACTTTAAAATATTTTATCTCACAAAGATGTACATTATTCCTGATTTAATTCAAACATCCTTGACTTGTACAGAGCTGAATTGATTTGTGTCCATTCCCCTTAAAATCGTAACCACACTAACATCAACATCTTTGATTTCAAGATACAAATATTAAAAAAAAGTACCTGTCTGTATCACTAAAAGAACTACATTAACATCACACTTCTAGCAAAAGCAGTTTATGTTAATGGTGTAAGGTAGTCCCTCACAGTTTCGTGAAAACTTCGTTTGAAAATAGGGTTTCACAACAGTAAAAAACTAAAACAGCTGCTGTATATTTATGCGAAGAATAGTCAGCATTCTCTACCCAAAATAATGCCTACTCTGCAGGCTAACATCATAACAGTGTTAAGTCACATAGACACAAACCTTATCGATTCTTCTTTATACAAGGATCATACACCCTAGTCATTACTTAACCCTTCTTCTCCCAGGAGTGACCAAAAATATCAATTCTCCTTACTTAATCAATACATTTTTTAGCACAAATGTTATGAGAAGAGGAAAAAAATTACAAACATGTGGACACTGTCTGACTTATTTAGACTATAATCTTTGAAAAGAAATTAGTATGTATAGTACACAGTGTGGAGAACTGAAAAATGGATCTTGGGGATGCAAGAAATAAAAAAAACATGGTTAAACCTTTGAATATAGCCTGATCTTACCCCACATGATGTAATGACAGGATCTTTAAACACACGTTGGCACAGGATACAGAACAGTTTTGATGATGGCTCCTCCACAAACAAAACGACTGCCTATAACATACAGAAAATAGTTCAGTGTACTTATAGCAAATTAAGTTACTAATACTGTGGTGATTCTGATCCAAAAGAAATTGGTACTTTTCCATCATCCACATCCACATCATTGCCTAAATATGATTTTCCATAGTTCCATACACTTAAATGCAATACTGTAAACACAAAACTCCTCAGTTTTTTTGGTTCTGCTTGAAATTGAATCAGAATTCTTGTTCATAAACAATTATTGTTATCACTCAAATTATTCAGTAATACTATTTTCCACCATTTTACATACTGCAATGGAAAAGTAAGAAACAAACCTCTTCGTCATCTTCTGTACAACTTGAAATGGAATGATGGGAACGAGCAGATATAGTTGAAGATGTCCTATGATGGCGTTTGAAGCAGACGGCATCAAAACTTCCCTAAAAACAAGAAATCTGTGATTAACATACTGCTACAATTAGGTGGAAATTCTTAAGGAACCCAGAGTAGGGCTCCAACAATATTTGTCCCCAGTGGAAGACTAGCCATCAGCCCACAAAGGCCTGAAACTGAATATTTATGAATAGTACCTGATCTGAGCCAACCACACCATTAATGTCTCCATCTCGTCCTAAACTTGTGCTGTTACTTGAGGCTACACATGTCATACTAGCAGAATTCCTGTTGAGGCTACCATCATGTTCATTTTCAACTAAATAAATAACAAAAATGTCATTCATTTGCTCAGTTTACGAAAATAAATTCATTCATAGTTTAGCCCTTTTACTTTGTGAAACTTTCCCAACCTTTTTAAAACACTGTTACACCACAAGTTAAGATACATGAAGGAAATATTTTCTCATCAATACTGGATAACAACACCATATTCTCAGAACAATCTAAAGAATGGTAGGAAAAATGTATTGCACAAATTGAGTGAGTTAACTTCCAGATCCTTAGGATGCAAGGGTAAGAAGGTAAAAATTTGAAGAGGACAGACACCATGGTAGGGATAAATTGTCAGAGGTACAATTTTAAGCTTGATTCAATACTTCAGTTTTGTTAGTGTTTGTTGTGCTTGATGACATCACCAGTTTTATGGCATTGGAAGTAAAAGTAAAACAAAACGAACTCAAGATAGAATTGTTCCACTAACAATATACAAAGATCAATAAAGGGAAAAGCTGTTTCAAAGATATGTTGAAAATAAAAACACTCTTCAACACTTACACTGTAGTATTTTGCATTATGAAAAACAGTTTTGATTGTAAATAATAAAAATTAGAGAAGCCTTCAAGTCTAAGAGTAAACATAAGGAAGACTTTTTCCTGTTTCTCTTTTAATACTGTTGTAGCCATTCCTCAATCATAGCTACAGCATTTTTTTTTTCATTCAATTCTTCCTTACAACAAAAGAAAATGATTATACATGAAGCCACTGACTGATCCTTAGGGAATTTTTAAGATTATCTCAACTATCTTTTCTGGGACTTAGTGTTATAGAAATAGTTTTATCAAACAAGAATTTTCCAAAAAGCTCTAAGTTGATAAATAAGAGATAATTCATAATTGAGGTGATCCACTTTTGATTCTCAATTCCTGTGGTATTTGAAAAATTTCCTTTTCTGCTCAAGAAGCTGAAGGCAGAGCAAAGACACTCACACCAACATTTTCTTTTTATTATTTTCATCATTTTTGATCATGGAACATTACCTCTTGTTATAGTTGTCACAGGAGAAAAAGCAGATGTTCCAAATGTGGTTTCCATTCGTGCCTATAGGAAAAATGTGTCACAATTTTAATTGAACTGTTGGGAGCCATCTTCTAAAAGACCTAAAGAATCAATTATCATTGGATGTGAGTTCTGTAATTAATAAATTGTCACCTGAAGTGCAAAATGAGGGGGCTAGAACAAATTTTTCTTTCTGGAATATCCACATATTATAGGAAAATCATAACAATGTTCTTTTTGGCAAAAATTTTTTGGAAGGTCTTCAATCTTGTAAGACAGAACTGCTCAATATGATGCTAGCAATCAAGTTTGTGAAAAGGAAATGTAAATGAGATAGTTTATTTTAAAGAGAGTGTGTGTTTTGACAATGAAATTGCATTGTTTAGCTGTTTGATATTCTGATGGTTTACTGCAGTTTGCATAAAAGCAAATCAAAAAGGGAATAAACCATGCTCACTAACCCAAGCATAAATTTGACCTCATTCAGTGTGACCAAACTGTCTACTGACGACCAATATGGATACATAATTTGCTAACCTAAACTTAGACACGTTGAGAATTTAATTATGTTTAGCCAATGGCATATTCAACCCCTGGGCTTATTCATTTTATGGAAAAAAGAAATGATTGATGTTAAAAGCTATGCAAGGAAATACCACTCACACAGAGTTTTTGATTCTTGAATTCAAATCAAGGACATTATGGTGTTTCTCGATGTAATATAATTGGATCCAGATGCAAACATAAAAATATAGTTAATTTTCATACATTGATCTCAGCTTGTACACACTCTAATTTTAAGTCGTACATCTAAACTTAGGTATTCTATTCATTGCACAAAAGAAGGGAAAAGAAAGTTGTGCTTAAATAAAACAAAACATAAATAATGTAGACACCGTACGTGCCGGCATATTAAATTACTTTCGAAGATCGAGTGATCGCGGAAAACTTGAATGTTTATTTTGGACTACGTTACGAAATAAACTCCACAGGAAGGCTTAGAACTGAATTCACAGAAAATTAAAAATGTTTGGAAATCTAATTCTTAATACACCACAATAAACACTGGACCAACACGGGAGAATAAACCTAATTTTAAGTCTATATACATGAAGGTGATCACACAGGGTAAAAACATCTGCCTTCGATAGAGTCAAAGTAAAGTGCGCGTTTTTACTGCATCTCAGTTTGTTATTGAGCTCTCAAACAATTTCTTAAGGAAAACAAATTGTATATGCAACAGTTTTTCTTAATCATCGACTCTAGTTACCTTGGTGTTAATGGATTCGTAAGATCGCGATCTTACACACTCCGATTGCATATTCCCAATGATCCCGGACATTTTTCGGAATGACAAACCACACGGCCACCAAACTCACGCGAATGATCAACTATCTTGCAGGCCGACTTGATGGAGGATATGCGTACTAAACCATCCTAATGGCAATGATGGTTGTTCTTGAAAGGTTTCGAGAGGCTCCAGCGGATATGTTTCGTATGAGAACCACAACAATATCTGGCGTCTGTGTTCCTTCAACACAGAGCTTGTACTCCAGACGAGAGACTTCCTATACCCAGGTCCTCTGCAACAGCTGCGCGCGCATCGTTCGAAGACAATTTGGCGCCAAATATAGCGCCTGATTTCCGCCGATATTCCAGAAGGTGGCTGCGAAGGGGTCGCTCCACGCTCCTCCAACGTAAAAAGTATTTGTGAGGGTTTTTATGGTATGAACGACGATTGACGCATATGAACTCATAAGAATAGTTTAAGCGGTGAACTTCGGAGTGACAGAGAAAATAAGGGGGCGCATTCCTCCCGCGCTTCCAACCCACTCAACGCTTTGCGCCTATCACAGAGGCTGAGGTATAAGCATTCTCTCCTCTCCTACCCCCCCTCCTTACCGCCAAGGCATTGATTCACCATAGTTTTGTTTGTATGATCAGATAAAAAAGAATTCACATCAGACACCCTTACACGATCATCATGTATAGATTTTTTATTTTTCACATTGTGACATTGTTTGGTGTAGTAGAGTTGGATAATAACAAACATCAATTTACGACGATGAAAAAGTTAGTAATATTACTTACTTCTGTACGTACGATACCAATTTAAATTTAACTGGGCTGACGTCAGACAGACACCGACAAGTCACCGAATTTGATTAAATTTACATTAAAACTGTGTTATGTACAATGGCGCTGTCAATATATTTACATACAAAGCTAAAGCGATTTTTCGTCTTGTCTAGCTCCTTCAATTTTCGTTCGTATTCCACTGCAGTCCATAGTCAGTTCAGCATGATCCATCTTCAGACGATCAATTTTCGCTCGTAGATCATCGCTCTGCAAATAAAGGAGGAGTTTAAAAGTCCGTGTTTTCGTCACAAAACTCGGGTCAATACCGCCTTTCGTGATTTTGATGTATGCTTATTCGTTTGCTCGCTTTAACTTGCGTCAACTTGGACGCTTCTCGCGTTCACGGCTAAACTTCAGAATACCCCGCAACTTTGGTCCGCCTCACTTACATGTGTCGGGAGGCTTTGAAGATCGAGGCATAACACAATAGACGCTATTCTTATTCAATGACATGTAAATGAGTTGCGGGGTATTCTGAAGTTGCTCCCTTTGGAATCAATTGAACATCGACTCTTTAACGGCAAGTCCTGTTATCCTCTTTGCCCCTTTCATAAAAAATTTCCATAAACTCTGGAATCAACTTCAAAAATACCGTTTGGTAAAAATGCTATACAACTGTTCACTGGCGTACGTATACTCTGAAAGTAGCTGTACCTGTTCTTTCCGTTGCTCGTAGTCTCTGAGCAGCGGCTCGTTTCCAAGGAGTCCACACTTTTGTCTAAGCTTGACATTTTCTATTCTCAGTGCATCCCTGACTTGTTTTGTTCTTGTTAATATATCTCTTTTCTGTGAAAAGAAAGGAAAAAAGAACGCAAAGGATGATAAGATTGGTGACAGAAATTTACAAATAATATCAACTGTTTTGCGCCTCAGTCGTTTCATATACAATTTTTAGCACGAAGAACACATTCTACGAAAATTCATGATCGCACTCATCGCAAGTGGCTTAACTACTCGAACTTATTTCGTTTTCTGTAGCTTGAGACATCAGTGTACAAGAAAATTACAGAATGGCCCGGCCAGCCCCAAGCGCCAATCATTTGTCCACCGGCTCTGCTATGCTGTAAATTAATTAAACTCAAGTCATAACGAACCTGTGCAGCGTGTGCCTCGACTGATCTAAGAATGTTTCTTTGATCACTGTTCTCTGCCTGTACAAACTGCAACTTTTCCTTCAGATGCGTTAGGACTTGCACTGTAGTTGTGATCTTCTTGCGAAGTTTCAAAAGCTCCTACAACAAAAAAGGCAAGTTTTCAGTTAGGTAAAAACTTCGTGAGGTAATATATATGGTTCCTAGCTGTACATTTCCAAGTGTCCTTGTGTTTTGAGGCATGGTGGACCTGCCATACATGCATGACGTGTATTTCGTTGGATGCCCGCCAAAAGAGGATATTTCATGTTTCAGCTCATTCCCAATGAAAAAGTATCGGTATTACGTAGATACCAGATTTAAGGTCCTCTCTAGTTTTCTGTATATGCAGAGGAATATGTTACTACTACAAAGGATTCGATAGAGTTGCAACTTAGACTTAGTAAAAACTGTTGGTTTGTTTTTATATGAGCTTCGTAATAAATTAACACACACAAAAAAGCGCGAATGGTCTAAGTAAATTTGTGTGAAGATACAACTGTTGCGACCAACTAGGATCAAACCAATGCAGTAGTTTACCAATCATATTAAAGCGCTTTCTCTTTGTATTACTCAAAATTGATAGGGGCAACAAGTATTAAAATACTGCTAACAGCGTTAAGTTTCCCAAGCATATATCAATCCATTAAGTAAAATTCAGTTGGTATTTTGGGCTCGGCTAACCACGTTATTTTCACTCTGAGTGTTGATGTTTTCTTTGATTTCCACCTAAAAAATAATTGATACTCACCTCATTTCGTTCTTCAATCTTTTCATTATAGGTCTGGTTTTCAATCTTGAGCTGCTCAAAGTCAATTAAGTGCAATCCTTCCGCTAGCTCCTCCTAAGAGCCACAAAAATGAACTCAAATAAGTAGAGCATTTTCTATATACAGCCCTTTGGATAAAAATCTGAAGTAAACCTCTCCTCTAAAACGTTCTCACGATATGTCGCTGAGCACGATATCACATCGAAAAAGGAAGCAAGGATCTTACGATTTTGCAGCCTCTGCGGAATCTATCGAAAATGACCTAGGAAGTTTTTTTGAAACACAGGTAACTTTGACATCACTATTTTGTATGACGGCTTTGTTTTGCGTTTCTCGAAGTTCAATTAAAAAGTGAAAGGAAAGTTCAAACGGAAAGAAAAGAAATCAATTGAAAATCGTATTTTGTTTGTAATTGAGACCAACCTTAGCTTTTAATTGCATCTCCCTCTTTTTCAGCCGGTTTTTCAGCTTTATGTTCTCCAGTCGCACCTATTAAGAAAAACACACACACAGAAAAAACACAGGCATAAATAAAGTTACAGTCCCTGTACGCAATGTCCTACGTACACCTGTTTGAAAAAAAATCAGCGCCTGTAAGGGAAAACTTATTAGTTGAAAGTCCATGTTATTACCTGCATAACTTCTTGTTCCTTTTTAAGTTCTAACATCTGGTATTGTTCAAGATCCTGTCAAAGAAAAAGCCAGGAAAAAATCAAGGACGCTGAAGAGTTATTATACAGATACATTCTCTGCAGTTACTGAACTGTTCAGGACTGAAAGCACTTCGTGGAACACTTGAGTTCTGATATTTGCGGTCTAATTTTTAGGAATTACTACTCTCAACTTACATTTTATTATCCTTCAGTAGATAAATGGTGCTAAACCAAAGTTAACTCACATAGGACAAGTGCAATTATAGTCCTTTCTCTGACAGGCTTAATCCAAGTTCGCATCGAAACGCAACTGCAATTCTTCCAGTACAGTTTCTTCACCACATACCCTACTCTCTAACTCTTTGGCATGCCAAGATGATGTGACAGTCTCTCGTTTAGTGTAAATCCCACGAAAACATAATTTATATCTACAATAGATATACACTGATAACGATGGCCAATGCTCCTGTCATCTTTTTTTCCGCTTTTTTTTTTTTCTATCATCGGACTGTTTATCATTATTTCCTTACCTTGGGAGGAATTGGTTTTCCAGATCGACTGTTGATTGCCTGTTTTGCAACATCACTCTTAAACATCATAAAGTTGTCACTGAAAGAGATATCAGTTAGTTGACGACTTTTGTCTCATGTTGTTATTCCTACATTTGAACCAACTCAATTGTACCATCATAGAATCCAATAGTGAACGGAGGATGACAACATACTGTGTTAGAAAACCAGCATTCAATTGGAATATTCAAATTATACAAGAAGTGACGTCTATTTCAAAGAGGTTTGCCTTTGACATACCTGGCTTGGTTCACAATTTCTTGCCTCTCCTGGCATTTTGCTTTTAAATCTTCAATCTGATCCTCATAATTTTTGGTTTCTCGTCTTTCTTCATCTTGGAGTTCTTCAAGATTTGCTGAAAAAAAAAAGAGTTATCAAATTATTACCATCAAAACTGTGATTAAGCTGTGTTAAAAAAAAAAATGCTTAAGGAAGGACTCTTTCAATATAAGTGACAAGGTTATAAGTTTTATACCACACAAAAGACCACCAATATAAGTTTCACAGTCTGAATAAATCAAGCATGAAATAAAATCATTTTCAAGATTACAGCATTTTGTGCTTCTGACTAACACATATATTTGAGGTATCTTTGTTCCTGATCTGTCACATTCTTTTCTATCTCCTGCTGTCGCTCATCACTCTAAAGATAAAAAAAAAAAATTCAAAATAATTTCAAGGGGGATAAAATTTTTTTCTGGAAACACAGAAACCAAATATTATATTGCCATAACCAAATATTAGATTATTGATTCAAGGCAACATATCTTAAAATATGTTTCCCATTACATACCTTTTTCTTTTTGAAATATTCAGCCAGCTTGTGTTGAAGCTGGGCATTCAATGATTGCAAAGCAGATCTTTCCTCCAACGCTTGCTGCAAAAATATAGTAACAGACAAAAATAACTTATAAAGGAAATGTCATCTCTCACATATATCACATTAGGCAGTGTGTAAAAACTACAGAAAGAGCAAACATGTAAGGAAAGTCTGAGCACAACAGTATATTACCTGGTAACGTTCAATAAGTTCTGCTCTGTTGTAGATAGGAATCTCTGGTTCAGACTCATCATCATACTCCATCTCATCATATTGCATGGCATCTGACAGACAAATACATAAGTGTGCATAATTTTCCAACTGTGAGGTTCAATATTAATCATGTTTATCAGTGTTTTTTATCAGACTGAGACAAAGTTGAGGCCCATAACATCCCATAAAGGAAGAAAGCAAAATTTTCAGCTATCTGACCAAACAAGCTTAATCAAACAATTCACTTATAAACATCACTGGTACACAAGAGTTTTGAGTTGAAAAGAAAAAATTAGGCCCATTGCTCGTGCACCAGTATAGTAACCAGCCATTCAATTTAAGAACTTAATACCCTTTGAACAAATACAAAACCTCAAGTTTATGAGCATTGAAATCAGTTATTACCTGACTCAATATATGTATCCATCTGTTCCATGTCAGTTGTTGGTTCTGGAGACTGTGGCACTGGAGGAGGAGGGGTTGAAAAAGCATCAGGCTCCTCCTTACCATTTTCCTCCATGATTGTCCTCTGTCCAGTGGGTGTTCCCTCTCTGGACAGTGGCTGAGCTACCTCCACAGTAGGACCATCATCAGTCTCTGGAATGCCTTCATTCTGAAAAACAAATTTAGTTATGTGATTAGATAAGTTAGAAAAAAGGTAGAAAAGTTAGAAAAAAAGAAATTTTAAAAAAATTGTTCAAAATGAGGGGAATAATCTGTAACTTACCTCTGGTAATGGAGCATTTTCATCCTGTTCTTCTTCAAACTTCTGGCAACAACAACAAAGAAAATTAAAGGGTCAGTTGTGAAAAATCTTCAAGGACCCCCCCCCCCCCCCCCCCCCCACACAGTCACACTCATCTTTTTATCAAATTATTGGAAATGAGCTCAACAAAGAGTATCATAAAATTCTAATTACTTAAGAAATTGATAAAGATTTTCCTTCAATGAGATAAAATAAAAGGAAAGTGTGTAAAAACTCATACATTTTCAGACAAAGAAGAAATGCCTTCTCTCGGTGTCACTGCAGTCACTTACTTCAAGCTCAATATGATCCTGTCTCTCCTCAATTTGACTTGGATTTTCTATCACATCTTCTTTTTCTTTGCTTTCCCCTTCCTCTTGCACCTGATTTGTCTCATCTGCTGCTGCAGCATCAGCTGAAGTCTCCTCTGCACTGCCTCCCTCCTGTGGTAACTCATTAGCCGGTTGTGAGGGTGCCTCTCCAGCTACAGTGTCTCCTGAGGAAGGGTTCTCTGGTTCGTTATCTGTATCTTTGGTTTCTGTAACTTCACCCTGAGAACTGAGAATGTCTTCTGTAGCCGGAGCATTTTCCTGAATTTATTACAATAGAAGATGATAAGTAAGAAATTAACAAAATAACCACCTTTAAGTTTTTAACAAAAGCCAGCAATTTTTCAAGTTCTTTATCAAAGGTTAATGAAGAAAAATTTTTAAGAAGAAATAATTTTCAGTAAGACATCTAAAACCCACTAACCTTTACATAACTTACAAGTATATTGTGCAAGTAGATGGAGCAAAGAATTTGCCTCAATCAAACTTAAAAGAAACTTACCTCCTTCATTGACACTAATATAAAGGGGGTAAGTTTCTAAAGATCAGAAACTGTGGTGCTGCATTGGTGGGAGAGTATAACAGGGTAACTTTGTATTATCAACTGAGTTGATAACGTAAATTAGCCACCATTAAGAGTTTCAAAGCTGACGTTTCGAGCGTTAGCCCTTCGTCAGAGTGAATGAAAGCCAGGATTTATCTAGTATTGACACTTGTGTACTATCAGAAAACACCAAAGTTAATTAGAATATTATCCTTCATTTAAAATCGGTGCTTACATTTTAGGGTTTTTCCAAAATCCTATTTTAAATGCATACAGATTACTTGAGGAACAACAGGTTATCTCCTAATAATATGAACAAAAAGTGAAAATTTAATGCAAAATGATAAACAAATTAACGAGAAATGACTCGCATCGATTTTAATTTAAAATCTCGACACTTCTAACTACGGCTGTAGCATCTTAGCTAGCGTATTTTTATCCTGCTTCACACTGACTATTGAAATAACAGATATACGCGAAGAAATGTCTTTCAAAATTTAAAAAAGTCACGCTTGTATGTTCGGAGAAGAGAATATGAACAAAATCCAGTGAGAGGAAGAAAGGATTTTCATCTTTAAAGCGCTTGCAACAGCGGTTAAAATTTTGTCTTAGAAGAACTCACACGGATTTTGTTTATTTATAATCCAAAAATTGTGCTAATACTTAAAATCAAAAGTAATTATCGCGATAAAGATACTCACTAGGGTAACTTGCTCTTGATCCGCCATATTTTTCTTGTAGGCTTGCTGGCGCACTGCTTAGCAACGATATAAACTCATAACCACTTCCTCTCAGTGAGCGCGGCTCGGGAGGACTGGAAAGTAGCTCGTTTAAACGATGGCAAGGCGCGAATTTTGTAAAACTTTTGGCGCGCTTCTCTCATCAACAAAAGCTTCATCAACGATACTGTGCAGAGCACAAGCAACAAAAACTTTCAAAATGTCTCTGGTGACAATTCCAGGCATGGATGTTCACAGCGTTGTGAATTTAAGAGGTCAAATTCAGGTGATGTAATGTTCAAGATGGCGTTTTAATGCTATAATTTGCGTTCATTGAAATTTACAAGGCAATGAGAGCTCATTCTTTGTGTTTTGTCTCTTCATCTTGCAGGTCATCTTTGGGCCAATGTTTTCGGGAAAAACGTAAGTATAAATCTATCGCTTTCACTGACAAACGCTTTATTGTGGCCGTAAACTCAAACTTTGCACGTGTTTATGTCATGACATGAATGGTTCGTCTTTTAGAACTGAGTTACTCAGACGAATCAAGCGATACCAAGTAGCAAACCATCCGTGTATGGTGATCAAATACGAGAAGGACAACCGCTATGACACAGACGGTGTAGCAACACACGATAGGTAAGATCCCTATTCAATCAAACAGAGAGAGGTTGAATTACGAGACATTCTAACGGAGGCGCCACTTGAATATGTAAACCTACAGTTTACCTGGATGCCATTGGAATATTCTTAGCAGACACGTAACAAGTGTGACAAGTAGTGTAACAAGTGCGTTCACCTAGCTAAAAGGCGCACAGGAGATTTATCTTCAGCTGGACTCTGCACTACAAATATGCTAATCGCCATCCTCAAGATCACGCGAACTGTGCGTACTCCAACATGAAAGGAATTTTCAGGGAAAAGGAAGGTGTTGCATAGCTCTCAATTAATGAATTGATAATTTGCGAAGAGATCCTTTGTTTTCGGCTTTTCAAAGTAAAAATGTATCTGTAGGAATTTCAAAGTGGAGAAAAAGCTATTGGGTAGGGTGCGGTTCTTTTTTTTTTTTTTTTTTTTTTTTTTGTGAGCTAAGCAGGGTAAAATCCACTCTGATAATGAAAAAATATGTATTGTGTATTTTTCAGGCAAAGCCTCAGAGCCTCTGCTTGTTCAGTGTTAGCAGATATCAAGGAAAAAGCTATAGATTATTCTGTTTTGGGAATTGATGAAGGACAATTTGTAAGTCTTGCATTTATTATTTTTCAAAGATTGTCTGCTCCATGCAGGTAAACAATGTTAATCTTTTTCGTGAATTTGAAACCATTATTAACTGTTATTCATATCCTTTCCATAGTTTCCAGACATTGTAGAGTTCTCAGAAGAAATGGCCTCTCTTGGTAAAACTGTTATAGTTGCTGCATTAGATGGAACCTTTCAAAGGAAGGTTAGGAATATATTTATATGCAATGAACCCTTCAGCACTTTAGAGTATCATGTTTAAATCAAACATTTGTGTCATAAATAAAGGAGATGAGGCTCTAGATTGATAAACAACAGTTAATTACACCCTCTTACTTTGTGAATGATACACAGATATAGGGATAAACTTTGTTCGTTGTGATTATCATCACAAGTTTATAGGATCTTGTAAATAAATTAAAAAGAAACATTTGTTCAATCTGAACAGGCTTTTGGAGCTGTGCTGCAACTTGTTCCTCTTGCAGAAAGTGTTGTCAAACTTAATGCAGTCTGTATGCATTGCTTCAAAGATGCTGCATTCACCAAAAGACTAGGGGAGGAGACAAAGGTATTAAGTATTGATAATAATAAGCTTGCTCTGGTTTCCATCACATGAAACAAAGAAATAATATTGCTACTTTCCATGGATGGCATGGTAATTTATCACATGTTACACCCTACAGTAGCAGTCAGACAGCTTTTGGTGATGAATGTCCATTACCCTTTCCACCCTATTCCTTGTTGGAGGCTGTGTGTCTTGTGTCTCATACAAAAACAAACCTCTATGACCCCAGAAATTAAACCCAGACCTTGCTATTTTAAGTCAAGTCACTAGTGTGCTGATATTTTAAGTTACCATGTTTCACAGAATTATGGTCAAGTTGCCAATGGTTCAACTTGCCAACGCCAACACCAACTCACCAACATATAAAATCAAGTAGAGATGTAGGTGAGTTGGTCTTCAATCCAGCACAACTTATTAGAAGTTAAACATAAAGAAAAGTAAAAGATCTTTAGTAAAAATACAATTTTTTTCTTTCAAAGTTTATAAGTTTTTAAGGATCTCAAGGCAAATAAAGCAAGGTGAACATCACTAATGACCAAAAAAGCTTTAGACGTAAATGAGCTATAACTTGTTCATGTCTGAAGGTTTTTACCTTGCTTTATTCGCCATGAGATCCTTATAAACTTTGTTGGAAGGAAAAAAATTGTTTTTTTTTTTACTAAAGATCTTTTACTTTTCTTTATATTTAACTTCTAATAAGTTGTACTGGATTGAAGACCAACTTGCCAACATTTCTACTTGATTTTATATATCGGTAAGTTGGCATTGGCGAGTTGAACCATTGGCAATTTGACTGGATACCGTTTCACATGATACTTATGAAAAGTGAGTTAAGAAATCATTTTTATATTAATTGTTATTAACTGTTTCTTGAGTGAAAAATAATTTCTTAGTCAACAGAACACATTGTAGCCCACACTTCTAGTGCATTAATAATGTCAGAGGCTTTTAGTTAGCACCTAATTTGTGTTATCCATCAACCTTTGGCAGCTATTTTAAATTGAGTATTGATACAATTATGGTATTGATGTATGTTACAACAGGGGCTTACCTTCCAGAGGGCTTCAAACATTAACCAGACAATTTGGTCTATGATTGCATCCCCAGGTTGAGGTTATAGGGGGAGCGGAGAAATACATGGCTGTTTGTCGTGATTGCTATCAGTTCTCAACTGTCCATCAAGTGTTAGGTGGGGCTCCAATAAGGGGGAGCTTTCATTAATCATAACAACTTATATTGTGTTAAAGCTAATATTTTTTTTTACCTATATTCTCATTTGAAGCTTTGAACAATGCACATAATTATAGCAAACTTAAAAAAGAAATCGTGGGTTTAACTGCCAAGCAGTGATTTCAGAAGTTTTATAATAATTTTATGGGAAAAGAGAGTAAAACAATTTGTTTTTATGGTCAATTTGATCATGCTGAGATTTGTCTGCAAGTATTTGTAAATAGCTTTGTTTACATGATCACTGCACACACAAAAGATATTTAAAACATTAAACAAAGACGTACATTATTGCCAAAGGGACAGCATTATGAAGTTTAAGTATAGTTTTTGTCTACTCCTACTACATTATCAAAATTTGGTAGCTCTATTTAAGGAGCACTTTCTCCTGGCTGAGCGTGTCTGTGACTTTTCATACATTTAGCCCAATTCTTGGGTCACAATTAAATTATCTTTTGTAAAATCAAAATTTCGTCTTTTGATAAGGTTGCCACAGATATGAAAAATTAAAGAATTTATTGTAATAAGACAGATTGCCACATAATTTCATAAAAGTTTGGGAAGTCTCTGTGCACTTTCATTGAAAGTTTGACATATCATTCAATTACCTTAATAAATTAATGGAAATTCTTTGGATGTCATTGAATTTTAAGAAAATAATTTAGATCTCATTTATGACTCCCTATCTGAGCTGTGTGCTTGTGAGTCTTAGTCTCAATGCTTTCTCATTAGTACTTGAAGCCATGAAAGGCTTTTCATTAAGTAGTTAGAGACATTTTTACTGGTTGTATGTTAATATTCAATTGAAGTAGCTGAGTTTTATTAATGTCAGGTATCTTCATAATAAATTTTGAATCATTCTCATTTCACAATATGTAAAAACTTTTTCGTAATAAAAGCTACTGAAGTTATTCTTGAAAATAATTGAAAGGACCTTTAAAGTGAGTGGATCCTTTTTTAACAGAGTGCACTTTCAAATTCAACTGGAAAGACAGTGGTATCTAAAAAAATGCAAGTTTCATTCTGTTTCAAAATGAATGTTGAAAAGGTAAAGGAAATCAGCTCTGGAATCAGATGTTTAAATTATTGCCTGTTTTGTTTTTTTTCTCAGATAATAATAAAGAGGCTTATCTTACTCAATACCAAGGCCTTATTTATAAAACTAAAATAACTTTTTGGAGTAAACTTTTCTATTACATCCTGTAGATGATTGAAAGAGTAATGTGACAATTTCAATGTTACCCAGCAAATAGGTGACAGAACAGACTGTAGAGCAACTTGGAAGGAAAATTACAGGATCAAATGCAAGTCTTCACTGCTAAACTTTAATTCTAAAGATCTGATCATTAATTCTCCTCTCTAGCTACAACACATTGCCTTGTAAATTAGTTACAAGAATTTTGGTGTTGGATCAAGATAATAACTTCTACCTGATAAGTTTGAGTATTCTCATTACCGATTTGCTGGATAACATGGATATTGATTTACATTCAACTCATTATCTCTTTTCTCATTGGCCAAAAGCATACATTGAATTTTCAAAATCAGCACCCAGGATGTTAACTATCTGCAGGCTATAAAGTAATCATATCAAGGACACTAAAGGTCTCAGGTAATCTTGTCATATGTGATAGCAGTGCATGATTTCTATGGATAATCATGTCAAGTTTGTGCACTTTGTGTTGCTTGCTGATTTGTATATTTTTACATGGTTAGAAATAAATTATCAGTTCCACTTACTGTCTGGCCATTTTTTTTCTGTTTAATATAAAATAAAACAATTATTAGATTCCATTTTTGTGACATTCAGAATCATCAAGGTCTCAGCCTTCATTATTGTGGATCACTAAAACCTCATACAATAGTTGTTTATAATGGGGAGAAGTTACAAGTTAATCACTTCTGGGAGGTACAGGGTTAAAATCCTTGCTGGTTTAAGAGGGGCAGCTTTGTTCAAATGGCAAGAAAAAAAAAGAACTTCTGCAAACATTCTCACCTTTAAAAGGTTCATTTAATGATCAATTAAGTCATACTTCACAAATAACTCTTCCAAGCAGACGAAGCTTAATAATTTATTATTTGGCCATCAAGGCTTGACAATCCATGGTAGAGAATCTGGTCTAGATTTTGTCAAATAAAACAACTTTGGCCCTTAACTTTCCATAAGTTGTAATACCTCATTTCAAATTTAAATTATTTTCAACAATAAAAGAAATTGAGGTCTGTTTGAGTACCCAAAATTCCGAGAGACTGGGTGGCAAGAGCAGTTGTAGCATTTACAAGAAAACTCATAAAAATCTCTTCTTCATTTTTGAGATAAAAAAATCACATCAAAACATAAATTTGAACAAGATACTACTTCCAGCAACTTTATGTTATACAACAACACTTAGAAACATACTACACCAGTTAACAAAAAAAAAAAAATTACAAATAACTTTACCTCACAAATTCTATCCAGTGAGAAAGTAGTGAAAAGAGAGACTTTGAAAGAGGAAGGTTACAACAAACAACACAAACTTCACTCAATTTGTTCTGATGGAGATTTAAAGAACCTGGAGGTGAGAATAAATTCTTAATTTAGCTTTTAACTGCCAAATCTACAAAGAGATCATCACCCTTGACTGAAAATTTTCCAGGAGCAATCCTGGCATTTTTAACGCAAGTCCACCCACGATACAAATCTACTATTATTGAAAGAATGATAAATTAAATAGACCTTACAACAATAATCTGAGTGACATTTATGCAAGTGGGTCACTAACAGATAGAGAGGTACCATTATTTGTACAAGGTCACAGTCAGGATCTTAGTGGCCATAAAAGAATTTACTTTAATTTGCAATGTTATAACACAATGAAGTTCATTTTGATGGATGAGTGTTGCTGTGACCCCTAATACATATCTACTCTAGTCTTACCTTACGGAACAAATATTTAATGCTGTATTATCATCACAATGAATTTCATAGAGAGAAACACAAATTGTGAAATAATGCCTTAGTTAATAATATCAGCTATAGTTGTTGCCCTATTACAGTTCTTTTCCATGGGAAATAAAATTCTTGATTTCAAGGATTTATTGAAAAGGTTTCTAGCAGCCATTGTAGAAATTTGTTAAAAAAAAAAAAAAAAAAAAGGAGTTAAACATACACTTACAATGACTGTAACTAACACTCATTTTACTTACTTATTTTGGCTTTTCAGGAAATATAAATCATTTCTTTATTTTCATTTTTGAACAACTCTGCTCATTTAGAAAGCAAGAAACATAATTTTGGAATTAATACTTCAGTTGTATTAAAATTCAGTGATTAATTTAGAAAAGCAGAAATAGAGCCCTCAAGAGCAAGAATTACCAACCCTGCAAGCCTGAACTCAGCTATAACATGAATTCTTTGCATACACCAAAAATTGCTGAATATTGCACCATGGGAAATAGAAAGATTCAATGAAAGCCAAACAGCTACAATTTTGCTAAAATAAAACCTGAAACTGTTTTGGCTTTCTTTACTATTAATTCTCTTAATATATCTTTTTAATTATGGCAAACTTTGTAGTTCCTGTTAGGCCTTAAATTAATAAGTCCCTTGAAAGCAAAACCCAGTTTGTCATGTATGAAACACTTTCAATGTATTTTAGAACTGCTGCATTATAATTACCATTTGACAGGGTAAGAACTAAGCATACTTGTATGAAATGTTTACATTTGACCACAGTTCCCTGATAATTTATAGGAATACCACTATTTTGATCAGCAACAATGCCAAACAAAACATCTTAAAAGTACAGCATAACATGTGCTGTAGCTTTGTAGCGTTGTGAGGTAGTCACATCCATTATTCACCCATCTCATCAGATATATACCAATGAACACTTCATCATACAGTGTAGATCCAGCCCACTTAGTAACAAACATCCCATTCTCAACAGAAGAATGGCATCTGTACACATGCACAAATATTGTTCAGTCCTAACTTATTCATTCTGATCTTTAACTTCCCATCCTTTGAGGTGCCCTGAACTCTAAGAAATGTCACTAGTTAAATAGAGCATTTGCTTCTCTGCATTGGACACCACTCATTCCAGTACAAATTTTTCGTCACCTCAGGTTCCCAAAATTTACCACATGTCAGCCCACATTTGTCCAGTGCCCTGACACTTGGTAGCGTTCATATGCAACCTTTGTAAAACACATTTGAGACCTTTCAAAGTATGAGATCAGGAAAAAAGACTGTTGTTTAAAGAATGCACCTTGTCCTGTCAAGTGTGTGTTGACATGTCAAACACCTCCCATCTGATGAATTCTGATCAGTTGCAGTGTCTACCACAAATGATTGGTGCCTTAACTACTAACTGTACAAAACAATAACAGCAGTAACTTAGCAGCCTTGATGCTTTGAGAAAGTTAATGTGTGCGAAGGCTAGAGCTTTCCTTGATCGGCAGTCTCCGGCTGGGAGGGGCTACTTTTGTATGCAGCACTTGGCTGAGATAATTTTTGACGCTTTATTTCATGTTCTTCTTCACTGTTGGTCAGTGGTTGACTTGTGCTTAATGGTCGCTTGGCACCATTCATTGCCATTGAAACTGCAGCTGTAGTGGCAGCTGGAGACAACACCCCAAGAGGAGAGGAGTCAGGAGTGAGTGTTCCGGTTGTTACTATTGGAAGTGGCAGAGGGTTAGGAACTTTTGAAATCTGTGGTTTGACTGACATATCCTGAGTGCCAGTTGGAGAGACATTTGTTGGTGTAGGAATGGGAGTAAGCAAGCCACCTAAAACAAAAATAGGTTGCTTTATTCATCATGTTGAATGTTTTTTTTTTGTGGAGTGTAGTTGTTTGCCTTCCCATGTTGTCATTTGTGATGTGGTCTAATTCTATTCTCAACTAGTCACTTTAGGCATATAGCCTGAAGAAGATTAGCAGTATGCAGTCCAAACCTGGCCATCGAAAAGACTTTACTACATCCAGGGATGAATGATTTTATTAACCCACACAAATAGAAACTTAAAAAACACAGAAGCACACTGACACACATTTACCTGCACTGGGAGCAGCTGCTCCTGCTAAAAACTGAAGAGGAATCTGCTGTTGATGTGACAGTTGGTGTGGTTTTTGATCTTGTTGTATTTTTTGAACTTGTTGTTGCGTTGGTTGTTGTATTGGCTTTACTAAAGTAGAAATCATAGGTTTGCTGACAGCTGTTTTTGCGTCTGGTTGAAGAGTATTCTCTACGGGTGACTCATCTCCTGATGACTGAGAAAATCCATTCTTCTCAGACTCAGCTCCATCTCCTTCTTTCACAGCCTCCAAGGAAGACTTGATCACACTGACAGGCAGAGCAGCTCCTGCCATTTGTGCAGCAATTGCTTGTAATGCGGCAGATTGTTTGAGGACTGTTGAAGGTAAGGAAGGCACAGGGGGTGGAAGTCCAGATGCTGGGATGATAGGAGGTGAGGTAGGGGTTGCTTTGGCTTGAGATCCTGCTGCATCAGCTGCCTGGGTCACTGTTTTGGTAGGGGAATTCTCTCGTGGTACATGAGTCACTGGAGCAGGGGGAGCATGAAACTGAAGGCCATGAGTGGGAGATGCTGGGGCTGACCTGAGAGTCAAATGAATAAATCACGAAGCAAAAATTTGTTTTGCATATGCAGCATAACCCAATGTGGAACTTTATTTACACCTAGCACCTGTCAAAGCCTCTGACATCTTCATAACACATTCTCCCAAGATTTTGTAGAACAGAGCTGAGAAGAAACAGGAGATGGCAGGAAGCAACAAATACATTTCCTCTTTCCTTCAAAATTGACAACCATCCCACCCTTCATTTACACTTGCAGGTTCCCCTTCCACACAATTGTACAGTCTATAGACACTATCTCTATCCAGAAGATTTTTAGAGTAAATGTTAAAATTTTGTTTTCTGAGCAATAGTTGAAGGTTAAGGCACATCAAACATTTTCCCTTTAAATACATACCTGCAAGACAGTTGAGAGAAAGGTGGTCTGAAACATGGTACACCTCTCTGTCGACGTTTGCGGAATGCCTGCTCTGCCAGCTTCTGCTCACATGATGGGTCAATCCGCCAGAAAGAGCCTTTTCCCGGTTCATCCTGAGCACGTGGTACTTTCACAAAGTAGCGGTTTAGGGATAGGTTATGACGAATGGAATTCTGTTGATGATTTCAAGGCGTTAAAAGCTTCTTAAGAGTCCTCAGCATATTTAAATTACCAGATAATATTCAGCTTTGAAAAAAAAAAACCCAGCCAAATTGTTGGAGCTTAAGTAAAGAGCTTAGAAAAATTAAAAGTGTAACACCATAAAATTCCTTGGGTTTTCTGCTACTTTTGACCAACTACATGATTTTGACAAAAACTTATCTGATTTTCTTCTAAGAAATGGTTTATAAAAAGGTTCTTTGCATTATAATTTAGCATAAGTTACATTACCAGAACAAAGTGAAAATCAGAAAACACAACCATATGCCTTAAATAGTGAAGCTCTACTCAAATAACAATTGAAAATAATTTATTGTCATGAATGTTTCAGTTTAAAGCAATTGAAGCTGTTTTTTATTCTATATTCTTTATTATCTAAAATTTGAAGCATAAAGTTTACCTGCCAGCCTTTGTCGGCACTGCGATAATATGGGTAATTCTTCGTGATGTGAGTGTAGATACCACTCAAAGTCAGTTGCTTATCAAGCGCAGATAATATTGCTTGCACTATTAACTGAGCATATGAGAAGGGTGGCTTGCCGTCATCTTTACTGCCCGCCTCCCCTCCAGAGGGGTTGGGTTTATCTTCCTCTACGGTAACTTGGACGTCTTGGGCAGCTAACTCTGCTACAGCATGTAAGTTTGGAGCGTAGGTGTGATTGGCATCTCCACGGGGACTGGTAGGACAGGAGTTTGGCACACTGCAAGGAAAAATAATATGGATTATCATGAAGCCTGTGACATAAGGGATTATAAGTTGATCCAATACCAAATTATCCAAACTAACATCAGAAAAACTGTATGGCAGACAGTAAGGAGAATTACTAATGAGATCTTGGGAGTTAAAGGGTTAAAAGACATAACTCACAAATCATGTCACAAGGAAGTAATGAGAATTGTCAGAGAGGAGAAGCAACCAAGGTTCATTTTATTACAATGACATAATGGAAAGTGAAATATAATACTTTCTCTCAATTTCACAGTCATCTCATATAAAATGATTTTAATACTCATTGCAAGGTTTAAATGGTAACTGGACATTTTAAACAAAAGACTTTTTGCACAAGTTTTGGACTGTCCACACAATTCTAAGTAGTCATTTCACACAATAATTTTAAGTGAAAAATATCAATATAAAAGGTATACTGATTGATACTGATAAGATATTTCACCGTCACACATCACTTTCAATAAGATCCAACGACGAGAATGTCAATATTTATTTACGTAATAACTTCAACTAGATCAAAATGCTTATGAATATGATCACTATTCTCACTTGAAGAAAGGAAAGGTTCAAATCTTTCTCTCCATGAATATGTAAAGAACTCCCTATTCGAACAATTACTTCTATTACTTTTCCTTAGTTAAACAAAAAACTGTTGAGTTTTGACCGTACATCATCTACTACAAACATAAACATGATGACCCACACTAAGGACACCGTGTTGATTCCACAAGTAATTGTCACCAGTCCTCCTTCCTCTGAAGTCAAAGTAAAAACCTGCAAACTGTTTCACTTTTTATTAAAAAGTACTAAAGACCTATTAACAAAATTTTTGTGTAAATATGTAAAATCCAAGTAATGTCAATTATGGAATTTTAATTACAATAATTAATTGATAAATTCAAAGATTTGTTCCTTTTCATTTGTTCTGGCCATAGTTTCTTTAGGATTAAGTTGTAAAATAATGAATAATTTTTTTTTTAATTTAGAAGTGATTAAAACAAGGTAAGTTCACATCAGATTTTTTAAATATTAGACACTTCAATATTTATTCATTAAGAAAATGTTTAAACTCATATTAAACTTACTGACAACTTAATTCCACATTTCAGTTATGTTCAAAATGAATGAATCTAGGACTCAATAAAATGTTCTTTTCATTCTTGAAAAAGTGTTTCCTTAATGTATTTTTATATTGAACAATTGTTGTTAATTAATAATGTTAGGTCAAACAGATGAAAAACAAAACAACAATCTAGCCACCTTTCACCTTAATCTTTCATTATGATAATAACAACTGTTCAAAACAATACTCTTGGAGAAATTTCCAGACAAATAAATTATAGGATATTTCAGCATGTCTTAACATTGGAAAACACAAAATTATAAACCAAAAGACACAAAATATCACGTAGCACCCATGCAACCCAATATGGCTGTAGAAAGGGAAACTTTTCTGGGCTAAAGTAAACTTTTGAAAACAATAATTCAATCATTTTGATTTCTTACAATCTCAAGAGTCACAATTGTAGAAACTTGATACAATATTTGTTTTTCAACAGTTTTATTTCCCTGGCACCATACTCATTGCTTAGAAAATGAAAGCTGTAGCTACATGCTAATTTTTTTGTTCTTCCAAAGAAATGTATCTGGCTACATGCGAACAGAAAGGATGCCCATATTTTGTTATAAGTAATACTTTCCACAGATACCATTGATCCATCATTGTTTGAAAGACTTGAGGACGATCATTCACGGTACAACAAGTGTCAAAATTCTACAACAATGACGCATTTGCAACATCTGATCATATATTTGTCTAACTTGAGCAAAATAATAAAAATCAAAGAAAATTACATCTGCACATTGTTAAAACATTAATGACATCGTCAAGTACAAAAATAGCATATTAGCTGTTTATTTGTCATCTTTAAATTAGTAAACTTTTAACTTCCTTCCAAAACCGCATACAAAACAAAAACAAAATAAGCAATATTTTTTCTCCAGCAAGCTGATCAAATATTCTGCTTTGTGCAATAATTTCCTTACAGTTCACTCAACTGTTAAAAATATTCTGTATTAGGAAATTAATTGAGTATGGTTTCAAAACAAACAAACAATACTCTTTGACTTCAACTTTCATTTTATGATCATTTACTGTTATTTAACTGAAAAACAAAGTCAGTTCAAATCAAAACTGTCAAGTCTAATTATTACCGTAGATCTCCTTAAAAAAAGGACTTCATTGATTTTCTAACCAGTTCATCAGTTCTTAAAGAGGAAATCAAACCAGAGAGATCGCTAACGAAAAGCTCCCACATCATTTATTCTACACGCGTGCTATAAGGATAAATTGTACAAATTGTTGATGGTATCTGTACAAATTGTGAACTCGAAACATAAGACTTGAGTAGGTGTTTGCTTTAACAAAATGGAATTGCTTTGTGATGAGAACACGCTGTAACAGTCCCTCGCTTCTAGCTCTGTCATAATTATCTTGCCAGGATGATGCCGTTTCTTTTTTTGTTAACCTCAGTTATAGCAAAAATTAGATAAACTCTAGCATGCGCAGACAAAACATGAAACGGACAATGTGATGTAAGTAACCTCACCGACCGCATGACCGATCAACGGAAATACATTTCCATAGCAAACGCGATTGCGAAATACGTATTGAAATCATTAAACTGAGTGGTTTAACTGCTTCGTTGTCTGTGTGCACAAGGATAAGGTCAAGAACAAGAATCTTGCCTCATGAGTTCAGTAACGACAAATGAAATGTCTCAAGCCCTGGTAAAACGAACGCCAAAGGCAAGAGATTAGGCTCTTACTAAATTTAGAAACTAAAGTAACCAACGCACTTGCAATTTCTACCACAACACGTGCACATGAAAACAAAATCATTCTGTCTTCTTTACCATTTCGCGATCTACGGATAGTTCCCTTACTCAGATAAGAAAATATTCTCTCACGGATCAGGAAGAAAGTTGACCCCAAATCTCCATGTCCGAATGCACGAAATAAACACAGCCTTATTCAACAAATGAGTAAGCTATATTAGCTCTTGTGTCAAATCATTCGTTAACTTTCATAAAACAGTCGCGGAGGGCATCAAGAGATGTAGTGATAAAAGTGAAAACACACGTATGAAAATCGTAAACTAACACAAGCACAAAACAAACTTATCGTGAGTGAATGTGCTACTCTTGTGACCAATGCAGTTTATCGACTGCTGGTAAGGAACACACACACACACACACAGAGTAGCATACAAAGCAGCAACTAACTTTAATTGTTCCATACCTTATAGTTCCTGTTGGAGATGGAATAGGAGAGGCGAAGTTAGAATCTGATTGCGGGATGTTTATTCGCAGAGGTGGTAAAACCTTTGTTCTTGGGGGACTCGGTACGCGTTTCGGAGTGTTGTCACCAACGAGCGAGGTGAAACGAACTTTCACATTCGTGGATGGAAATCGCAGCACACAACTGAAAACACAAATTATATCATTTTAACCCAGCTACATTTAAGCACAATATAAAATTATGCCTGTCGACGATACGAAGCGTTAAACGACAAACTGTAAAAGTTTGTATACATACACGTAGGGTAGTTTCAATGGAGGAGCACCTCGTCGATGGAAAACACCGTCAACAAATATTCCGTTCTTCCCATTGCAACTGAGATAGAATTCCTGATTTTCGAATTTTATCTGCAAGTGCTTCCTCGAAACGAAACTGGAATGGCCCATATTGACGTCTACGCTCCCAAGACTGCTGTTTCGTCCGATGATAATCCGACTTTGCCGAACCAAATATTCGAACTCGCGACCTTCAAGTTTAGCTATTGGAGTCACAGTGTTGACACCAGCCCACATTTGCTTCATAGGATTAATAGTGCCTGATTTTAGAGCTAACAGGGCTAAAGCATCGCTTTCCTGATCTCGAGTAGGTGAAGACATCTTCGGCTGACAGCCAGATTCCAAATTGCCTTGCTTTGCACAAGAAAAAGGATCAAAAGCAAAACAACAACATAGCACGAGGGAGCTAGAAACATACGGGATTTCCAGTAACTAAAAAATCCAAACATGGACACTATTACCTTATATGGAAGTTATATGTTCTTGGCACGGGTGGGTCTGTTTTGCTAAGTCATTTCAAGCTGGAAAGCCTGAACTAATCTCTCCAGTTTATTGAACATTTCCTCTATAATTTCATGATTATAAGATGGTGCATTACATTTGAGTATGATATATATTTGGGTGAAGTTTATCACTCGGTGATTTGTTGTAAACGGTTGTTTACAGTGAATCAATGACATCTTCACTTTGGTTTCAGACAGGGGCATTTAAATTTAGAAAGCAAAACAAGAGCCGGCATTTTTTTAATTAAATTCAATTAACAGGCCGCTACACGAACCGGTCATACAATGTTAGAAAAAAAATTCTTAGTCCTTGTCTGAAAGGGAATGGACGAGAACTGTACACAAGAAACAAAGCTACGCTCAGCGGCATGCCTCTAATGTTTTATTGACTCCTAACGCGGATCACATTTCATGCGCAACTCAAACTCATTCTCAAATGCAAATTCATCCTGTCCATTATCCATCTGATTGTGAATAATTGCGGTTTCAATGAGGGCTCCAGAGCTAACCACCGACAAATTTTGTTCATGTGTACGTGCAAAGAAAGTACAAAAATTGAAGTAACTCTTTCTGTTCAACCACGCGATGATGTTTAATTCGTTTATCCCGTTCGGTTTTAGGAGCGCAAATGGAGAACAAACACTGAAGGAGGGGACCAGTTCACCAAGCCGTGACTCCATTTTGAGAGAAGGACAAACAACTCGTGGTCTAAATAAGTTCATTTTTTCATGTCCGAATTTCCGGACAATAAAGATGTGTTGAGGTCATTACCACTAGTCAAAACATTCCCGTTATTTTCATTTCAAATATTTGGTGAATCATGAGAACTGTTTTGACTACTCTGGGTCAAAAATACCACACCGAATTAATTTTCAATATGACTTTTTATTTATTTCACAAACAATTCTATCAAGTAAATAGTTTCACTCTTTAAAAGTGGCTCGAGAATCAAGGTGACAAATGTAACACTGAATACAGCAAATTTAGTTAACAATAGTGACCTTGAAATTAATAGTCAAAATTCTTTCACACAATTTTGTGAAACATCTGACGAATTCTGCATGAATACAAAAATAAGTTACTTTGATATAACAGTTTTACTGAAACAAATCAATTAAAGGAAAAAAAGTGAAGTAAGCTTATTTGAGGAAGGAGCTAAGAAAAAAACCCACAAAAAATATAAATAAAGATCACTAAGAAACTTTTTTGCAAAAAATGGCTTCAAATTTTGCGTCGTGTAAGTGGAAATATCTACTTCTGCTAAAGGATTGAACAGTTTTCTATCGCCATAGTGCAGTGATAAGAAGAAAGAGACAGAAACTGAATAAGAAACAAACGGAAATCTTAAACAGAAAAGAACCATAGCATTATAGGAAAGCTGGTATCGTTAGTACACCTTCCACATAACATCGAACTTAGTGTCAGGTACAAACAAATCATTTCATGTGAGCAGAAAAAAAACACAGACCAAAAGTTAAAATCATCAAGTCATTTGAATTAAACACACTTGTTCACGCGCTTAGCAACAAAGCAACCCCTGCTAGTGTCCATTTAGCAGGAGACTCCTTAGTCTTCAAGAAAAAGTTCCACACGTACGTCGGGCCTCGTTGTCGGGTCTTGTACACAGGACACTCATACACGTTCTTAGTTTCTTGTTTATCGACTGGAATGGCCCGGATAAACATCACAGGCATACCAGGCGTTAGCTCTTTCAGTCTTGATTCTGCTATCATACCAGTTTGCGTGTCCCATCGAGCGCCTTCCATAAACAGACCGTGTACATAAGCCCCTTCTCTGGGTGGACTGTTGAAATCTTCCTTGTTTTTCTTGGTGACATCCACCTAATGAAATAAATTAGCATCATTAGTAAATAGTGACATCTTAAATCTAGCGTGGAAGATTAACGACAATACAGATTAACAAAATATTTAAGAAAAAATTGCACATCTCGGGGCCTTGAGTATACTGTTTCTTGTTTAGCACTTTATTGATGTCACTACTTTATAAATTAAGATACACCTCAGTTTTAGAAAAGCATAGGTTTGGTCTATAATGTTCTTTTTTCCAGTTACTTGAGAAAAGTAATTTTCAAGAAAGAGTTGTGTCTTTCACGTCATCAATGCCTTGAAAGCCCTTTAAGACGCGACTTTACAAAGCGCACTTTTTATTTCGGCATTCAGCGCCACAGTAGGAATGACAAACGAAGAGGACAAAGAGTTTTCCATGGCAGTGGCGATGGAGAGTCTCCTAATTCCACGGCTTTAAGCTTATGTCTTTTTTCACACTGAAGACTGCATAACAGTGAGGCCAAACAAATCCAAGGCACAACATGCAATGTATGAAATTCAACGTTAATACAAGTGAAAATATAGAATATTCGGGCATGGTTGGTAAGAGAAAAACTCAGTCAAAGATTTTAAATATTTTAACCCGGTGCATAATTTTACCTGGAGTGCCATCTTGTCCAATGGCCACTCGTTCTTTCGCGCCATGGACTGCTCGATAGCCGTCAGGAAAGACTGAGGATTGAAGAAACCGGACAACCAAACAACATTTGGGAGACAGAAGTCAGATGTCCAGCTTTCTAGCTCTTTAATTCGCAACAGCAGGTCCACAAACCAAGCAGCTAGGCCTGACATGGATGGATAAGCACGGCGCGTCCAGGATTCAGGAACGTCGTCCAGAAACAGAGCATTGCCAAGTTCTTCCATGTCAGCGGTAATGGTCAGCTCACCCTGCAAGGTACAGAGAGATATTACACTATATGTAAGAAACCCCATGATAATGATTAATTTTGATTAAACAACATTCGGCTAATGATGGGTGCGAATTGAAAAGTGAGGAAGGCAAACAACGGGAAGATCATGGTACAATTTGGTTACGTAAGCCTAGTTGGAAGCGTGAAATATTACGTTTAACTCGCACGAGAGTCGGGTGGGAATCGAGAGTTGTGCTAGAGGCATGTGGGTAGAATTTGAGACTCGTTCTAGGCGAGTGCGATTCAAGGCAGTAAGCTACGAGTTTTCGGCACGAATGTTTCAGTTAGAATTCTGCAGAAGTATTCTCATCAAAATCAACCTTCAAGTGAACTCTTCGACTTTTATATCGGTTTTCTCTAACATTAGAATTAATAAGGGAGATACATGGTAAATGACAACAAAAATACAAGGCGCAAACTGATCAGGTCAAAACAACATTTCATTATTTAACACAGCAAGTCATGCAGTAGAACTTACTTTGAGACCCAAATCTAGTTCTTTGAGCGAACGTTTGATCTCGCTTGTCAAGATATTCATCCGCTCACATTCTTGGAAGGCAACTACAGTGTAAGGCGTGCGATCCTCTACACGAGCCATCATTTCCTGCACGTTAAACTCGTCTGGCAACTTCTCCAAGACTTCATCCAAAACTTGTTTAACCTGTAACAAAATCAGGTACAACCAGTTGTCAATTTACACCCAAAAGGCACACTCCTTCTTCTTAAAGTCAACACTCACCCTCAGGAAAATATCGCTTTGCAACTAAGCAGTACTTTTGCGATCCGAGCTCGCAGAATAACATCTCCCGTCGTAGAAGCTTATTGGAATAAATGTAATGTTTCCTTGAAACAATACATACATTACTCTGATCGTAAGTTTCCTCGTTTAATGAGTCGAAAAGTCCAATTCTCCTTAAGGAAAACACGAGAAAAGCAGAGGATACCGTAAAGGGAACTTATATTCTAATTACCTTTTCTTCCCGAGTCTGTCCTCCACCTCCTCCCGCACCGGCATCTCTAGGCTGCATCTCCAACACGGTACGGAACAAGTTGTCCGAAGTTTGAGTCAAGAAGCCAATCTCAGCATTAGGGTGCAAACCGTAAAGGTAGGGGCTCTCTGGAGGTAACACCTCGTCAATGTAGGTATGGTACGTCTTATAGTCTGAGTTAGGAGGGATGGGAAATCCCGGAGCAAGGTTCATCTCACCCTCAAGCTGCGGAAATCAAACATGCGTTTTATTAGCATCTAATTAAGAGCTGTATCTCTCTTTCTCCTACAAAGTTTTCTGGGGAAGGCCGGTAGAAACATATCCACTGGATATGCATTTCTAAATTATAAAGTATTATCTTTCTTCTTAACAAAATCAAAACCTTGAGGGAGAAAATCGAAATGACAATTCTCAGTTTCAACCATCATGCCTCAAAATGGATAAAACAAACGAAGTAAAGAAATTTGTTTTATCTGCAGATTGAAGAGAGTTACATAGTCGACTATGGACGTCTGAATATCAACTTTTGGGAAAATGTTTCAATGTTAGATGCTGACTTAGGCTAAGGCTAGTTACAAATCTAAGATATTTACTGGTAGTTGTATCTCACCATATCTGGTTTCATGTACTCCTCCAAGTAAGTTCTACAGAGTCTCCTGTCCCAGTCATCTGTGATGTGACCCCCATACATAATTTCACCAAATAGATAACGTAGATCGGTCCAAGGTACCTGAAAGTCACAGGGAAGGTACAAAGAAAAGTGGTAAGCTGTAATCAATACCGAGTGTACCGCTCAAACTAAACTGGTGGAGTTTATCTCCTTTGCAATTCTATTGTTCCGTCACATTTAACGTGGCTTTTCGTTAAAAGATGTTATACCAATCCCAAAACAGTGTAACCAAGAAGTGCTAGCGAACAACGGTGGGAAATTATCAAATCATTTTCATCAATGTCCCGTTGATCAACACATCAAGGCACATTTGTAGACAGCTTAGATAAAAAGAAATTGTCTTCGAAATATCGGTATAGAAATGACAAATCACACTAGTTATAACAACCTGCCAGCCTGAGCGACAATCATTCCACAACCAAAACTGCGCTTAGAATTCTTAGATGCGACTCGGTAATTTCGAGTAGCACATGTGTGTAAATATGACTCAGTGTTTCAGTTACCTTAGCATTAGCCTCGAGGTAATTGTACAGTACGTTTACACTGATTGTTAAGTCTCCAGTGTTGAAGGGATATGATCTGTTCCATCCTTGTGGGCCAAACTTACGGCGCTCTGCCACACATGCATGGAAATAACATAGTGCGAATAGAATACTCTTGAATTCATTCTCACGGGCGCACATCTCCAGTGTGTCCTGATAATGGAAAAGAAAGAATAAAGAAAACAATGATTAACATCATAGTTTGTTTTTAAAGGAACTCTCACTAAGCTGATGGCCCTCAACGGTCAGTACGTGAAGCACTAAAGGGTATTACTACTCCTCTGGATGAGAAGCAAATCCATTGGGGTAGACTACCAGCATCTGTAATTAGCTTTTTAACACAATCCGCTGCTGGTCATGTTTTACTCACGAGTGTACAAGAAAAATATGAAAAGCTGACAACACTCATCGCACAAATAGCCAGATCAGGTTTCAAATTCGAACCTCTTCACCCGTTGGTGTCTGGCGCGCTCCACGTAAGACTACCATGCCTCCAACTAAAGAGAAACATAAGTATTGGCCGAAATTGTTTACATCTTTACTTTTAGGCGAATATAAAAAAAAACTGTGAGGTAAGGAAAATATCTTAGTAGTTTAAAAAAGATTCATTGCCTTAATAACAGCTCCTATTAGACCTACTGCTTACCTGGTTGAAGTTGTCTAAAGCCTGATGTAAATTGGCCATCATTCCAGTGGGTGGTTCATTGGTTATTTTGATGGAGGATTCCAGAATTCCTTGCGGTATGATGTGAGAATCAGGCGAACCAGCTGGCTCAGCCGAGATGTACACTCGATAGTTCTCATGACTTCCCTCACTGTATGCCTCAAGCTTCTTCTCCAGAGTTGGCAGCCATTTCTTCACAAGATGTATATTCTACAAACAAGAACCCAAACAGAGAAATTTGTTAATCCACAACAGAACTGGGAAATCTCATACCAGTGTTCTAACCTCATGGTTTAGCTTCCGATGATCACGGAATTAGGTGCTAAAAACACTTGGATGACCTAACTGGGCAGCTTAAAGGAGAAGTAAAAAATAATGGTGGTAAGCTGATAGACACGAAAGAGTTCAGCGTGGAAGAATTACCTGAAGGATAACCCAATGACCTTCCTTGGCGGCCAGGTCCAAACTCTGCTCTGCGACGATTTCTTGACCCTTTAAATTCGAATAAAATTGATTAGCATGATAGCATCATCATAAGGGTAGCCTTATAATGATGATTAGCCTCACCTGCCCAAGTGACACGTTATGGAAGTTTTTGTTGTCAAACGTGAAGCCGAGTTTCTTGCCCAGTGCCTCCACATCCTTCAGAGGATCGACACCAGGAGATAAGATGAAGAAGATCGGGGTCCCAGGTCCGCTCTCTTCGTAAGACTTGGCGAACTCCACTTGACGATTCTCCACATATTTCGCACCCATCTTTTCTTCCACGAAGCCGCTGTAGAAAGGAATAGCACAAATGTGAGCTTAATAGTCGCATAATTTAGAATAAAATAAAAATACCGTACAAGTAACTTAATCTAATTACTACAATTCAGATAAGACTCACAAGATCGGTTCAATCATGAAGGGAATTCCATTATTGGTCAAAACTGTTGAACCATATTAGCCAATATCTATATTGCATTCCGTTAGGTTATTCAGTCGGTATTCTTTTATGTCTGGCTTCTAAGTCTGGCCAAACACCTCCAAATAACAACCATGATAACAAAATCACTATTCATGTGTCAAACCGGCCATATGGAAACTCTTCATGTCGCACAAAATTACTTTTTTTATAAATTACCTGACAGCATATGTCATTCTGTCCGGCCTAAGAGCTCTCATCATGCAAAGCTTCTGTAAGGAAGTCTTGTTTTTCCATTCTTGAGGGAATTTTTCCTTTTCCGGACATTCACTCTCCACAAACTTCTTCCATCTCTTAGCCGAGCCTTCAATGTCGCGATCCAGGTTACGGAATTCTTCCATGTTACCCAGAGCCTGCGGAGAAAGACGAGGAGATATCTTTAAAATCTCCTAGCTAAAAGTATGGAGAGAGTTCTACGGTATTTGCATTTACGTTCCCTAAAGATATTAAGCCACCTCCTACTGATTCCAAGTGGACGAAGTTTGTTCGTCCGTCAGTCTTTGTGGTTTTCCCGCGACAAAGCAACTAAATCTAGTTTTGAACTTACCTTAATTCCTCCCCAACACAGATTGTTGAGGAAATCAACTGGACTCGTAACATTCATAACCGCTGGGAACCGAAGAAGGAATTCTAGCTCATTTGGAACTATCTCTTTTTTCATCAGTAGAATCTGTGTAAGGAAAATGCAGAGGACAGATTAGAGGGCAGTGCTTGATAGGAAAAATTACACGCATAACTTTGTTGGCAAAAATTTCCAGTTTTACGCCAGAACCACTAATTGTACATATTTTGAATTTCATACCTGGAATGCCACTTGAGATGTGAAGATCAGTTTGTCTTTTTCAAACAATCCCCGAGTGGTGTAGATGAACACGGAGAATGTGATGCAATCGATCAAGTTGTTCACTCTGATTTTTACTTCTTCTGCAGGTTCAGCTTTATCAATGGCCTTTTGAAACACCACATTGAATGCCTAACAAGTGATTGAAACGCAAGAGCAGTTTTGTTATGGAATGGTAAGTTGGAAAAAGCATGTAAATGTTTAAATTCCACTCTTCAGATAACATCGCGCCCTAGCTTGCCTCGGGTTATCCGTAAAAAGGTGATTTATACTTTATATGAGTAGATTCGCCGCTTAAACTGCGACATGAATCGGACGAAAATTCTTCTCAAAACAAATTGTTTTGCAACTGACCTTAAGAGAAAACTGGTAGATCGGATTGATCTTATTCAGGTCATTCAATATGAAGTACAAAAGTGATGATCGAGCAGCTGCTGGTCTGTACTGTTCACGGGCTTCGTTGATTTTTATCTCAGTGTTTTTTCCTTCTGCTACTTTGACTTCGATTTCTGCTGCTGTTCGTTTGGTTGTCTCAAGGTTCTCCACCAGAGCGTAATCTCCAAGGAAGTTTCCTCCAGCAGCAGACAGACGAGCCAGGAGGGAGTCTTCCAGTTCTTTGATTTTTATGGTAAATTGGTTCATTTGTTGAGTCAGGTTGGCCTATGTGTAAAGAAATACACAAACAAATTGGAAGGTTGAAAAGCAGGATTCTATTCTCGTTTAAATTCAAATCCCATCCTCCTTGATCAGTTTCTTCATTAAGAAGATCGTTCTTGACCGGACATATCACAAACGTCTCTCATTTTCCTGAACTTTTAAAACTTTCCAGCTGCTAGAAAGTTTAAATTAGGAGAATTTCCATACTAAAAGGTCCGTTAGGTTACCGATATTCTGTTCAGCAATTTCTGTTACCTTCGTTTCCTCGAGATCAGGCCTCTCCTTGCGAACAACATCGGCTAGCAGCTGGTCCTCCAGGCCTTCACGTGTGACTGTGAAGTTAATCAGAGTGGTCTGAGCCTGCATCTCAGGTTTGTAATGAGGATTGGCTAGTTTAGTGTGAAGGATGAGACGGAAATCTGGATGATACTCGACTTCCTTGTCACCCATCTTGATGTATCTAAAAATTAAAAAGTCATTTAACTCAAAATTGTTTATTCATAACTGCAACAAGTTCGCGCTAGTTTTTTAGACAAATCACTGAGTGAAGTAAAGCCAACCCTCACTATCAGCATTCAATTCTAAATCTTTCAGTATGACACTCAAGGCTCCTGCAAACTAACATACTCTGTTATAAAACACACCTTCCTTTCTTGATGGTGTTTCGTCCAACAAGTGCATCCAACACTGGGTCCATGTTCTCACCCATATTTTCAATCAGTACACAGTCACCGTTGGACACAGCGCGCTCGATGGAATCCAGATACCTGTGAAGGAAACCTCCAATATTAGTGTCGTATATTTTGCGCTACTGTTTGATTGGAAATGGCCCCGTCATAACTGTAGATTTAAAAAAGTGACCTTCATTCAGCGAAAGAATTTGCTAGAATATTTGTCCACGGCCAGCTGTTCCGAGAAAAAAAATAAAACCGAAAAAAAAGAAAAGAAAAGAAAAGAAACAAGGAAAGGCAAACAAAAGAGTGGATAATAAGTACCCCTTCTGTCCCAGTCTGACCACTCTGAGTTCCTCCCCTTCTCTTGTTTTGATCCACTTCACTCCTTGTAGCTGTGGATCAATCATTAGCGGCCATCTTTCGCAGTTTGTCAGGATGGTGGCGTTCTCAGTACTCATGCGGTCGCTTGGTAGATTCTCGTTATTCCACTGAGCGATGGTTGCGTTGTCAGTCAACAAGGTAAGAGGATCGAGGTTTTCAGTGATCTTAATTGGAACCTGAAGAATTAAGAAAACACCTGTTAATACCCTGATCAATATTTTACGAAAATTGTAATTAATTTTGGTTGTATTAGGCTTAGCGTACCGACTGTCCTTTGAGAAATGGTAGCCACTTCTCATGCATGAGGTTGTCTCGGTATTTCCGTGTGAAGCAGCCGACGTATGAAACGAATGCTGTAGTAAGCAGCACATCACCAGGTAAGGTCTTCTCCTGCTCTTTGAAGTTCGCCACTGATTCGGCCCAACGGACATTCTCCGAAGCCAGGCCGCCGACTAATCGATTAGCCAGTTCGATTGTCATTGCCGTCTGTTCAGCTTCCTGCTGGCACTTTAGTTTCTCGGCAGTGGCCTAAAATAGCACCAATTAGGATGAGTATAAGTTTTAGACTTCTAGGCTACATTTAAAAAGACCTCTCCTCGAAAAAAGAAAAAAATAATCCAGACTCATGCTGTCTAGTCGGCAGCAAATAAGTGAATCCTTATTTTTAAACGTCATTGAAGGGTACTGAAACATTACAATTTGTCGGTCAAAAAAAGTTTAAAAAGCAAATTAACAAGTAGCAAAATTGATGAAATAAACAGTCAACTTGTACTGTTCATGTCTTGGTTTTTACCTGGAGGAAAGCTATATATCAATAACGTGCACACGACGGAATTTTCTGCGACGTCAGGCGATAACTAAAAAACACCAAAGATGACCCCTACGATACTTTTGAAGGGAATAAGAAATGCCCCTTGGTACTTTTGGCATGCAGTCTGAACATTGATGTGCGCTTACCCGCTCAAATGAAGCCGTCAGCTCAGCCAAGTTTTCATCCAATTCATGGATCTTAGCTTTGATCTTAGCCAGTTTCTCCTCTGCAGCAGCAAGTTCTGCATTTGCAGCGGCTAAGGCCTGTCTCTTAGGTTCTACATCACAAAACACGTGATAGAACTTGATGATGTTAAGTGCCCAAGCACAGATACCAGCAGCAGCGATGGACTTGCTACGGATGAAGTCAGGTTCAAACTCTGGATCGTCAAGATATGGCTGTACGGCCTTTAAGTTGTTTTCATGAATGTTCTCTTTGTCGTAATTTATCAGGGAATCCAAAAACTGATCGACCTTTGATTCAAAATGAAAGGCAAGTAATAAGTTAGTTCAAACTTAGTTTTCCATTGAGACTTTATCTTGTAAAGCTTAGTTGAGGAAGTTTGCTTTCATATGTTAACGCCTGTTAACTGATACCTTTAAGTATTATCGTCGTATTTTTCGGCATGGATAAGATAATACTGAGTTTGCTGAGAAAGGTTACATATGAAACACCTCTGCGGGTTCAGGTTGGTGTGGTGACGGTCTGCTTGATACCACAACGTTATTCCATAATTATTCACATCAAAATCTGGTTTTAAAACACCTCTTTGTTTCAATTCCTCTTCACCCTAAACATTCAACAATATTGACTATGACACGCAACAGTGTGTTTTTTCAGCCTTCAATCTTCATTCCGCGAGACTGTAAGAATGCTATCCGGTTCATTCAGTTCTGAGTTGAATTAGACCAACTATCAAATTTATACCTTAGCCATCATGATTTTACACTGCTTCCAGCTCTTGTCTTTAGGAATCTTATTCGGTGGAGAGAGTAGAGCCATGACAGCTGCTGTGACGTTAGCAACAGCCGTTGGGGGCGATCCAAACGACTTCAACTCGGTCAAGTTGTTCTTGTTCAATGTGTTCAAAGCCTCCTGAGCAGCTTTCAGCGCAGGCTCTGCCTTGGCTAAGTCCGTTTCACACGATTTCTGTTTTTCAGACACATCCTTTGCAATGACTTGAACTTTCTTCTCTTCTTCATCAGCGATGGCCTTCTCTTTGCTCACTTTCTCTGTTTCAACTCCCACCTTTTCAATGAGCTTGTCTGCATCTTCGTTCTTCTGCTTGAGTTCGACTTCTTGTGAGGCTAGCTTTGCTTTCAAATCATCTACTTGAGAGGCAGTGCTCTGTAACTTCAGTAGACCATTCTCCAAACGCTCAGTTTGTTGATTCAACTCCAACGCCTTCTTTTTGAGAAGATTCCGGTATAAAGTGATCTACAAAAAGAATAAATGCATGAGCAAATCATGTTCAAGACAAACAAGTTTTGAAAAGAGATGACGGATATATTAAATCTGTTTGCTTTGTGTACAATTTGTGTACAATTTCCTTTAGCACCTGGAATCCCAAAATAACATTTATCTTAGAGCTGGTTTAAGATACATAAAGAAGTAAAATTAAAACCGAAATCAGTAATAGTAATGAAACATTTCTCTTAAATTTCGAGTGTCTTTCGAAACATGTGATAAAACCGAATTTCATTGCAAGTCCAGGAACTCCAATATATCACTTGCACCTTGGCCTTAGATGTTCGCAGTTTCGGAGAGGAGAAAAAATACTTTTGGCGGGAACATACCTGTTCCAAGAAGCTCTTTGGGGTGGTGTAGTTGTAACGCCTTTCATTTGCCAAATACAACTGACTCTCTTCGTTCACACTGGTGTGCACAAATGACATAAACTCCGCCACAGAAGGTTTTACATCGTTCTACAGAAAAAAAGGCAAACGAGGTAGACTACGCTTGCAGGCTATGATCAGTTACAGAAACTTTTAAAACTTATTTCATACCAATGTTACTTCGCTGTAAGGTTTTACTGTCGAGGGGATTGCCATGGGGACTTGCTTGATGAAGGTTTTCGAAGAACGATAAAAAGCTGCGATGAGAAAGTTTTACCACCCACAACTGCTATTAGTCAAGTGGAAGAATCATTAGAAAACAAAACACTTGTTGCACATGGCTTCAATCGCAAAAGTGAGGGAAACTCGAAGTTCGTGAATAATAAATATCACAATTTGTCAATCTGTTGTCCATAAAGTTCTTAATCCCTGTCATTTACAGAGCATTATTTAAACAGTTTTAACCATTATTTTAAGTCTATTATTGTAAAATTTTGCTGTATTGTTAATCTACCTCAAGCTGCTCTAAGTCATCAATGAACCTCTTGCTGACAGACACCAAAGCCTCCTGAGGCCACTCGTGAAACCAGTCAATTGCTGTGCAGTTTGTTACAGCCGGGAACTTACGACTCCTTACACGCAACGTAGAGCCAACGGGAGAGAAACACAGGACAACTTTGAGATTTCTTCGCACTCGCTCAATAAAAAACATCCAGCAGTTTTCCCTCGTGTCTTGTAGCCCAGCGCCTTTCACTTCATTCCTGACTCCGGAGATGATATTCTCGACTTCATCATCTGCAAACAGACCTGGAATCTCCCCAGACGCCAGTAAGTCATTAATTAACACCAAGAAGTTCTCCTCTGGAACTTGTGCGTCGGTCAATAAAAATACAGTGCCGATGTTCTTCAATCCTGCCTTGGTACACAAGTTTGCTAAGTCGAGCTAGAAAAAGTTAACAAAGGGAAAAAAAAAACAACCATTAGGAATCTGGCACGATTAAGCGTGATTAAAACAAATGTTCTTCATCAATCTTAAATTATCTCCTTTCATATTAGATACCAGAACGTGGAGATAAGACAACGTTAACTATTGGCGTTTGTCGTTGTTCAACTAATGCACTTCACTCACGGGAAACATCTATCTTAAAAGCGAGGAAAAGATTAGTAAAAGCGGTTCTGATCATTCACAGGATCCCACAAGTTATTTGAAATTCCTTGAGCTTTCACACAATTACACACCTTGAGGTCAGGGATGCCATATCCTTTCCTCAGTGTTATTTGGAACACTTCTAGAGCACTGATGAAAGCAGCAAGACGAGCCAAACTCTGTTTACCACTGCCACCCACACCCACTAACAAGGCGTTACCACGGGGGGACTCCAGAATACGGTTGATACGACAACTGTAAAACAAAACATGCAAAATGGTAAGAACAATAAATATTTGGGAATCTCTCAGAGCTCTTAGAGAGCCCCACATTGAAATAATTTTAAAGTATCGAGCACCTAGATCATTGTAAGTCCGGTAACAAAACTTTTAAGGCCAGGATATGACGAGACGCTAAAGAAAGCCCAACGATGGAGAGCCGGCGTAAAGAAGGAAGCTGCTTATCGCCGGAAATATGGCAAGGACAAGAAATTGGATAAATAAGTACAGAGATAAGGGGAGGAAGACGTCACGAAACTGATGAAATCGATGGAAGACCTACCATATGTGAATAAAAAGCGGGAAAATAATTAACTTTCATTCCACTATGCACTCTGACTTGCCATACAGAAAATGTTCCCTTGAAGAAAACAACTAACGAAATCGGTTTTTTCAACTTACACATGTTGCATGGCGTCGTCAAAAAGCACAAGGTTCATGACCGCGTTGACTTCATTGTAATTCTCCAGTGCTTCTGTCAGCAGTTTATTCAATGACTCCCAGCCTTGTACAGCGAGGTACTTAGGTTCCCCAATTCCACTTGCAAAATGACAGAACATGTTTGGCTTGGCGTACAGAGCCTCTTCATCGAAATCCTACGTAGAAAGAAGCACATTTAAAACACAGCGAAACTACCCCCAAAGTTTTTGTTGACTTTTCTAAGGTAAGAAGTCATCGAGACATGAGTCTATAGTCTTGCAAATGTTTCAGATTTCTCATAAGTAAAATGTTTGATAAATTTGACCGGAAAAACATTTGAAAAACCGAAGTTTTCATCTCCATTTTTTGTGATCCAAACTCGTCTCAAACGAAATACAGAAATAAAAACCTCGAATGTCTTCTTTGTGATATCTTGCTGGATTCTGTCGTAGTTCTCCATATCTTTGTCTTCTACAAGTTTGTCTCTGTAAACTCGGTCACACTCGTGCATCCACAGTCTAACAAGATCCATTGGCGTCTTGATACATTCAGCTGTGGAAAACAGGATACCCTACAAGAAAGAAAACGTAATTAATCATGACACAGTTCGACTGCAAGAACCCAAAGAGACAATATTAGCCATTACATTAACTTCAGCGCCTTTTTTCCTTTTCTACAATTTCCAATCTTTTCTTAGCAGTGTGGACAGGAAAATAAGACAAATTCTTCCTTAATAAGTCCTCTTGTCCAAAACTTGCTGAGTTTTGTACAATACGCATTACTGAGACTGTGTGGGGTTCAAAATCTCCCAGACAAATATCGTTGCCAAGTTTTATTTTGCTGATCTTTTGACAGACACACTTTCTTGCCAAGTATACCAGTCAACGAAAATGATACGACTAGGCTGTTCACATCACACAACATTCAGCGCAAGGGAAAAATCCAGGAGTGAGCAAAATAGACTGCATCATAATCAACATTCACAGCGGTACTCAAATTGATTTCATTTTCTCGCTGAACTAAGGCTATCTTTCCTGTGGAGGTTCACAGAGGTTTACGAGTTCAGCAACAAACTATGGTTTTGACAAACCTGGAAGATATTGGACAAGTCTCGCAGGTTGAAAACATAGTGGAATTTTACAGCTGTAGGAAGGAAAGTTGAAGTGACCTGCGTTGAGAAAAAGACAAAAAAAATTAAGTTTGCCTCGTTTTGTACACGAAGCCACTTTCCAGATCTGAGTTGCGGTCGATAAATTCTTTAGTGTATATAAAATGAGCAAGCTGATAAAGCTGAAGAAATTTTTTGGAAATGTTCGTTCTTTTTAGCCCGATGTCACTTCCTTGAAATGCTTTTCTACTGGAACATAAGAGTTACGCTCGTGGGAGATAGATGTCTCATGGACGATACATGACTTAGATAATTCTTCTAAGTAACTTGTGGACTGTCTGTGCCACGAGTACTGAAATTCAAGAAAAAAATTCAAATGGTTTAGTAATAGGGATGATGGAATACAACACACCTTCTGGTTCATGGCTAAAGCTGCATCGACAAGTTTCTCAGCATTCTTCTGTACCGCTTGAGGGAGACCCAAAGCGTTGATGTGTCCGTTCAAGATGCTCAGGTAAATGGTTTTCAGGGCATCGAGTCCCGGGAAACTTATTGCGAACACTGCAAAGTGGCGCTGCAGAGAAAATAACGTAACCATTAAAAGTCCGGCCGACGTTCTAAGAAAATTTGTTAGGATACATCCCGATGTACTCTCTTACAACTTTGTCCATCAGAACTTTCCTAAGTCTATAGCTTCAATCAGTTTCTCTAATGTTTAAAGCCGTATTTCATTTTGAAACATCTTGCATTGAGTTTCAGTTGCCCCAATAGCACGACCTTTCTCTCTAACATTTTAACATATTTGATTTGACCTAAAATGGATACTAGACACTTTAGATCCCATTAGCTACAGACCTGTAGTCGAGGATTGATGGTGAAGCTTCCTGCTGTAGGATTCATACAGGCGACATACTGACAATTGTGAACTTCTTTAAGAGACAGCTTCGCTCTGTCGTACCAATGAGTGTAGTCCAAATGTTGTCTGATGAGGGTGTGTGGTTGTACTGTTCCATAAGTGTCCACCTGGATTGAAGGAAAAGAAAGAAATTACCCAAACTAAGTTTCTAGACACGTGCAGTACCAACAGTAAAGCGCGGGAAAATTGTTACCCAGCGAAAGCGTCGGCGTGGCGGGAAAAGTGGCTTGTAGCGAGCAAGGCAAGCGTGTTAAAAAAACGAGAAACACGGCACCCAATCGGAAAAGCGGAGTAACGCGAGTGTTCGCGAAAAGTACCCATACTCATTATCCAATACAGAGTCTGTACATGATTGTCCAAAAAAGCATACCTCGTCTTTAGTTGGCTATGCATGAAACAAATGTTTATCACTAAATAGTGATTAAAACCTCACAGATAAAACTGACCACTTTCCCATTAAACAACGTACCATGGGCATGTTCATGTCGTCGATAAAGTAGATCAGTTTCTTGGTTCCAGGCGGACCATAATTTCGTCCAGCTTTCTTTTCCAGTGGCTTTTCTAAAACAGCCTGTAACATGGCTGACGTCGTGTAGTAGTTAAACGGTACGTTCGTAACCATTATGTTATCAGGGTCCATTGCTGCGAATTTGTCGCCAACTAACACGGTCTTACCAGTACCCGCACTTCCTACAAGCATGATAGGTCTGCGGTTTTCCATCAGCAGATCCATGAAGTAACGAACGCGAATGGTTTCCTGGGTATGAACGAGCACGGCCTGGGAACAACAAAAAATTTCGCAATAAAATTATCTCGTGGAAAATTAAAGTAGGGAAATGAAATTGGTTAAGCTCTTGACAAATTGCAGTGAATGTGAAAGGATTCAGTTCATATACAAGTCAACCGAAATATGCACTGGCTGGCTACAGGTCATATCGAAACGTTACCAAGGCTGAGACCAGGTGGTACAGGCGACAAACTGTTTTCTTTGGGCGACATGTGTGACTTTTCTTCGAGGAGAGCTTTGAGAGCCAGGCATCCTAAGCTTCAGAGATAAGAGCTTTTGGGCACCCGCTAGTTATTCTTCTAAGAAAACAACTTTGTTTAGGACACAATTTTGTCGGTTTTCTAACCCAACCGCTAAACACTGTAACCAATTAAGACCCTTGTCAAGCCTAAACCATAATTAATGAAGAAAACTTATACTACAACCTTGCACAAACGTTCGCAAACCCTTTCTAAAGGTTGTCTATTAAGAATCTTTCCTAAAAAGTAAAAAAATAATCACACCTGCAACGGCATCTCGGGATCAAGCTCGAACTTGGGAACTTTTTCTGTCCATGGCACGAATTTCTTGGTCTCGGAGTCGATAAAATAATCAAAGACAGTACCAGCAGAGGGAAACTTTATGGTCTTGAATTCAGTCACCCACCATTTGGAGAATTCTACTCGATAATCAACGAGCTACGGAGAGAAAACGAAATATTACTCATAGGTTTGAACGTTCACGCTTCACTTTCTACGAGTCAATAACATTTCACGACTTTCCATGGCCCACAATTCTGAGTGAAACCGTCAATAAAACACACCTGATCTTGAAACATGGCTCCGCCAAAAGCCCACACAGCAGCGAACACAAAATACAACTCGTACAGTTCCTTGTTACAATCGGGTGGGGTGTTGGTGGGGTTCAACAGACACTCCAGAAGGTAGCAAAGCGTGGTCACCATGGTGATGTCAGGAACGGGCGTGATTTTCTTGAAGCGCACGCGCAGTGTGTCCAAGCAGATGGGGACGTACTTGTCAAACAGGATTTGCAGGTTGGCTTTCTCTGACTGAACTTCGCGAGTATCAATCCAACTGGAGACGTATCTGAAATAATACGAGAAAAGTTTATTTCGCGAAGAAAGAATATTTTCAAGGAATTTAAAATTTTGAGCGAAGAGAAGTTAAAGTGGGGCTGCTTTGATAAACTTCCTCAATTTTAGCCTAAAAATACATTTCATTTTTCATTTTCATGATAGACCAGTTTGATACTTATTTCAAGTTTGTTATCTTTATTTTTCCGCTGTGCATGATACAAGCTTAGTGAAAAAACCATGGTACGATCAATACCCATAAGTCTTCATTGTTACCACGAGAGATTTAAATGAAAACCTAGACGAAAATCTCAAAAGGCAAACTAAGCGGATAAAAATTTCACTAGTTGACGCAACCGGTTTTTTTTTCTTTCCTCTCCTTCTCTGGAATACTCATGCTACACGCAAACTACCGTCTACAGTACTTACGGATTCCATCCAACATCAGCGTAGTTAAGGAAGAGGATACCGGCACGGGACACAGTTGCAGGAGTGGCTGTCTTTAGATGACCGATCTCAAACAACAATCTCATGGACGGAGTGAGAGGAACACGTTCATTACTGGCTAATGTCAAAACCTGAAAAGGTATCGAAAGGAACAATTTCAAGCATATAATCTACAGCTGGTTCAACAAAATCTTCGAGTGTTACAAAACCGACTTCTTATGAAAACTTCCAAAAAACATCTTCATCTACAAGTCCCCTTAAAAGCTTACTGGTCCTAGCGACTTTTTTATTTTCAAAGATTACCTTGTTGTCGTCCATGACAGTGTTCAAAGACTCGATCCACATAGGATCAATGTCTCCGTCAAGTACGATCCATTTAGGACTGTCATTGTTGATTGAAGCCAAATCACGCATAATGGTCGAAAACAAACCTGAAGAAAAATATGACACAATCAACGTCTGTCTCGAAAGAAAATAATCACCCTTAGTCACTTGATATCTACTAGCAAATTTTTGGTGGTGTGGCAATGTCTGTCGGTGACAATTCAAGACTGGGATTCTTTTCTTTTTCTTTTCTTTTTGGTTTCCTTCATGGCTTTTGTGCCTTGGACACTCTGTAATCCGTTTAAGGTTTTAGTGTCGTATCATAAGCTCTAGTTATCAAATAGATATTGGGGCACCGTGTACATCGTTTTTTTATTACCTGCAAAGAATAACTCGCATTCAAGTCAAAAAATTGCAACCCTGATAAGATCCTGTTGACTAAATATTCGGTGCAAAGAACGTTCGACGTTTCTGCCTCTTCAGTGCGCGACACTCCCATGGTAACCTCGATGATACTCACCGTCTTTCCACTCCCTGGTGGCGGGATTAATGAATCCGAACAACTCATCAGCAGTGACAGCTTTAGGGTTGATATCATGTAGCATTGGCTTTCTCTTCTGGTTTTGGTAAGTCTTGTTCAGGGTCTTAATAACTTGTGTTTTGCCTGTACCCGCTGGACCGAGAACAAACACAGAATGCCTTACAGCAAGTAACTCCTCAAGCTGTACAATCTTGAGGATAAAGCTGTCTTCTGTTTGTAGTTTAAGATCCTGGAAATAACATGAAAATTTAATGTTCCAAGATTGTTTGCACAATAATCACTACATAGCCTGTGCATCTCGTGTGCACAGAATTTGAAGAACAAGTGCCGGTGACTCCCTTCTTACTTTACCGGAACGGAAAGAGGATTACTCCAGTAACCCTACACATCTTTCCCAAAATGCTACTGTGTTTCCCAATTGGAAATAATTTGACATGTGAATTGAGTGACTTACCAGAGCTGACTTTTTCACTAGAGCTTCAAAGTCCATGTCACGCTTTCTTGGTACATCCAGAGCTGGGAAAAGGTCGCCAATCAATCCCATGAAGACGGGAACATCATCCGTGACAATCTTAGGGATATTGAAGTCACGCAACGCACGCATCAGCACCTGATCCTCAGGGCGATCCCTGTCACTTCGCTTTAGAGAACCAGCGACAACCAGAACAGATTTGATAGCACGGAGACCCCAATCGTAATGGTCCTTAAAACCACAAGGAAAAAGAGCCATCAAAAAAGAGCAAGGGGCATGATTCCCTTTAGTCCAATCACAGAAAGGCACAGGCGTGCGACTGCACATGCACAGTCATTAAATCACTGTTGGTTTGACTTTGCTCTTAATTAGAAAAAAACCCATACCAAATCACCAGAGATACTATTGACACTCTGACTGTAACTTGTAAAATCAACTTTTTCACCATCAGCGAAAGATTCGAAAATACAATCTGTGCTTTGCTTAACCAGAGTCCTACCTGTTTAGATAACAGTTCCTTACAGAGTGAATACAGAGTGATGAACTTGCGGGCCAACCCTCGGGCCTCAACGAATCCTTCAGCCACCAACATGATTTCACAGATCAGTTCAAAGTCAGGAACGACCATAGCACATGGCCTGAAAAAACACAACAAGGAAATATATAACCATTCTCTGTACAATTTTATGTATCAGCTCAGATCCTAGTGCAGACTCTCCCTAGGAGGAATATTTTAAATCTACGTATGCCATTAAGAGAAACTGAATTCTAATCACGCACCGGAACAAAGCTTTAAGATTTTCAGGCAACTCAGTTCTTCCGGCGTATCCAGGATTCATGGTAATGAATAAACCAACAGTAGGAACCAAAACGATCTCCTCTCCCTGGAAGATGAACCTTTTCTTTTTGTCTTTGATAGCGTCCTGGATGGATTTGACTTGAACTGCGACCACGGACAGCACCTCAACTGAGATGCGGTTGAACTCGTCAAAACAGCCCCAGGCTCCTGTTTGTGCCAATCCTTTGTAAATGTTGCCAATGGACTGTCAAAGAAAATGTTTCTTGAGTTACTCTGAAGTCCTTTAAAAAAACTGGAGTGCCATCAATATTGCACTGTAATGCATACCTTGTAGTCCATCTGTTCAGAGCAGTTGAACACGTACACCATAATTCCCAGAGCTCGTCCCAGATCCTTAGTAGTCTCGGTTTTACCAGTTCCCGCGGGACCGGCAGGCGCACCGCTCATGGTCAGATGAAGAGACTGGGTCAGAGTAATGTAACATCTAAAAAAGAAAAACAATTTTCAAGTTCCTTTCGAACAAAAGCTAGAAGTGATAAGTTTGACCGGAATACACTTTTTTAACCTCAAGAACAGTAAATTTTAATTTAAAACTGAGCCTTCGCTAAGATTACGAACATTCAAGCAATATGGAATTGTATTTGCCAATGATGAAACTTTAACGAAAATATAAGCTACAAGAAATGCTTTTTTGACTTATTGACTGTTTTTGTGTGGACTACTCTCTCAGTAGTCATTGAGTTTTAGTTCATTTTCTACCCAAACAAAATACAATCGTGTTAGAAGTGACGCATGATGGGGAAAGTCCAATAGGCTATAACAATTATTACAACGCTCACAGCTAACGAACTACTCGACCGCTTTTCTCTGCGACGTTTACCTGTCGGTTAAGGGTGTGATCACCAATCGAGGCGTGTTTCCAAGATATTCATAAGAATACTTGAACTGTGCATCGCAAATGTTAGCGAAGCAGTGAGAGACAGAATCATCAAAGCGATGTCTGAGCTGACTCAGCCACAAGAAAGCTTGAGCGTTTTCCACCTTCTGATGAATTAACTTGGCCACAACATCTCGAGCGTGCACGTCAATCGTACAGATGGTCATAATTTTCTGACGATCGCCTTTGGTCAAGTCGCCGATCAACATGTTGATCAATGTTGTCAGTTGTGAAACCTATCAGATGTAAAAAAGATAAAGACCATTTTTCAATTAACAATTGGTTCATACGTCAACGTGCGTTCATCGAAATATGAAGCACGCGGGAAGTTTGGAGAGCACGAAAGATGCGTAAGAGTGCTGTTTTATAACATTTTCAACCCGATGGAAAATGTTTTTTTCTCGAGGGACTTGTTTACTGACGTCATGAGCGTGCACAATAGGAATATGAAGCACGCTCGCGCAATTGAATTTGATTAGACAAATTTACTAGCTATGTCATAATATTTTTTGTCCTCTGTTATTTTACCTGATTTTCATATAATTGAGAGAAACCAAAAAGGATCTCTATACGTCAAACTTGTCAATGTAATTCACCCGGTTTAAAAAAGCACTATACTAAAAATTCTTGAATTTAAGACCAGTACCTGTTTCTTGTAATAATCCTTCAGTGCATTCTCGTATCCCTCTTCCAGCCTTCCAAATGCCAGAACAACTTCTGTCGTCCACCAAATTTGAGTACCACACAGGGCTACCTGAGCTGGGTAGTCAAACAGCCATTGATCTCGAGGCTTCTCTTCATACGAAACCACAGCTTCTGACAGCTCGTGACGGACTGTGGCGCGCATAGCGTCCATAACACGGTTCAACCAAACTTCCACCTACAGTAAATCAAATATTCACAAATATTGACTCTAGTGATGACTTTCGTAACAAAAGTCACGACTACCAACAAAAGTTCCTCTCAGGACTACTCTCAACAGGAGGATCCGACTACACGAAGGCACAAATCGCTTGGAACATTAAGCAAAATTCATGCTAACTTTTGAATGTAAGAATTTAGGTATCAGCTTAGCTTGAAACTACACGAGAAAATCACAAAATTTTGTAAATATTATACAAAAAAGGAAGTATTTTCAAAACTCAGATCGCTACGAGAGCTCTGTCAGGGTAGTTTGGGTGTGTGCCGCTTAAAAACAAGTTAAAAACCAATGAAGAGATAAAATGAGATAAAATTGATGATGGATCGATATAAAAAAAGGCCGAAGACCTTAAATTCATTTTATTGTTACCATGATCCTCAAAGGGGTAATCAGCGAAATATTACAACACTCTTACACAGAAGTTACTTGAAACAATATTTGTACCTGTCCAGAACAGTCACAAGGCTTGTTGAAGTCCACATATTCTCCTTCCTTGCTGTACATTCCAACCGCCTCCTTAGTCGGATTACCATCCTCGTCATCGACAAACTTCAGTTTCGCCATGTTGTCAAACAGCTTGGAGAGATGACGACTGACCTGTCGAACAGAACAGCGAGTATCGGCTTAAAAATATGATGATAGTGATAAAGTGACTACTCTGTAACGAGTAAAGAGAACAATTCTCAATTGCCTATCTAGAGCCATTTTCAGTGTCGAGACTGCAACACACAGATTGCATTCGTTTTTCTTGGCTTCGTTCACTGGTTGGTCCAAAAAAACTCGCGCCTCTCTCTCTCAACCAATCAGATGCGAAATTAAAACCAATTGCGACTTGGTCGCCCGCGCTTTAGGAAGTTTGGTTCTTTTACGTTGAGTTCTAATTGACTCTTAAAGCTATTTTTCTTTTTACTGATTGGTCGTTGAGATTTGTTTGGGTTTACGACACTCAATCGAATAGCGCTCTGAATAAATTCAACATTGCAATGTTTTTGCTCTATTTCTCTCTACGATTCTCTCTACGATTGATCCGTAAAATTCGCATCACCCTGTAACCCAATCAGATATAAAATTTAAATCAATCAAAACGTGTTCAGCGGCGTTTAACCGCGCCTCAGGCATTTCACGTTTATTCATTCGGAGCTCTTATTGGGGCTTTGAGTCATTTCCCCAGCTCTGATTATCATTTACTAAGTTTGCCTAAAACCTTACCTCAATTGGCTGGTTGCCCTTGGAAAGAATATCCAATAAGTCAGCTGAAGATACGAAGTAAAATCGTGGGAAAGCAAGACGTTTGGTCTCCAGATACTCAGCGAGGGCTTTCTCGCACAACGACAATCTATAAGGTAAACAACACATAGGTAATTTCTGGTCTTTGAGGGGCTTAATAACTTTAGGTAACCAGACCATAATGATTTCAAGACAAATCAAAGAAGTCAATTGAAGCTAACAGCATTTGTGTTAGAGATGAGTCTTACCGAAAACGTGAACTTTAAATCAAGCTTAAGAGTAAAACGAACCTTTCTTGTAAGTTTTCCAGCTTTTCGTACAGTCCCTCTCTGTTACAACAATTCACAACGTTTGGGATTTCAGCAGCTTCCTTCATCAATTCCTAAAGCAACGGTAAAGCTAGGCGTTAGTGTAACTGTCCTTAAGTCCTACTTGATCCATATGTCCCTTCTTTCACTAACCTTAAAATCAACATCGATTCCGTCAAATCTCTTAGAGTCCTCTGGCAGCTGGTTACGAATATCTTCAGATCCAATGAAAATACTCTCCAAGTGAGACCAGGTTCTTTGGACTTCAAACCAAATGGAGATTACAGAATCTGACACAGACAGCTTCTTTTGCCACATGGAGACTTCCTCCAGAAAATGTCCAATGTACTTGGATGTGATGAGATTTTGAAGTTGAACCTAAGTGAAACAAATAAACGTAAACTCAACTGTCCCTTAGCATTAATAAAAATAAAAGTAAGAGCTCAGCTTTGGGCATCTGTTTATTGGTTTCTCCAGCCCTCCAGCCAATTATATATCATTATTTCTTTACCTGATTATCTTCAAGAGTTTCAATAAGTTCTTCGCTTGACTTCAGTAACGGAATACCAGTTCTCATATGGCTCTCGTATTCAAACTCCATCTGTGACCAGGTGACATCCAACTCTTTGAGAACTTTCTCCATTCCCAGTTCTTTGGTGGCCTTGTCGACAATTCCACGGACTTCATCTTCAAAGTTATGCAAATTTAGGGCGAGAAGATCAGCCAAGTTGGTGTCGTCATTCATGATGAATTTTACCTGCACAAAACACAAAGCACTCATGTAAGTTTCCTCAAATTTTCACAAAATTGGAGTGATCTTGTGCTCAATGACATGTTTCGTGGTCCATAACCAAAATGGAGTAAACCACGGGAAAAAGTTCTGAGTTTTAGTTTTTAGTTCCCAGTTTTGCACAGCAACCAGTGATAAAACATTCATTGGTTCATATCTATCTGTGACTCCAAAACCAAAATCCTACCCTACTAAGACTTATTACGTTTTGTTGCGGAATGAACATTACTACATGCACAAACAAGTCCGCAGTACTTACTTTGGTTGCTTGCATGAGCTGTTGCCAATGACGGTCCCTGATGGCCGGATTCTGTAATTCTCCTACGGCCCTTAATGAAGTCACCATGTTCTTGACAGTAGAGTCCAGTCCTGTGAAGGCGTCCCAGGCGCGCATTTCTTTATCCAGGCTTCGGATCTCCTTAACAAACCTTTTACACTCCATCTCCATGTTTTCCACATTGATATCCGCCCATAGCGTGAACTTCCACTCTTCAATGCTGCTAAGAACAACTTCAATCATGTCCCAAAGTTGTTTGAGGAGTGACACTTCACGACGGCAAGCACGAAGTTGTTTATAGTCTGGGAAGTTGACCTCAAACAGGCCGGCGGATTCAGACAGGGCATTCATCTCCTCCTCCATAGCACAGATCTGGAAGTTCGCCTGCAAATGCCACAGATATTTGGTAAATTGGTGATTAGACGAAAGAGATCAGGTTATAAGGTATTCCCTTTGCAATAGAATAAATGGCGAAACATTAATGCAAGGATCACTCCACCATGTCATTACAAAACAAAATCAACAAACTTGCGATAAGTATGTCTTTGACTACAAGTTCCCTTTGCTGACCTTATCTAAGCGGTCGTAATAATTCTTGGAGTCAAACTGGAACGGAGCTGTTTTCCTGAAGTCCTCTCTAAATTCGTGCTGTTTGATCTGTGATCAACAGAGGAAAAGGAAACATAAATTGAATCATTGGGCAGAAATTGCAAGTTGAAGCTAAGAGGAGGCACACTGTCCCTTACATCAAACTGTCCACACTTTCTTCTGATGATGGCGACTTCAGACGCCTGTAGAGGAGCCACTTGCTGTTTGACTGTTACTGCGATCTTCTTGGAGTTGTTCCACTGCTCTGGAAGTTCCTGTGGATAAACATATTATGAGGTTTCTCTTGCACGTTTACCTTCAACAAAATCTTATCACACAGAAAGACAGCTTCCCCTTGATTACAGCACTTTCAATACTTCTGTCTTGGTGTTTCTAGTTACCTGAAGCTGCGTATGTACTTCCTCAGGCATTTCTTGTCCGTACGTCTTCAGGAGTTCAATAGTCTGCTTCAGTGGCTCAAACATCTCGTCAGTGACTGTCTGTCTGTCCTTGACAGCCATCAAGTGTCCCATGACAGCCACTAAGCCATTGTAATCTCCTTCCTCCACAGGCTGTGTCAGACCAACATCTGCCACTTTGATGAACTCTGCTAAGTCATTTAGGCTGCGAAAAAGAACACAAACGTACAATGAACATGTAATCTAACAGACCTAGTTATAATCTTCCGTAAACTTGTCAAACACCTTGTAGGGAAAGGTCATAAGATCTAGCGCAGAATTTCCTCAAAACTTAAATTACCTGTTTGTGACATGATCGATGAGGTGTTGCTTGAACATGTAACTCCATCTCTTGATAATATTCAAGAGAGCTTGTTTAAAGGGCTTGGCGTCCACACGGAACCACGTGTCAAAGATCTTTGTTCCCTCTACTTCGTCCACCTCGGCATAAAGCTTTTCGTACGTATCGATCTATAAGCAACAAGATCAATTTTTTCATACACTGTAATGTATATATGAATGTAATTTCCATAAGAAAATTAGTGAATTACACTGTGCATAATTTCCGATTCGCGCTAAAGTCTCGAACAAGATTACTCTAACAACATAGCAAGTTTTCAAGATGATTTCTGTTTGTCAATCTTAATGGCGATTCTTTACCTGTTCTTTGAATTGTCCTAATGTTGGCGGACTCTCAGGGACTCCTTCTTCAGCGTGGGCTTCAATCTCCTCAGCTGTCAACACGTGGTTGTAGAGCAAGAATTGTCTCATAAACTCATTCCGATCGTCAAGCCACAGGTACGCAAAGGCATCAAAAGAACTGCGGTATTCATTCGCCTTGTTCATGATGCCTGTTACACGGTCCATCAGGTCTTGGCGCATCTCAGACAAGTCAAGCATGTCCTCGACATCGTTCTGTAAAGGAAGGAAAGAGAGAAAGTATATTTTTGTTTTGTTCAATTGAATAGAGTCCCCAAAGTTAAGTCCACCGTGCTATTACAACACTGATTAAAATATCAAGAAATAAATTAACTCAAAACTGCTCAGAGTATCTTGGGTTTGTCATGAATTCTGTGTCCAGGAATGAATACTTGAACTCCTTGATTTGTAATCCGTAATAGTCCTTACAATCGTAAGCCATTATATTTCCTTTCGAACCTATTTTCCTCTGTTCTTTCATATGCCATTTCCTACCTTGGAAATCGATTAAGCATACTTTGATGTAAAAGATAAATGAAGGAAACTCAAGGAGGCCCAAAAGAAAAAAATACATTCAGAAGCACCGCCTTTTTCTTTGGTACTAATACGAGTCTCATTTCAAGTATGTTTGAAATGATGATATTATGATTTGGCCGAAAAATTAAAGTTCTATTGTTAATTTGTAGCTTATATATCACAGTCAACGGATATTAATAAAATAAACATAACCATCCCCAACATCAGAAAGGTATGTTAAATCATTCCTCATTTCAAATGAAGTAAAGTTTACTTCTTATTGTTTGTTTTACCTGGTAGTGTTCAGAGCCGTTATGTTCAGCCAGTCTCTTGACTAACGAAGCCATCTTGTACACATCATTAACAATTCCTTCCACAAGTTCATAAAAGCCGTCTGAAACACCGAAATCCAGTGATGGTATAAACACCATTTCAGGCTGTTGCAGTTCAAGTTTTGCCTCAAACAGTCCTGTAGTGTTGTGTTTAGGATCAGTATTTTCCAAAAGATAGTTCAGTGAGCAGTGAATGCAGTTGAAAAAGCCATCAAGGACCATGTCATCAAGATAGTCCACATACGCTCGCCAAATGTCGGATGAGGCATCCGCTTTGAAAAGATCGAGGTTATTCTGAGGGATAAATTCAATAAAGTTCTTAAGTCGATGGTAAAGCTTAAGGGAAATAAATCAAACATGAACAAAGTACATATACCACCCCCTCCCCCTACATCTTGAACTCGAAAATAAGTTCATTTGCCTTCTTGGAGTAAAGTAGGGCATCAAAAACAATAACAAACAGCGGTTAACTAAGCTGACAACCTACCTTCATCAGCTCGTGGATTTTCTCTCCAGCTTGCTGGATCAAAGTGTAGCGTTTATTAAGGTTTGCTTCACTGTCCTGTTAACAAACAAATAACTTTTTAACGTTGTCATAAAATAGCTCTCTTCTTAGTTGTCCACGTTGGAAAAAAAAAAATGAATATACTTATGAACACTTACACCTAAATTGATTAAGCATACTTTATGTTATTCTGTAGGAATAGGAGAAGGTTTTATACTAAATTATTTCAGACACCCATAAAAAGGTACACAGAACTACCGAGTATTGTTCCCGCGTATGTGTACCTCTAAGTTGAGTAGGCCCTCCTTTTTGCCTTCCTTTCTCTCGTACAAGGGAGCTTCACACCATTTGGTCATTAACTGACCCATACTCTCCACATTGTTCTTGGCAGCTTGTACACGTTTCTCCAAGTCATGCACCATGTCTCTCGTCTTCTCAATGTATTCCCACGCACCTGTTTGTTAGAAAAAAAAATTACGTGAAACAACAGCACCGGCTTGTAAATTTGAGGCAGAATGGGATTATGTCATAATGGCACGAAGTGAAAGTTAAAATTACTCAATGGATCATTTGTATTAATATTCCTGTTGGAACATTGACTTTCCCATAGTGTGTTCACAACAAAAATGTAAACCACGGAAATCTCAGATCATTTTAGACTCTCAATCGAAATTATTCTCACACAACCACCACACGGCTGTGGAAGCTTAGTCATTGTCAAACAGCGTATCAATAAATCAATACTTGACACACGAAGTGTAAAATTATTATTGCACTCGAGAGATTTATCACACCTTCACTGTTCCAGTTCAAAGTTGTCTCAGCCTGTTGCAGTTGACCATCTATTTCCTGTAACTGTCCTTCCACCAGAGGAAACTCAACATCAAGAAGCGTTTCTCGGACTTTGTTGTACCAGGCCACAGTCAGGTCCAGGTTGGACAAAAACTTGTGGAATGTTTCATTCCGTGAGTAGATGTTGGTTGCGCTTTCAGGAATATTTTCAAGGGTTTCGTTTTGGGCAGTTTCCAGATACCTCACTTCACGAAGAACAGCGACTAACTAAAATGAGCAAATAAAATAAACAGAATTCAATTGTTTGCTAAGACACACTCACGTTTCCATTGCCGAACAAAGAAGTTCCGATTAGGAATTCTCCCTCAGACTGCCACATGTCTTCTTGTGAATTTGGCAAAAATTTGATGTTCGCTAAAAATATCACCTATTGTTTTAATTCATGGGCCTTCTCTGTTCTCACCACTTGTTTGTATGATAGTATAGTAAAATCGCGAAGAGAAGTCGTGTGTTCATCAAGAACCTAACTAATCCGATTCGTTTTTGGCGCCGAAAACAAAACTATAGCCAGACTGGAAAAAAACAAGAAAATATAAATATGGGAAGACAAAAACTTAATAAAGAGATAATACAGATCAACGAAAGAACAGAGATGGTCAAGAGTCGCAGACGATAGGTGAGGGCTGCGTACGACAAATTTAAGGTTACAAATGCACAAACAGTGACGGAGCTCCTAAACTCAGAGGATACAATGTAAGTAAATTTTAAGCGTTTTTTAACTAGCATCCGATCTAAAATTTCTACCCAAAGTGCCACAAAAGTCAAACTGTAACATGCGTGCGCAATTGAACACTCTTCAATAGTCTGAAAGGAAAAAAAGCCTCTGTGTGGAAAGTAAAGTTAGATTTAAGCTTGGAGTAAGGAAGACAGCACATTTTGATCAAGCGACGTCAACTCAAGAATTGGCTCATTTCTTAGTGAAAGTAATTTATACCTGTGGATCAAAGTTCACTTTGATAAGCTTGGTATTTGGATCTCTAATGACGAGAGGCTTGTCCAGATTCCCTTGTGAAATGGAACCAACATCTTGGGTCCAATCAACATACACCTTTTCTTCATATCTGAAAAAGACATATTTTTTGTCAAGGGGCTTGAATCTTACTGTCAGATAAGGAGTGACTCATAGGGTGCAGAATTTTGATTGTTTCTGAGTGACTTCCTGTAACTGAAATTCAATAATAAGATGCTTTGACCAGGATTAGGGTTGTGCTTGGCAATAATGGTATTGGGTGGTTTATAAATGGTACAGAGTGGTATAATTTTGAGATCATGCCTCAAAAGCGCTCACGTAAAGACAACTCGTGTACAAAATACTCACGTGTTCAGCAGCTTGGCCATCTCATCAAATTTGTTGAAGATCATCATAGCTTCGGCAGTCTCTAGAGTACTGCAAAACCAAACAGCGTGTTACATTCGCATTCAAGTTGTTCAATAAAAAGATAGAAAGATGTCTTTAGAATGAAAGCAAAACATACGCAGTTCAAAAACGCTTTAGTAAAGGTGAAAGTCACGGCATGAATGGGAGGAAAGTTCTTCATTTTCGAGATTAGTACAATAGTCATGAGAGTAAGGCTCAAAATACCAAGAAATGCAACGACCATGTTTGATGTACCACGTTTGGAGGTGCATAGAAAAGTGTTTGCATAGTATTACATTTTTGTAGCACAACAATGATCACAATCTGCAGAGAGGAGAGAAAATCACAGAGACAAACACTACAACTGGGCGGTTAAAGAAGTCCAAACTATAACTCTCAAATGTGTCTGTGCAATTCCTGATTAAGACAGTAGCAAGGATAAGGATGATGTTTAGAATGACGTACAAGTGGAGAAGTTGTCACATGTACTGACGGCATGTTATCACAAAAAACGACAAAACATTTCAGCAATGAAGCAGTGAGAGAAAGATATTAAAGATACAATTTTTAGAGTTATTTTAAGGCAGATCTTTTGAAAAAGAGCATGGAAGTGTCATATTACCTTTCCAAACCATGAATGATAGGAAAAACACTATCTGGCCTTGGATGAGAAGTGAGCAAGAAGCAGTGAGAACAAAAGCAAGGAACATGAATGAGAAAATTCTAAAAACAACAAATGATGTAATGACACTCCAAATCATAAAAAGACTAGACAGAAAGTACACAGAAAGACAATATCACAGGAAAATGCCAGCAGAAGCTATAGAAACCAATTCCATTAAGGGGAAGAACTGTCAGTGCTATGAAAAGTAAATGAAAAATACCATATCAAATGCCTTGTTGTCAAAAAGAGTTCGTTATAACTCTACAATGAACTGCAGAAAACAAAGCTTTTTTTTTTCAAGTTGTAAAGAAAGAATATGGTAAGAAAATGACAGAAATTGAAAGAAAGTAGATCATGAATATGGTGGAGGCGCGGTGGCCTCATGGTTAGTGCGCTCTACTCCAGATTGGGTGGTCTGGGTTTGAGCCCTGGCCAGGGTCATTGTGTTGTGTTCTTAGGCAAGACACTTTACTCTCACAGTGCTTCTCTTCACCCAGGTGTACAAATGGGTACCAGCAAATGTGCTGGGGGTAACCCTGTGATGGACTAGCATCCCATCCAGGGCAGAGTAGCAATACTCCTAGCCGCTTCATGCTAAGAAAACCGGAGTTAAGCACTGGCCCTGTGGGCCACTTTGGGCCCATATAAAGGCTTTACTTTTACTTTACTTAGATCATTAATATAAGGAAATTTGTAAGTACAGGCTTTCAGATGTTGGAATTTTTCATCAGAGAGCAGAAGCTTTGTTATGTGTTGGAAGATCAACTATAAATGGATCAAATACAAATGACAGTCTTTCATTTTTTGAACTGTATATGACATGAGGATTGCTATGCAAGACTGAAAGAAATTGATCGTAGTTGCAAAGTTAATAAAAGTCAATTGAGCTTACCCATGATTGACTGAAAGCTTAAGCGCATGCATTGGTTTAGTGATCCTTTCCCTGAGTTCTTGTGACCATTTGAGAGCACCTGCAACAAGAGGCATGTTCTTGTTTATTGGTGGAGTCCCATCCTCATTTGCTGTCATCATTTGCTGATCAAATATGATCTTAGCTTCATCCAGTTCTTCTTCGTACATCTTCAGCAGGATGGGATACTTGTATTCAAAGTCTGAGTGAATAAGCGGACGGTCCAGCAAAGAACCAAAACAGTCCAGAAGCTAGAAGGTTTGAAAAAGATTCAAAATGTTCAGTTTTGTTTGGAGTTGAAAATTTAAATGTGATGCTTACTAACCAATAGCATTATTCAGCAATATGATGAGCTGTAAGTTGTACCATTACTACTAGAATAATTTTGCATTCTCATGAATATCTGACTACCTAACCAAATCCAAAATCCACTAGCCCCAGGCTGTAACACGTAACTTCCTTTGCACAGTGATGTTTTGAGAACAACCAAGCAATATACACACACATGCAGTTCAGCACTGTTATTAGATACCCAACTAAACTATCCAAACTGAAATTCTTGAAGAAACTGTTGTAAGATCCAACTGTAACTTGCTTCTTACCTTCAATGCAGCCTCCGTACTGGCGCAGTCATCAAATCCTTGGCACACAATGGAAGCAAGTCTTCTATCCAGGTCAGCTATTCTTTCTCTAAACTGGTTGTAGTCTTCAACAAACTCCTACAGAGAAGTAAAAGGAAAAGAAGCCATACTAAGAATAGAATAAAACCAACCTGAAAATGAAGACCATGATCTTGATAAATTTCTACTCTGTAGAAACTGTAAAAGCTACATGGCTAAGAGGCATTTTTTATTTCCTTTAGGCAAGGTTCAGAAAACTGGCAAACTATGTATATGCTGTTTACATTTACCTCTGTACTAAAATTCATTCCAACATTAAAGTGCATCTCAAACTTACCCAGTTGGTTGCATCTAAGCCGTCATAGGTTCGATTACCAAACACGGCAAAAATCTCATTGAATTCTGAGAAGATTTCCACAACTTGATGACTGAGCATCTTTCCCTTGATACCACCCAATTCTACCTTCTCTAGCTTGGAAAATTCCATAGTGGTGGCAAAGAGGTCCTTGATATAGACAAAATAAAATCACACATTACATTAACAACACCAACAACAAAAAAGCCAGGGTTTGAAACTAAGATTATCAGATTTCAAAGTCAGCAATCTGTTGGAGACATAGTTACTCTACAAACCTCAACGGTTTTCAATCTCAAGATAAACTGATCCATTCTGGTAAAAACTAGTTCATTGGCAAATTCCCACTGCTTAACTTCTTGCCCCTCCTTGAAGAATTTTTGGATGTTTCCTCTGACATCTTCAAAGGTCTCCTTGAAGAATGAACAGATTTGAACTGCCTTCTGGGTTTTCTCATAAGCTTCTTCTGCCTCTGATTTGAAGATTTCTGCAGGATCCAAGTATGTTCTTGCCTATACAAAGAATTGATAATAAAAAAAATGAAGGGTGTGGAATGGGGGGAGGCTTAAAGATTAGGGTTTAATAGAGAGAGGGGTATACCATTATACCATTTATAGTAAGCAACTTACTTCTGGTTATGTTTGTGTGTCTTTAAAACAACTTGCACTAGAACAATTGCATAAAATATGGTTTCATCATATCATATGACTCAATAATTCTTTTTTTGATTGCAAAGGTGAAAAAAGTATGTTTTAAGAGTACCCAATTATCAAGAATTGGTCCATATCCAGTTGCAGCAACAAATCTCAGTTTAGCTGATTTTTCCAGACTAACTGTGACTGACAAGCATTGTTTTAAAAAAGATCATAAAATGTTTGGACAAGGGCCAAACTCTATAATTATGTACATTTTTTTTTCAAAACTGACAGTCAAATGGTAAAAACAGAAATACACAGTACAAAATCAATTTTTCACCCACAGAAAAACAAATTTAATGACTGAAATCACTTGTAAAAAAATACAATTAAAAGTTTCTTTAAAAGTTACTTACCATTTCAATCAACATGTTGCAGAGCTCTTGCAAAAGAACAATCATTCTTGGAGCTCTGCAGTAGTACTTTGAATTTGCCCAGATGAGACCAACTGTGTGTAGAATGGCAGGAATAATCTTATCCAACTCTGAAAAATCAAACTGCTCCATGTCATCGAGCAGGCGACGCAAAGGCTTCAGGTGAATGTTGATGTCTCTGGCTTCTTCAAGGGCTAAGAAAAACAAAAAAGTTAACAAAATTACTAAGTACTGATAAGTACCTTGCACTACTCATGGCATTACTTTGAAACAGTTGTTTGGTTAGAAAAATATCAAAAAATTTCCAAACTTGGCAAAAATTTACTTACCAGCAACAACATCCTTATAGATTTTCTTGAAGGCTGGAAAGTAGCTGCTCTGAGTTTTTTCCAACAGTTCAGCCATTCTTCGAACTTTCACATCATGGAGCTACATGGGTAATGAAAAAGCAAATTGAGATTTTTTTAAATTAAAAAAAAAAACTCAAAACTTTAATTTACTTTCTTCACTTGTTTACAGAGAATAAATTATTGCTTTCTAAAACCCTAGTTATATGTCCATGTAAATTTCTTTTGAAAGGTGTTTTTTTATCAGCAGAGAAATCAAAAGAGCTGCAATTTTACTCTCTGTAATTGCCTCAAGTCTCCATTATCTTAGGAACCTCATTTTTCAGATTTGAATGCACTGACCTGTTCAAAGATGCACTCCAAGTTATTGGCACGAGCTCTCCAGAAGTCAAGTTCTACCAGTGGTCCAGGATTACGACCTTCTATCAGTGGCTGAGCTGAATTTCTTTTCAGAACACTCTGTATCTGATGTGTCCATTCAATGATTACTGATTCAATAGAATGAACCAAACCACGATCAAATGGTTCACCCCTAGTTAAAAAAGACAAAACAAAATGGTTAGTTACATATCAGGCTCCAGTTGACTAAAGATTGGATATTTCACTGTTAACATGTAACAAACCATTGGACACTGAAGGATATGCAGAAATTTTCTCTTTGTGGATGGCTTACAGCTTGCAAACAACTCCAGTGTGGCACACTTCTTGTTATCTGTAGTTTTTCAGTTTGCCATGGTAAGAATTCAAATATTTATCACAAGTGCTATGAGTATACTATGGGTGTGACTCTTAACCCTTTTAAAACTTTCAAGATCCGATTGTACATCTTCCCTCTAACTGCTACACTATTCCCTGTAAATAAATTACGTGAATGTGGAATTAGATAAGTTTGAGTTTTCTTATTACCCATTTGCTGAATAATGTGTCGACATTATCAGGACAAAATTAGATGTTAATCTTTTCAAGGAGTTAAAGGGATCCACAATTCAAATCCTAACAATTAGCTTCACCACCACTTTGGTGGAGGAAGGCTGAAGGGGGGGGGGGGGGAGAAGGGGGAGAGGGGGGTTTGGGAGGCTGAATACAGTTAAAATAATTCAGTGTGTTTTTTCCTTCAAAGTTTACTACTTTGATTTTGCTTGTGTGATAAAAAAAATCGTGCCTTTGTTTGACTAAGTGGAGTAAAAAATAGCATTACCTGGATGCATTCTTATTACAAAATATATCTACATGTAAAAGGAGCATCCAAAGTCAACAATGCACTAAATATTTATAACAACATCAAAATTACATGATCCATAGACTAACTTTTCTTCAGCTTCCACAGCATCAGAGACCTGCTCTGAACCTACTGGAAGTGGTAATAATGTCTTTCCTTTCACTTGTCCAGCAATGACAAAGACATTACTTTTGAGCTGATGGACATGGCGCAAGACATCTTGAGACACAACTGCAGGCCACTGTTCATGATTACGAGAATTGGACAGCAAAGGGACCAAAATCTGACAGATTTCGAAGAGAAAACATTTGATTAATAAGAGAAATTTTCTTACCCAATGTAAACAATGAAATTAATCCCTGACTCAAGTGATAGCCTCCAGGGATTTACATATTAACTAAATTAAAGATTGGCTTGAAGTCCAGCCCAAAACTTTTACTGAGCACAGTTTTCTGCCATTTAAAAAAAAAAAAAAAAAAAGGTCAAACTTAATTCCTTCCTCAGTTTTCTACTCCTGGGAACAGTTGTCTATTTTCAAGTTTCATGTTATGTAAGAGTAAACTTCATGGTCACGGTTGGTTAGTTGTTGCGCAGTTTATTTTACTACAATCGAGAAATTTTCACGACGTGAAAACCTGCGAAATGTTTGGGGCATAACAGTTTTCTTCGATTAGGATAGTAAAAATGAAATTACAGATACGAAAAATGTATACCGGTATGCTGTAATGTATCTGTTTTGAGCAAGACTTGCAATCAATCTAATATAACCATTAACAACTGTGGCGCTCAAACACAAGTCTAAAATTTCCCGGTTAAGCTAGGATCTTTCAGTGTGCATGCAAAATATAGTGCTTTAAACCCTGTTACTTAACAAGTAATAAGTTAATTTGTAAGTTTCATGGTTCCCAGGGACCGATCCATCGAACTACCAAAATGCAATCACTTGCTAAGTTTGCAAAACAAACCTCGTCTACAAGAGCTGACAATTGTTCCAAGGGGGAATAAGACAAATCTCCATAAGTCAAAGCTGTTTTGTAATTATCTTTTCCAACATTCATGCCTTTTTCCTTCTTGGAGAAATAAACAGCTTTTGCCTTCATTGCCGACGGAAAATCAAACGTTGGTTGAAGCTGTCCTGCATTATTCTGATAGATGACGAGAATATTATTCTCTGGCTTTTCAAAGAAGTCCAAAATAGTTTGTCTGTATTCATCGTTTCCTTGTAACTTAGCCCATTTGTCTGCTTTCAGTTTCATGGACTTTAAGGTGTATTCTGATATGAACTCGAAACGAACGTCGTTGAACTCCATCCTCTTTCTGTAGCTTGACTAGTTGTGTCTGTGTTAAACGTATTTACAAATTTACAATCTTTTGAGGTCTGGAGATCAAAAGGACTTTTCCATAAATATCACTTGTATCGTATCTGAAGGATTTCTACACGCATTTGTCGGATTTTAGCCCTCCAAACTGCTAAATTTCTGGAAAACTTGCGGCTTCGTAGGCCAGCCCTTCGTCCTTGCCCGAAATCTGCAAATACTCTTGGCGCAAGGTTACTATGGAAACGTAATGTTTACCGCTGTTCCTAGGGCCGCCATTTTGGACTTTTCCTCAAAACTAAAGCATGGGATTTTGCCCTTTCATTCAAGTCGTTAAGTTCTCGTTTTACTTCCTCACACCCAAATTTATTCTTCTGATATTATAAACCTTATTTTTTTGAAGATTCAAAAATAAGAACCTGTGAAAAATCACTAGAAAGTTTTCAGGTCAAGTTTCCGAATCCTCTCTCCCCTGGATGGTAAATTTTCGTGACATTCCCATGATGCAGGGCGGTCAGAATATAAATAAACATGGCTACATTGTTAGTCGCTTAACAAAATGTTCTAACCGCAATAAGGAACATATTTTATTTAATGGGTAACATAAGCGATGTCGAAAAGACCATTGAACGAAAGCCCAAAGAAGCACAATTATTATATGCCGCTGAAAATGGGCAAGTTGATAAGTTACAAGCCCTTCTTTCCGAGAAGGACGTTCAGGTAGACTGCCCAAATAGTTCTGCTGTTACAGCTTTATTTCTGGCAGCGAAAGAAGGACACGATGAATGTCTCAGGCTGTTACTTGAAGCTGGAGCAAAAGTAAACGGCATCGGGCTTGGTAACACAGCGCTAACGCCGCTGTGGGTAGCGACTTACGCCGGTCATAAAAACTGCGTGGAAAGATTGGTAAAAGCAGGTGCCGATCTCAATACAAAGTTTCCTGAAACACCTTTGTTTATTGCGGCACGTGAAGGAAAGGCAGACTGTCTCAAGATTCTAATAGAAGCTGGTAGTAATGTTAATGTTAAGAACAATCGAGGACAAAATCCAATGCATATTGCTTGTTCAGAAGTTCACGAGAGCTGTGTAGAACTTTTGGTAAGTGCAGCGACTTTGAGTGACTTACAATAATCAAATATTTGGCTCGGACTGCGAAATTATTACACCATAGAGTGGCAAAGTAGCAGGGGGGGATGCACTGCACTCAGGGAGGGCTTGTGGCCAGTAGTTGATCATTGTAACCCGGAATAATCCTATGGTTAGTTTTACGTAAAATATTTCTTTTAAGGCAAGGGGTCCTGGCTTGTCATTCGATCGCCTAAGGCATTGTTTAATCTATCAGCATCTTGGTATCTTGTTCTGAGTAACTTTATCAGATCAATATCAGTATCTGGGCAACTACCCACCTACCCCTCCCCTAACCCAGCAACAGTCTATCGATAACAACTTCGGGTTAATGTTGGGTTAGGGGAGGGGTAGGTGGGCAGTTGCCCAGATACTGATATTGATCCACTTTATCCTTACAACTTAAAATTTTCCCTGTTTTGTGTCATCATAGGCAAACACAGAATGTGAGTTGGATGCTATAGATCAGAGTGGTTGTACTCCTTTGCACCATGCATGTATCAATGCACCAGATGGTCACAGTTCAGTCAAGGTATTTATAGTTACCTTTCGAACCTTCTTTTAATAAATCATACATGTGAAGCTCGGTTTAAGAAATGAATTTGAAAGTGATCTTTGCAGTAATGAACACTGTCTAGGCAGTATTTAAAATAAGGCCTGAAAAAAAATTCAGGTCTGTATGGGATTTGAACCCAAGACCTTTGCAATACTGTTGCACTGCTCTACCAACTGAGCTAACAAGCCCACTGGGAGCTGGTCATTATGTTGGTTCATATTAAACCTGTGAAGTGATGACTAAATGACTGTAAGTATATGAAAATCATACTTGTGAACTGCAGTTTAAGAATTGAATTTGAAAGTAACATTTGCAGTAAAAGTTACCTTTTTATTGGCAATAGTTACATTTATACTACTGACTTTAAAAAATAATTATAATAGAAGCAAAGTACTTTCAAGAGTTTTTCTAGACAGCTTAAGAAGTAAGAAAAGCCCTCAACAACAAATTCTGATGTACATGCCTTGGATAAGAAGCTATGACATACATTACATGCTTTTTCTTTTACTTGTTGATAATATTCAATTGTTGCACAAAGGCTTCGCATCAAATCCCTGGGGTTCATTCAGAATTTATAACTCATGTAAATTTATGGAAGAAAATTACAGAAGTCCATAACTATGCTAGTATTTTTAGACAACTATGCTTTGATACTTGGCACAATTGCAAAAGAAAGGCATCTGTGCTGGACTCCATCAAACTCTATAGAACTCTTTGGTTAGGGAAACATTTGACTGTGATCTTTATTATAGTGGTCATGTATGATGAAAACATTGCAAAAGTTTCAAGACTTTTTAAGTTGAAAGGTTGTAAAATTTATGCGAAGGTTTTTTTCAACATCTTACTCTAGGAGTTTTCAGTTTGTGTTTTTATGTGGAATATTTTCAACAAAGCAGTTACTATGCAAAGCAATTAGAGCTGATCAGAAGAATTTTAGACCTTAGGAAGGAGAATGGTGTAATGTGTCCTTTCAAAATTTACTGTGTACAGGTAACACAAGAATATTCTCTCAATTGTCATTTAGATGCTTGTGCAAATGGGAGCAGCAGTAAATATTTCTTCTAGATGTTGGAACCATGCCACATCCTTGCACTACTGTTCACAACTTGGAAAAATAGAAAATGTAAAACTTTTAATAAAATATGGTGCGAATGTGTTCATAAAAGACAAATGTGGTCAGACAGCAAGAGACAGGGCTCAGAAATACCCAGAATGTGAAAAACTTCTTCAACAACAAGAAGGTGTTTCAAAACCTTATACTATTACTCATTGCATATATTTTGTACAATTTTTTGTTATTTTTGTTTGTGGTAGAGTAAACCTCACTGTTTTCCTTTTTAATCCACTATTTTTATGTGTGTTTCCTTCTGAAGCAATTGTTATAATGGTTTCTCTAAGTTATCCACAAATCTTCCCATAGAAGAGAATATCATTGAAATGCTCTTTCCCAAATCTCATACAGAAACCACTGAGAAGGACCTTACTAATATCATATACTGACTACCTGACGAATTATTATTATTATTATTATTATTGTTTGTTATTATTATTAATCAATAACTTTTACCCTGACACACAGCTAGACCATCAAGCTTGCTCCAGTTGAGTTGCTGGTCACTCAGAGGAACCCTGGGAACTAAAGGTCTCAAGAAAGTACATGAACTGCCAATACCGCTGACTCTCAAACAGTTTTTACTATAAAAATGGAATATTTTACACAGCATGTAAACAATTTGTAATTCAGGTGAAGACTGATGCATCACTGCAAAGTCTATCTCCTGTTACACAAAGTCATAGTAAAAACAGGCAGAGTGAGGTAAAACAAAGCTGATACTGTCGCACCGTTTTGTAGTTTATGTAATCTGAGCTGAAGGTCTTCTGAGATAGTAGTGGTTAAAATATATTGGAATAACGGGTAATCCAGTACTACACAGAGTATGGTTTCATTTCCGTTATCTTTCGAACCATATTCACTATTGCGTTCCCTTGAACTTTCTTGGCTACGAGACCTGCAGTCGGGCACGGTTACAAAATGACTGAACCTCTGGCAGTCAAATTTTACTTTCACAGAATTTCCACTAGGATGTACTTTCAAACTTCCTATGTGTATCAGATGATAGTTAAGAAGTGTTACTTTATGACAAAAATTGATGGTTTTCTTTTTGACGATATATCAGAAGTTGGCTATACTGTAAAGCCCTGTTCAAACGGTCATAATAGTTGATGAAAGTTTCAACTACCACGCGCTTGAACACGAACTATCATGCACTGTCATTGACTATGATGTAGTTTGGACATGTTCCAATTTGACATGATAGTTGATGATAGTTTTTACCGTTTGTACGGGTGGGTGATTGTGAATGATAGTTTTTACGGTAAGCAGTTATGTCAAAGATGGGCCCAAACCGAAATAGCAAAGGGTAAAATGACTACGGTAGTTGTTAAAACTTCGCAGAATGTCTCGTAGTTCATTCTCATCATCCCCTGGTAGGCTTCAGTATCTTCAACTCGCAACTTATTGACTGAAATTTCAGATGCCACCGAAATTGCAGACCTCAGCACGCGCGATACTTTTTTACACTTACGCGATCTCATTGCGTGATTTTGTCAACTATCATGAACCGTTTGAACGCAAACCTGATAGTGGATGATAGTTGAAACTATCGTCGACTATCATGACCGTTTGAACGGGGCTTAAAAGACATGTAATTGCATCAATCTCGACGCTTTAGCCTTATTCAAATGGTTATGATAGTTGATGTTAGTTTCAACTTTAATTCACTATCTTTGAATATCATGTTTGCGTTCAAACGGTTCTTGATAGTTGGTGAGAGTTGACAAAATCACGCAATGAAATCGCGTAAACAAGTATGGGCGAACGAATCGTGTTATCACGGAAAGCAGTATTTATGCTTCTTTTTTGAAGATTTAGGTCTTTTTCACCATAGAAGGCAATGAAATACAAGAATAAACATTAGAGAAGGGTCCTCGTGTTCATATTACTTTTCCCAAGCAGCAAATAGAACAAGATAAGGGGCTTATCTGGAAAACGAGTCGGCATTCGCCTTTTTTTTTTAAGTTTTCATATTAAAATATTGAATGGAGTCAGAGAAATGTTGTCTTACTCTGTATCTGGATATTTCTTCCCTTTCACCTGCTCTATCAGTTACAGTTCTCATGAACGAGTCAAATAATAACATTTTCTTTTTACGGGTTTTCGCTTTCGTCGCCCAGCACGCGCCATCACTAAAAATAACGATCTCTGTTTTGAAAACATAACGGATTAGGTTAACGGACAGTTCACGCGAATTGTAAAAGTGGTTATTAATGAAAGGTACTTAGTGGTGATCTAGAAATTGAAGGAAATATCTGTCTACAATGGAGAATGATAGCTCCCCGGTTTTATTTGAACGTAACATAGAGGACAACGGAACAGCAACGGAGGAATGTGCGATTGGTTCAAACCCAGTTTCACCGAATTCAAATGATTCACTGATACCTGAGAAAAAAGATCAGCAGGATTCAAAAACTGACCAGAAACCTTTGAAAAGCTCAGATGTAAGCTTGACTTTGAGTGATGATGTCAACGGAGACCCAGTTTGGCTGCAAATCGATGAAGAAACTGTCTTAAAAGTCGAAGAGCATCGTGAAATGGGATGGAAACAAGAGTTTGTCGAAAGGGTAAAGAGAGCATGCATCCTCGGTATAGGAGGAGTGATTTTCGTTCCTATTATCACTGGTGAGACACTTCTTTAAAAAAATTGTTTTTTCTTATACTTTCAAATACTAATTTAGGAATTCTTTAGTTCTTGGTCACAAACTGAAGCTAATATGACCGACTGTCGAAAAACCAGAAGAACGAACAAAAAAGTTGCTCTATTCCGCAAATTTCAGAAGCACATTAAATTTTTTCATAACCAGAAAAATCATATACAACTTTAATCTGAAACGTGACAAATTTTACTCTAACAGCAGCTGGCGCAGTCAGCCCTCCTGTTCTCCTTGCACAAAAGTGGACGAACGGACGAGAAAAAGGCAGATACTCTACCATTGGCTTGGGCGTTTTGGTTGGGACACTATTTCTCCCGATCTTGGCACCTTGGGGTATCTACAAGCTGTTTAAACGTTTTTATACAATATTACCGAAGAAAGTTGATTATTGGATAAATCGTTGGAACGGCGATGTCACAAGCCCCCTTGGGAAACACCACTATGAAAATGGCTCAGTAGAGTTCAAAATTCCAGAAAGCATTGTTATTAACACTGATCGGGCTCAAGTCTACAGTCCTGATCTAGGAGTTCCGAGCACAAGTCAGCTTGTGACACCTGATAGTCACATAAATGTGGATTGGTCAAATGTTAGCGACCAAGAAGATGTAAACGAAGCCCAAGTAGAACGAGTCAAGGCGTTTTTAGAGGGATTAGAATACAACATCGGGCATTTCGACAAGGTGGAAGAATATTACCGAGAATGCTGGTTGAATGAAGGACAGGAAGTTTTATCTGACGTGGAAGATGACGACGGGCGCCTTGACACTCAGCTGTTATGTGTCAGAAAAGTTGTGTCCGACACTTTTGTCAATGCAAAAACAGCTGAAGTAGATTTTAATATGTGCGAATTTGCCGCCGGCCTCTGCAGTAGTAGGTGTTTAATTAATCAAAGATCTCATGAAGTGAGTCAAGCATCAAGAGGAAAAGATACTGATGGAACTTTAAAAGGCGGAAAATCTCCAGGCAATTTAGAAGAGAACTTTTCCGAAGCTCAGATAACAACACAAGTATCGGACAAAAGTTGTGCTCCTCTGAATGAAGATGTCGAGGGCCTTCCTGAAATGAGACCAAAAGATCAAGTATCAGATGGCAGCGGTGCTCCCTTGTGCACTGATACAAAGGACCTCCCTGAAAAGGGACCTAAAAAGAAGGCCAAACGAAGACGCAGAAAGCGAACTGGCGAGCAAGTGTCGACAAAAAATCACACCAGTTCTACGACAGGCGAAGATAATGACACATCGCATTCAAACCCTACGACACCGCTCTTACAGCAAGAGGACAAAGAAACAGAGAGAGCCACTGAAGTCCAAGAGGACAAAGAGATAACACCTGAAAAGAAGCTTGGAAAAACTGGAAATGCAGCCCGAGAAACCAACACTCCTTCCGCAAACCAGTTGGTGGGAAAAAATGAAATGTCTGAAATACTCAGAATTAACGGGCAGTTTGAACTAAAGCCGAGCGATGAACCAAAGCGCTGTCTTTACATGGCTCACTTTAATCACATTGATTAAGGACAAGACAGAGAGGCACATAAAACTGATAAATATCGTAAAAAAATCGTAAGTTTGTTGGAGCGTGACTTGAGCGTGACTTGAGCGTGATAGGTCTAAAAGTTCGGTCACAACGTTTAGTTTGTGATCATTTTTCAACGATACTTTTTGTAAAACTTATCTTCAGCAATGTAAAGTCGCATTTGCTACCAAAATTTTGTCATCTACGAAACGGCAGTAATTTGGAATTTTTTATCTACACAAGTTTGAGTTATATCTACTTTGATTGCGTAGGTTCATAATTATTTATTTTTGGTGTCATCCTGCATTCTCAAAATTTGGAAAAAAAAATGATCAGAGTCTAAGTATAAGTTCTCCAAAGTACCAAACGATTTTGACGCGCAAAAAAAGCTTCGAAAGCCCTCAAAAATTGCTAAGTGGTTTATCTTTGGAAAATCAAGTATATAAGGGGATTTTCTATGAAAGCCAAAGTTGCAAGGTTGGGTAAAAATAAAATAGGTAAAAAAGATGGTTTGATTTCTAGCGTTCGAAAGTGAAACAAACTTAAACGTTTCTGAGTTAAAACTCTCATGCAAAGAACGCTATGTTGGCACACACGCCTGGCTGTTGGTGCGCTGAGAGGACTGGTGACTAACCTAACGTTGTGTTTTCATCCATAACTATTGAGACACCTGTAACGCGCAGGTACATCGGCAGAACTCTAAGCAGTAACTAAAAGAGATTCCAGAGTAACATCATGTAAAACTTTACCATTTGTCTCTTCCTCTTTGGACTGAACAGACATTGATTATAAAAGACTCTCCCTCAAGAAGAAGGATTCCTCAACAGAATAAATTAAGAGAGTATATTAGAGAGGGAAGTCCAATCGCCTGTTCATATAGGTAAGCGACACTGTTCAGGTTGACATCACTCGAAGTCATGAACTGTTGATCTTGTTATTTTTTCTTAGCGGGTAAAAGGTGCTATTGTCATATATATTTCTATGATATTTACCTTCACTGCGTTATTGAATAGCTTAGCAACAGCGAAGTTTTTCTGACATTTGTGGGAATGTAACAACAGATGAGATGTTTAATTGGCAGTGATTTTTTATTTGTCTCCTAAAAGAGCTTAATGGGTTAATCTCTTGATTTTTCGGGTTGTTTTCATGGGCAATTAAAGCCATTTTAAAGTCAACGGCAGGAGAAGAGCTTGCGGAGAACGGCTCTTGTCAAACACCTTAGCTTCATATTGCTCTGTCAATGACAGTACGAGTTACAGGTTGTACGTCGCCGCAGTTTATCTGACTGGGCAATGACCCAAGTTTCTACAGCGTGAAGCGACAAAAAACATGGCTAATCTTCTCAGACAGGATTAGTGCTAATTCATCGCAGATTATCCGTTGGTGAGACCATTTTTAACTCCTAGATGGAGAAAAGCACTGCGAGAGAAAAGTAGCTCGGCAATAAAAGCAACTACTTAACTCGGCTTAGGCTTGAGCCCGCAGATGTCGATCATGAGTCCAGCGCACTTATCACAAAATATTCGCGTCTCCCTCGGTTAATGAAAAGTGGTTGGAAAACCTTTTCCAGCTTGGAGTCAAGCGTTTAGAATAATTTGGAATCTACAAAGGAACCATTCAATATACGTGAATTTTATGCGACATACAAACAATATAAATTGACACCGTGAGATACCTATCGATATCAAAGTTGATTTTTTTTAAGAAAGATTGTTTACTTTAAAAAAAAAATACCTGATTCTTATTTTTATTCTGGTCACAATTTTTTTTAAGTTGGAAGTCACACCTGAGAGAAATTGTCTTGGTAGTATTTTCTCTTGTATAAAATTACATGCAGGGTATAAGGCATCCGCAGTCGTAAAAAAAAATAACACCATGCATTCATCTGCGTTTCCCTTGGCTTTATAGAGCCATATTTTGGGTTAAATACAATCTAATAAAACGTAACTGATTTGCGTGATTTCGTTTGCCTGATTTCGTTATATTTCAGTGATCGATGTATATTTATGTTTGCTTAGGACATAACTATGCTCGAGCCTGCTCTGATTGGTCAAAATTTTGTCATCATGACTCGCAAACGTTTCTTTTGTTATCATAACATTCCGCGTGACTGAACACGCTGGTTAACTTGTGGAAAGGGTGGCTCGAAGTTCAAAAATATATACATATATGTTTGTCTATCCAGGTGCTGTCCAAAATTATGGTGCGGTTAAGTTTCGGTCTACATTTCACAGGAGTTTCTGGACTGAAATTTTCTTTTTACTCCAGGAACGTCCGTTTAACAAAAGATCCGCCCCTTCATTGTCAAAATAAAGAATTACAACCTCTAATCAACATCCTACTTGATTTAATTAATCTGAACCTCTCAAGGTACAGTACGGCTCCTATGATTTACATGATGTAATATCTTGACTTCTTAAGTTGCATTTTCATCGAAGGGATTTCCTTTTAAGGTTGTTTTTATTTATAAAATACTTTTTTGATCATGATCTATGTAAAACAAACCTGTTGGAAGCGCTTGGCCTAGATTAATACAAATAAGTCAATACGTGATTTCCTTAAAAGGCGTTTAGTGTAGATTTTGAAAAGCAAAAGAAAACTTGTGACTTTGATTTCAAGGTTTACTATTTTCAAAATCACTGAGTGATAGAGAGAGTACTTTCTTACTTGATTCGAACATAAAACACTCAAGCACAAATTAATCACGGCCACTTGAAAAGTAATTTTTTTGAATGAGCTGCTGGGCAGAGATTACGAAAGTGTATAGAAAGTTTATATCATGAGAGTGCAGAAAGTAAAGACTATTCATGATGAAAAAAAATAATCAGATGAGAATTATTGCACTGAAAGGACTATTTATATGAAGGCAACAAATTTCCGTAGGTGGATTTAATTCAACAAGTACAGAGCATTAGCCAATTATATTTCAACACACCCGTTTGGCCACCTGTTAAAATGGTCAATTGGTCATCTTCTGAGAATGTCGTGCATTGGAAGGTGTCAATTGAAAAAGGTCCCTAGCATATCATTATTATGTGCTCGCGGTTTATATATTCATTCACTTCCTCGATTCTTCGCTAGAATTTACACAAGAACAAAACACTTTTCTTGAGTGAAGGCCAATGGTAAATGCTTTCAGCAACGATTTTTCCTGAGAGATCGATTTTTTTTTGTCGGGGCGTTGAACTCAGAAACTGAACTTTGAGTTAAAATTGAGGTCAACAATGTTTGATACGGTGATTATTCTATGCGGGGCGTGATAAAATAAGGTCAAGGCCGCAGGCTGAGTTGTTTGACAAGAAAGTTACAGGTGTGAACGAGGTTATGTTTCGGGATTTCGCTCAGCAAGCTCTAAATGACACACATCTAAGTGAAGTATGATATGGTTACCGCGATCTAACCAGTAAGATATGGATCTGGTGTACCATGATAACTCTCTATCGCTCGTCGCTAACGAGGAGTGTGGAATAAGATCCTGCAGGCCTCCAAGAATTGAAGAATTCCCTCCTGATCTGTTCAACCAGGAGCAGAGATTTTACGGTGGAGTTACGTTTCATCTTCTAGTTTGCCTCCATATCTTTTGCGCTTTGACTGTTGTCTGCGACGACTACTTCGTGGCATCGCTGAACCGAATCACCAAATGTTTGGGTCTTAAACCAGATGTGGCCGGTGCTACCTTCATGGCTGTGGGAAGCTCCGCACCGACACTCTTTATCTCAATAATATCGACATTTTTCACAGAAGGAGACATCGGCCTCGGAACAATAGTTGGCTCGACTATATTCAACACACTTTTCATCATAGCCTTGTGTGGTATTGGCGCTGGTTTGACGATGCGTTTGAAATGGTATCCGCTTTTTAGAGATTCTACCATGTATGTAATTAGCGTGATCATCTTGATGATTTCGATTTACGATCGGAAAGTTCATTGGTATGAAAGCGCCGCGTTTTTCATCTCATACTCTGTTTACATTATTGTGATGTATTTCAACTCAAATATTGAGGAATGGTCCATGAAACTGAAAGATCGGATAATAAAACCCAACGCCGAAGCAGATTCTGAAGTTGATGAGAAAGGTCAAGATACTGAAGCTGAAACTTTAGAAAATAATTCCTCCCACGAGGAAGAAAATCGTTTTAAAACACCAAAAGGATTTTTCTCAAGGATAGTTTGGATTTTCACTTTACCTTCCATAGTTTTATTTTATATAACAATTCCAGATTGCCGTAAGAAGGAATGGCGAAAATTTTACCTGGTAACGTTCACAGTTTCGGCCTTCTGGATGGGTGGGTTATCGTACATTTTAGTCTGGATGGTTTCCCTTGTGGGATTCACTTACAATATTCCAGAATGCGTCATGGGCATGACATTCCTTGCTGCGGGCAGCAGTCTCCCAGACGCCATCGCTAGCTTGGTGGTCGCTAAACAAGGAAGCGGAGATATGGCTGTATCAAATTGTATTGGCAGCAATGTTTTCGACATGTTATGCCTTGGAATTCCATGGATGATCAAAACTACTATAATCACTCCGAGCAGTGTAGTTCACATTCAAAGCGAGAACATATTTTTTACTTCAGGGATTTTGATAGCTAGTATCATTTGTACAGTGTTACTGATAGCTCTTAACAAATGGCGGTTAGACGAGAAACTAGGCGTTATTTTTCTTGTTATGTATTTGATTTTTCTTGGTATTGCTACATTTATCGAAGTGCTGCCTTGTTGCTGAGCGCGGAAAAACGGGTTTTGAAATAACCCATGCTAGCAGTAGGTTAACAGATATGGCTCAGTGGCGGAAATCGAGAAGATTTTGATATGTGTCAATAAATCAACTGTTCATTTAGTGGCTGAGTATTCTATTATCTTTTCCTACCATGAACCCTCAACCATGTTAACCCCTGAATACTCAGAAGGGATTCACATCTAAGGCGTATGATTTTCGCGATCTTTGGGCATTTATCGAATCATGATCACCTGCGATTTAAAGCTCTCGTCACAAATTAACGAAAACCAGGCATAACTTAGCAGCTCATTTGTTGAAAGCGATGAAAAAAACCGCAAGGCAGATTTATGTCTCTAATTCTCTCGACTTCCCTTAAAATTGTTCGAAAGTTTAAACCACAGCTGATCGAGACTAAGGTATCAATTGTGATCCGTTGTCTTTCAAACTTTTCTTCATTTCAGGTGTAGCTTGTCCTTAGAAACAGATGACAAGATAAAACCTTACAACAATGGATCGACTTCCCAGGAAACTCAGCGTCCTTCATCATATTCGTCACGTTAAACGGCACTTCTTCAACTGTAGCAGCCACAAAATTATCAATGTACTGCAGTATGAAACGCTGTTCTCACTGCAGCAGAGGCGAGAAGGAGCCGTTGTTATACACACCCTGGTATGCCTATATTGCTTTGGGGCACTAGCAGTTTTGTGTGATCATTATTTTTGCGCGTCACTTGAAAAACTATGCAAACGGTGAGTAGTATAGTTATCTTTGGTTTTTGGAGATGAACGAAAGGGATACGTTTTTGCATGATGTGTACATTTCAGCCTTTTTACATCTTTAGATTCAGCAAGCAACTGAAATCTTTGAGGGCAAACAGTGTCTGAAAACAATTGTAACTGGCTAACATCACTACACTTTTTGCTTCTAGAGTTCACAGATTAACTGTAAAAATGTCCAAAAAGTAATCAAAAAAATTTTTTGCGTTAATTTGGGAGGTACATTTACTAAGCTTTAGAAGTCAAAAACTGATGTTTTAAACTGATGTTCAAAATACTTTTTACCCGCTTTAGACTACGTATCCCGACAGACGTTGCAGGCGCAACATTCATGGCTGCTGGTAGTTCTATGCCCACACTGTTCATCGCAATTGCGTCCGTATTCATGGGTGAGGGTGATATAGGCCTGGGTACTATTATTGGTTCAACTATGTTCAATATCCTCTTCATATCGGCCATTTGTGGGCTGTGTTCTGGTATCTCCATAGCTCTTCGGACGTGGCCGCTTTTGAGGGATTCTGTGGCATACACTATACATCTGACCGCTCTGTTAATTGTCATAGAGGATAATATAGTTCACTGGTACGAAGCCTTGGTGTTTCCATTCTTATATCTTGGTTATATAATAGTTATGTGCTTCAATAAGAAACTCGAAGGTTTGTTTGAGAGAGTTTGCGAAAAGTTTTGCCATTTACGGAAGGGATTTGAAATGGTCTCAATGGAGGACCCCCACGAAAATGCCGTTGGGAAAGGCAATGGTCAAGAAGCCCTGGAAAAATCCGGGGAAGAGGATTTAGGAAACAACGAAATTATTACCGACAAAGAGAATGAAATGAAAGACACTGACTGCGCTAGAGAAGGAAGGGGAGTCAATGATCCAGATACCTCCTCTTCTCAAGCTCATGGTTTTTCAGAAAAATCTCCGTTCGAAATTCCTAAGAGTTCTTTTCAATTAGTGATCTGGGTGATCATGTTACCTGTCCACGCCCTCTTCTTCCTCACAATGCCCGACTGTCGCAAGAAAGGTTGGGAGAACTGGTACCCAGTCACGTTTGTAGTATCCATCTTATGGATGGCCCTCATATCATATGTACTCGTGTGGACTGTGTCAATCATAGGCGAGACTTTTGATATACCAGAATGCATCATGGGACTGACACTATTGGCAGCTGGTTCTAGTGTCCCGGATGCTATTGCAAGTCTTGTAGTCGCTAAACATGGAATGGGAGACATGGCTTTGGCTAATTGTGTTGGTAGCAATATCTTTGACGTCCTCTGCTTAGGTCTTCCATGGTTTTTAGCCACGACTGTTGTTCATCCGAAAAGCGTCGTTTTAATTCACAGTGGACATGTAGTTTATACGTCTTTGTGCCTGTTTGGCACAGTTTTAGCGACATTATTCGTGATACACCGAAATAGTTGGAGATTGGATAAACGTTCGGGAGGTATACTATTGTTAACCTATATTGTTTTCTTATCAGCGGCTGTCATTTTAGAAGCTCTTCCCGGGGGGCCTGGAGGTCAGGGGGATGGTCCTAAATTAAGTCCACATCACCCAGGTCACCTGCCAAATAAGGGCCTAGGGCATCACAAAAATGCTCATTTAAAGAAAGTCACGTGACAACCGATGGTTACTGAGTGAATCACTGCGGGCGTTTTTTAACCCTTTAACTCCGAAGATCTGATTGTTAATTCTCCCCTCTAACACAATTCTTGTGAATAAGTTATGAGAATTTGGTGTTATATCAAGATAACAACTTCTTCCAACTAAGTTTGAATATTCTCATTACCTGTTTGCTGGATAATATACAGACATATAGATACAGATATACAGACATTATAGGGAGAAGTTACAAGTTAATCACTTCTGGGAGTTAAAGGGTTAAAAGATTCCTCTTGGGAGGTCGATAATCTGCACCCGAATAGAATCTTTGCTTAGCTACAGTCATTGCACCACGGCTTAGATGCCAAAATATCAATATCAAATTAGTTGCTCGAAAAGAGTCACTCTCATAAAATGCATCAACTGCTGCGAACCTCAACGGTATTATAACTGTAAAATTTACAAGAAAACTCGAAAGCACCTAGAAAAAAGAAGTACCGGTATTGTTTTGGCCAGTGGAAAGGTCTGTGTATCAACTGGAATTGAAGCAAGGCTCAGTTGGTATAACATAATCAATATCATTATCATCATCATCATCATTATTATTATTATTATTATTATTATTATTATTATTATCAGCATCATTACAATTTTCATTATTACACAGCTGAGGGTATGGGGCAAGCAAGTGCGAAATCGATGTAATAGGTAGAACCAATGTATTAGCCGGAGTTAAATTTAATGAAAGAAGAAACAGGTAGCTTAAAGTATTTATTCGGATTTTTTTTTTTGCACATTGACAACCTAATATCTCTTCGTATACTCTTTATAAATTCATTAACATTGTTTTTCGAATGAATTTCCTAGAAATAATAACATACTTTGTTGTTGCTTTTTTTTTTACTCTCTGTAAATCAAGTTAAATTAAATGTCTATGTTCTGCGCATTCGTTAAAAAAATGGAGAGAAAAAAATAAATTATTTTTACCATCAGATTCAGACATTGTAGTTAAATACAAAACTATAGCTTAGGAGAAATTCTACTGAGTTTCCCAAAACTATTCTAACGCTCAGAGGTTCTACATAGTCAAACCTTCTGATTCTTGTTATAAAAGCCATGTGTTTCTATGATACTTTGGAATTTACGAGGAGAGAATGGTGTCACAAGTTCGTAACAGGAGAGATAGAGAAGCGTTTCGGTCTCTGTGCCACCTGAAAGAATGAAACAAAGTCACATAAAGAAAAGCTACAAAGCAGGAAACACTGTTGTGATAAACGTCAGACACTGAGTCATCGTAACGGCAAAGGGGGCTGTTCTTTGGTTCTAGAAGACACGCTCATGTCTAACATGGTTTAGCGAGAACGGGAGGATTGCGAGAGGCTTCAAAAATTATTTCTGACATACCTTCCGCTGTAAACTTCTGAATCCGGGCTTAGGATCACAGGTGCCACACTAAAAATAGTGCAGACAAAGTTTTCTGGTTAGTTCATGAAACGAAGAGCTTTGTGAGCAAAGCTCGGTCGCGAAACCCTTTCACTCCCTATGTGCAGTGCGCGAAATTTCAATACAGCGCTCCCAGGCACGCAAGTGTTTATTTTGCGGTCCTCAATAAGAGTAAGTGAATGCCTGGTAGGTAATAATGTGACACAGAAAGGTTCAAACTTTGCAGCTCTTGTAAACAAGATTCAAACACATCAATCGAGCCAAGGCTCGAAACAGGATCTTGCGATCCGTAGTACAGCGCGTGAACCGTATGACCATGGCGATTCTTCTTAAATTTGGTAAAGGAAGGTAAGAAAATGGAGAAAACGTTGAGCAATAAAAGGCAATATTAGCAGTTCTTACTTGGGTAGTTTTAAAAGGTTGATAAGTTCTTGCGCTCGCAACAGAAGATCTGGGTAGCAGTCTGGGTCTGAAAGAAGCTCCTATCAAAAAAAGGAAACATTTTTGTTAATAGACATAGGTCCGTCCAAACAAAGTGCAAGATTACTTAAAAAAGCAAGGGAGGGCGACAAGCATTCCACCACAACAAGTAGAAGACGAAACAAAACAAGAACCAACTCACGGGTTTTTGCCGCACCACTTTGCTCAAGCATAAAATAGCTCTTTGGATTACATCCTGACATCTCGAAGCAAGCTACAAGAGAAGAAAACAAGAATAAAACAAGAATCTCTTTCACTCCTACAGCTAAGGCCGTAATAAGTATTCTTTACAACAGACAGTGTATTTTTAAGTAATTATTTCTGGTTTCGTCGATTAACTTACATCAAATTATCAACAAAGATTGTACTTGCTTGCCATCCAGAATTAAATTGTATGGATAAAGAATACTAAAATCTATAAGACGATGTCCTAGTGAAACACCCAATTCACCGTACTTCACAGTAAAGCAAGAATAGTAAAAAGTCATAAGAATACCTCGAAAAAAAACTACATTGATACAATTAAACTGATGAGGTACATTATCATTTGGCTCGCAATGCACTCAGTCACCTTGGATCGTGAAGTCGAAAAGTGATCATCAAAGGAGAGCGATAAATCAGTTCTTGAGAGAACCGAGATACAATAAAAAAACTAACATTAACTCAAATCTCACCTTGGCGAGTGTTGTCATTAAAACTGAGACAAGTCTTCCGCTAAAAGACACCTGAGGAAAGAGAAAC